TTCCGAAATTTGAAAACATGATGTCGCATTACACGTGGAATTAGGTACAGCGCACACACACACACACTTCTCCAAAGCATTCAAATTTCGACGCCCGCGCACACAACCTAAACGCCTAAATGTCAAGAATGTGAATAAATGAAAACCAAATCACTAACCAATTTGAATAGTGAACTATAAAAGACTAAATGATGCTTCAGAAGAGGAAGGGGTGTGGACAAATTAGCCTTCTTAATGGACACAAGCAATTCCCTCTTTGCGCTTGAAGACGGCGGTTCTGCCAAAATTTTGTTGTGCCTTATGAGAATATAACCTTCCTACATGCCTATTAAATGGATAATCAGTCTTAATTGAGGCTGAATTGCTTCGGAGGGTGACCTTAAAGTACTTGCATCCGTAAATTTCCCCATATTGTGATTCAACAAGAAGATTGTTACAAATCACTTTACGACTTTTTATATAAATTTTAAAGGACACTTTAACTGACCTTACAGAAAATTATCGCGATTTTTGAAAAACGTAAATCACTGTCAGTATGTTTACACCGGTCAGTTAGGAATTCAACAAGCTGCTTTTGTTTGTTGTCCCATTTAATCTACCATCAAATTAAAGGATATCTGTGACATATTTCAATTAAGTTAATATTGACATAAATGCTTCAAAATAAATAGACATGCAGGTGTACTCTTTAAAATTTCTGAGTTTCTACAAAAAATTGCTAGATACATATGAAAATGAAACGATACGGACAAAAACCTATAAACGTAGCTTATGTAGAGAAGTCTCCATTTCAGCTTTCACACAAATATGAAAATACCAGACAAGATCGGTGTGTCGAGACCACATCAAGATGGCCTTAATCAATTATCATCAATCATCAGTAATACAAAAATATGTGCGTAGGTGCTCGAAGTGATAAAGTGTTCCTGCAAATAGACATTGCAGTTTGCACAGTTTGACGGTTTGAAAAGTGACGCCGCTTTACGATTTTGAAATGACAAGATGGTTTTCTTCACCGTTGACGCAGTCTTTTTAGGTCCTGAAAAATTTTGGGTGCATTTTTTCGTACATCCTTGTGCATAAGACCAAAAATGAGGGGATTGCAACATGAAGCTATTGCGTAGAGAGCAGAGAGAAATACGTAAACATCTGGCGGTGTACTTCGTGTTGGAAAAACCTTGGAAGACGTGTTTGTGATTGCTGATAGAGTACAGTCTTCAGGATCAATGCTAGTTTCATCAATCATTCGAATCAGTCCATAGGGAAGGTATCCTGCCATAAATAAAAGAAATACCACCCCAAACATTTTTGTTACACACATTTCTCGGGAGATTCGCTTTTTATCCGTGTTAAGGAAAGACTGGCTGAAGGTTCGCCTTTTCTTGTGGACGTTGCTTAATTTCGGCCATGCTGATATTAAATCCGCAGATCTATTGTAACGAATTTGGTTACTCTGCAAACACATACGATAATTGACCTCCTCGTCGACCCCCAAAGTACAAGATGTGCGTTCGAAACCTTTTTCTCCTTCATCTTCCTCCAAGAATGGCGGTGCAGAACACGTGTTTTCTGAAGTTGGAAGGTAAGAGCTAATCTTGATTTGAATCGTTGTGTTTGAAGTTGGGGTGTCATTTGCAATTGTTGAGTTCTGTAAATGTTTGTTAACAAGAAAATTTTTCCGTCGAACGAACACGAAGATGGCGGTGAAGCAAACGGAAACAATAATACAGGGAAGAATAACTGTCAAGGAAATCACGCATATTATCCGCTTTTTTTCACTTCGTTTATACACACAACGAAGTAAATAGGGTGAATAAAACATAATGTATCTAAGGAAAGATTCAATATGTGGAATGATTTGAAATGACAACGACCCGCGATCTCCTCGTAACTCACGATATTTACTATAGGACAAAGTATTGAACACAAGTGTTAAAATGATCGGTAAAACTCGACTGCCAAGGATGACAACGAAGATGTACAACCTCTTGCGTATTTTAAGATAAAAATTCCACTGAACGACAACGAGATATCGATGAAAAGCGATGAAGGCATGATGCCAGAGGCTGGTTCCTACTAGGATCATATTTGCTTCGGGAGCAATAAAGCAGGGAAGCGGCCCCGTAATCCACTGACCGCAGTAGTATGAAGCAAGCACAAACGTCTGAACTAATGTCAAGTTAATGAGATCGTTTACACAAAGACTCATTATTAAATTATTTATAAGATTTTCTCGCAGTCTCACGCATCGAATCAATATCCAGAGCAGCCACGCATTTCCAAATACACCCATAAAGAGAAATGCAGTCATCAAAACGGAAGCTGTGATTGTGGCGATTTTCGTGGGTTCATGGTAAGCCATGCAGTTGAAGGAAGCGTTTTGAATGCCGGGATTCATTTCAATGATATAACGAGTTCATGTTCTTATGGGAAGTCCAAATTAAACTACTAAAATGATTGTATTTAATCGTTTAGGGCTTGACCGCACACTGTCTTTAGATACTTGATTGGCTGTTTCTGTTTGAGGGTCAAAATATTCTGGCCAATCAGTATCTTCCATTAACACATTACGGTCTGGACACTAAAGACACCCTACGAAATGCACCAAAAGTATTGGTGAACAATTTTTTCCCATAAATTGCAAGTTAATCCTATTCCAGTGTTAACGGTATAGTGATTTCTTCTGAGTAGTTTTGCAGCATTTAAATGTATCAAAAATGTTGATATAATTAAGTTGAGCCCTATACGGCAACGTCTTTACTTCATTGGGGGGAAGTATTTCGTAAATTATGAAGTGAAAACAAAAGTGTTTGATGTACTATTAATTAAATATTTTATTTTTTAAATATTAGGGCCATATAACTTACACGACCACGATTCAACCCGTGTCAAGCTTTTGTATTTGTAAGAGCATTTGGCATTCTAAAGTGATGCCAAATTGCCAACAGCGTACGTACTGGAAACGTAGCGATTAATGCCACTAACTTATGATGTTCTAAAATGATCATGGATGCAAAAAAACTCACAGTAAGAGTTTTATTGAAATGAGAAAATAAAGTGGGTTCGTGAGTTTGGATTATCAATGGGATTAGTGTTGCAAATGTGGACAAAAGACAGAATGCTTTATCCCATTTTTTGAGCAGAATGTTCCATTAGTTCGAATTTGTATGATATACCTGATCAAAACATCTTCAAAAGTGGGTTCTACTTAAGTTTCCCCACTTTTTGTAAACAATCCATCATTCAACTTGTCCAGTTTTCGCTGAGTGACTTATTTAGCCGACCGCTGAAAAATAATGTCCAACGCGCCCAGCGTTTTTCTCATTTTCATTTAGAAGTTGTAGTAGATTACAAACTGCAAAATATAAAAACGTGTTTTAATTGCTGAGTAGAAACATCTGCCAAGTAATATGAGGTTCTGAGGTCATGAATTGCCCGATAAGTTGTTCCGAGGCCATCAAATTAATCTATGCCAGTAAATCAAACAGATTCAAGCTTGATGCAGATCCAACTGTATCTACTATCACAAACTTCGTAAAATACTGATTGGAATCCTAACACATCTAATGAACTCGCATCAGATTTTGTAGCACCGCACACCAAATCCTTTCCATTAGCACCGGAACATGAAAGGGGTGTCACCTGTGCCACAACATTTGAATTCACTTCCAGATGCTCTGAAAATGGGGTAGATAAGAGACGGAACAAATATAACTCAGTTTAAATTCGGAAAACCACAGAGATAAATGGTTGTGAGGAGGTAAAATATTTGACCAGATCCCTAAAGCAACGCCTTGAATGATCATGCTCATGATGAATCACTCCTTTTTAATACGGTTTGTAATGACTGAATAAAAATATATTTGTTTAAACTATAATGATGGGTCCCAGAGCACCTTTCTTAGTGTTGGAACCCATTTCCAACTCCACTTTGAATAAAAGAGATTATGATTTAGGTTGTCGTTGCAAACTAATTGAAACATGAACTTGCTATTCTAGTCAGCTACTCATTCACAAAAAATGTGACGCAACTATCAGGTAATATACCTATAGTAGTGCATGATAGCAACATTCTGGCCTAAAAGGTGCACTTCTTTAGACGTTTACACTTGGCAATTTTATCAGCCATAAGCCTCGCCTTCAGTTGTCCCTTCGGGCAAACAGTCCTGTTAATTCTGCACCTATCTCCGTTTGATTTAGACAAAAAACATCCACTTTAATTACCCAATCTCTATGTGTACAACCACGGTCCTGATAAGCCTCTTAAACACATATTGTTCCATTAAGATAAGCAAAATCTAAAATGCCCGTCAACGTCTGCGTACCTTGCGTTTAAAATAAACGCCACAGACACCAAAATTCAGGAGGTTGAGTAGGTTGAAGATAGTAACTCTTTTATGCAACGTGGGAAAATGGCTTGAGCATTTGGCTGTCGCACAATGCTGAGTCCATGATGGAATATTATGCATTTGCAGATATTAAAGCTCTAGCAGGATTTAACAGTCTTAGCAGTGAATTATTCACCACAATATTGTCAGAGCAACGCGAGATAAAATCACATCTCTGGGTTTTTCCGTTCGGGTTGTAAATATCGGTATCTAAATCAAAGGATGTGAAGCAAAAGCGGTGTTATAAGCCCTTAAAGACTTGCGAAGAGTCCCCATTTATGCAAATTTTAAACAACGTCAATAAAGCAACGCAATACAGGAAACAAGCTTTTGCCATCGTTAGCTTGTGTTTATCCAGGCTCAAATAAGCAAGTTAATCGTGGCAGAGTTGGAATTTTTTTAGCAAAATTACTGTTTAAGAGTTAAATGACTAATTGCGAAGGACAGTAAAACAGCATTTGTGCCGCAAACAACTGACCATCTCCATAACAAACTTTCATACAAAGAGAGAAAAAGAAGGGGTTAAATTCAACTGCAAAAACGTATTTATATACGCCACTGTGAAGCTGTGATGTTAAGAAGAGCGCATTTCGACAAGTGTGTGGCAGCGGGTTAAAGCAAAAGTCTATCGACCTCCATGCGCTGCACGTCGGCGTATTCCCCACCAGCGGCTTTTCTCTCCTCCATCGCTCGAAATGTGGCTAGCTTGATCTCAAGGAGGGTCACCACGTCACTCCACAACTTCATCTGTCGCAGATTCACCGCCTCATTTGCGTCGAGATTCTTCTCCTCCTCCTTCAGGGCCATTGTTAGTGCCTCCTGCTCTGATATTTTCTTCAAGTATATGTCTCTACAGGAAAAATTTCCATTTACTCAATGATGCCTTGACTATCATAGAAATAAAATGATATTTATTTTCTCGAGCTGGTAATAGATTTAGGACACACAAAAAGTGTGCCCTTAGGTGATACTATAGCATTATTAGGGAATCATAATAAGGAATGTAAAACACCACTCAGATAAATATACTTAAGTTACCCAAACAGAATTCCTAAATATTTCTTATGACTATAACTTCTGCTTGTTTAAGTTAAGCGCAGATAAATGCTAACTAAAGCAAATGAAATAAAGGAAAAGAAAACTATTTCTTCCATAAAACCCAAGATTAGCTCTCTTATAATAAAATTCAACAGAAATACAAAAGTCCAGGTTCATCAGTCCTTCTGCAAATACACGTACTGAATGATCATGCCCAATGAGGATAACAAAAGAATATGACGAATGATGAGCTTAAGCACTAAGTAATTTAAGGTAAATGAAATAAGAAATTTTGAAGTGTTTTCAGGACTGAATATAAAAAGTAGGTTTACAGGATGTAGTCTTATTCAGTTTTGCTTCATCTTTTACTTCCTTTTTTTCCTTAACGAATGAACTCTAGAGCATGATTTACTAGACATTTAACTTCAGAAACAAACTAGGACTGTCCTAGCCGCTTGCCAAGAAAACGATTGACAATGCAAAAAATTAAAGGATATGCTTTCGAAAACGGAAAACTGGAATAGCATTTCACACTATGAGAAGATTCCCCAAACAAGTTATTATTCCAGTTTTTAAGCGAAGTGGGTGAATCTTTAACGGAATTGGTACCAACCGGTAGCTGCGTCGCTTGATGGTGAGACTGGTCACCCCGTCACCGTTGGCCGCCCCACTGCTAGAGGTGAGGTAGCCGCGCATCTCCTCTTGAAGGCGGAATTGCTGAACTTTGAGGATGGCCAGAGCAGCGTTGAGGTAGTGGAAGCGCGACTCCTCTACTCTCGCCTCCTCGCGTAGTACGCGCACTTCCTGCTCCAGAAGTAACGTCTGCGCGTCCCGACTGGCCACGAATGCATCATACTGCGCCTTTTTCTCCGCATGCAGCTGGCTCAGCTCCTTGAGCAAAAGCGCAAGTAAGTGTAACTACTAATTGTGGTTCTACTTAGAATGCAATTCTAAAAGGTGGGTAAAATTAATTCATACGGCTCTGCGTATCCCTCTAAGCGTACTCAGAGGATGATTTTAGAAAATCCTTATTTCGTATTAGAACAGTAAGTGCTTTAAATGATGAATGCTCACCAGAAAATTTTAGATCAGTGATTCGTTTCACTTGGATTTTCTTTGGTGGTTAATGGCTTATCGAGTATAACTTTGTGTGAATATAGTGAATATTAGTCTATCTGTGCCACATCAAAATGTATCCTGACTTCCACCTGATAATTCGAAAAAAATGATATGTGAACTAACAAAAATCGCGCGTCAAGCTATTTACAAAGTTATAAATGCGACTGCTCAGAATAATATCAGTTTGCTACATTTCAGGATCCATTTTCGGCAAAAATCCTTGCATTCCCTTCCAAATACTGAATTATGCTAACCAAGTCTCTTTCATTCAAGATGCACACTTATACGCGTTTAAATGTAACCTATTTTAGAAGGAGATTGGCCATTATTGCACTCTCCACATCTGTAGAAAATTTGCTTATAACTGGCACAAGTGAAAGAGACTTTCTTTGGAAGGCAGAATTGTTCTACTGTCCTTATACAGTCATTCGGAAATATTCTTACCGTATAATGATAGCATAAATTTGACTGGAACTGTTCCTATCCATACAGCATATTTTAAATCAAGCAACGCCAAATCAAGCTCCTCAAAAAGACACTTTAGTTTATAGGTAAAATTCCTTACTTCTTCAGTTAACCTAATGAGAAATTACATAGGAATTTCAGTAACTTAATGAGTTCTCTCAGTTGTAATTGTTGCATAGATGTATGGAAGTGTCGCATAATTAATTCGTGCAATGAAACCCTTCCTCATCATCCCAACAGCTTAAAACACTTTTCCTGTTTTTCTCACTTTCGTTTCAACCACCTTTGGAGACGATTGTTGAGATCAGTAATAAAAATGGGGCTCAAGATAAGCGTGATACATTGAGGTGTACAAATATGTAACACCGAAAAATACTAATTCAACATCCTAATAAAGTAAATACAACACTATCGTTGTAAAATAGTTATTTTAGTTAAACTGGCGTATTCATTTTAGTAATATCTTAAAGTCAAGCCACTTAAAAATCAAATGTGATATTTTATTGCTTAAAAATAGTTTTTTGGTTCTCTAAATAATACGCATTTTTATGTGCTAGTTGTAATAGTTTTAACGACAATATATTGAAAATTAAAAAGCCTATAACTTTACAGTGAATAGTTAGGAGTGTTGTATTTTGAATTAGGTCTGGCTGAATTCGGGTGCACCACCAGGCTTTGTATATTCGAACACGATTACAAAAATGTCACTATTTCCATATAAGACATGCAATTAGTTAAAAAGCAAAGCAAAGTTGGAGACCCCCGTGAGTCACAAATGCCCTATCCGTCTTAAAAAACTAAAAATAACCTTCACAAGACACCTATGTTTGAAATAGTAATTTGCTTTAAATATCAAAACGAATGAATGATCCAGTTTTATAAGTAGTATCACACTAATTTAATGACTTCCAGTTATTTAAAATCCAATTCAATGCCTATTTTCATACAGTTTGGAGATGGACATTTTATGAGCAAGACTACAAAGTTGTTCATGCAGGATGCGCATTAATTGTACCGAAACCTTCTTTTCTTCATTTGTACACGACAGACTGTACCAGATAATATCTTACACGATATTCCATAATAACACCAAACTTCCTCTGATGTAAGGGCAAAATTGCAAGTTCTTGACACACCTGCGCCTTAGTGCGTAGGGGCCTCAGCTCGCGGATGAGGGGGGCCAGTTTGTCTCGGCGTGCGTTTATTTGCTGGTTAAGTCGACCCACCAGACAAGCCATCTCCTCCAAAACGCTCCCCTTGCGCTGATTCAAATCCGCCGTCTCTTCTGACACCTTGCACGTTGCGAAGAATGATTAATTTATGACTTTTAATTTGTCCTACTAGTCATGAGAGGATACGTGGATTGACATTTAATGACAAAATAAACCGCTCACATAGGATTCACGGCATTTGTCATCATTCAATCAACGCTTAGGGTAGATATGAACATATCTTCAGAGAAATTATTGTTTGAAGATGTTCTTTGCATACATCAAATAGCAGAAACTTCAAAACTTGCTCTACGTTATTGGAAACTATTTAGCCAAACATTACACATGAAGGGTTGACCTTCCACAGAAAAATACTTCTTATTTAGTTCTTTTTAAAAATAAATCAAAGGCAAATGCATTTGAAATAAATCAATGCCAAATAGTAGATTATTAATAGCGATTAATATTGTCCTCCCCTTGTCCTTTTATTTTTGCTGCTGATGAGTGCGTTACCAGAAGGCACTCGTGTACCTGATGCTGCTAGTGCTTTTGCTGCCTCGTAGGATCGGCTTGCTCACCTGACTGTAAGTTGTCTGTTTGCCCTGATGTAACCACTACATTCTTAGAGTTACGACAAGTTAAGTAAATAGGGTTTCGTATTTGGATTGTCCTGCTGTCTGATCCTGCATTCTACCCTCGTCGTGCATCTAAGCTAGTGATACTAGGTTGCTCCCATGAGTTTCAAAATGATAGAAGAGCCGGCAAATATCGATGAAGCATTTTTCATTTTTCGTATCCAAAAGAAAAACTCATTAGAATAAATTTTGCATTGAAATACAACTAAACCAAACTGCAGATCGCTTTGCACGCTTCGGTTAACACTTATTCGGACGCATACAACAGATCCAAGCAGCTTCTTTGGTAAGGTGTTGCATTCTCTTGCCCGACTGCACGAAGTCACACATACACACACATACATATAAGCAGCAAAATTCATCGAATCAAGGATATTTAGCTTACTGGTTTTACTAATGGTATGCAAAACATTCAATCCAATTCTCTACAAATTGTTCGTGACGTCCACTCATGAGGGTGCCTCTTCTCACCATGAAACTAATCGCGGAGTGCCATCTACCTTTTCCGACTGTTTTAATTTGGCTAATGTCAAATCAAAGCACAACTCCGTCGATACTTAAATTCATTTATAGTAAATCAAACTAAGGCTGAGCAGTGTTAAATACACATTAACTTAGGTCCTGTGCAATGTACAGCATTATTAAGCCTAAATCTATTTTTGCAGCACCTTAGGTAAAGGTTGTACACATATTTAAATTGTTAGATTCTATTCTAGAGCATTTGTTCGTCGTATTAAAGATTGCCAGAAGGGAAGCAAACCTTTTCTAGCTTTGCCATTGTGTCCCAATAACCGCTCATCCCCTGTATTGCCTCAGCGGCGTCCAGCCTTTTTTTGGCCTGTCTTGTGACGTCTTTGAGGATATCCAACGTTCTCGTTAAAATGCCCCTTTCGGCTTTTAGATTATTGAGCAACGCCCTTTTCTCCTTGTAGGCGATATTCTTTGTGCGTAGTTCTGATACATAGTTCTGGAACTGTCAAATTACATGTTGTTTCCATTATTTGCTGTACTTTTTTAGTGCATTGGAAAGGGTTCCAACTTTTCTAACAGATGAAGTTTGCTCTGATCTCAAAGTCGATTAATAAATGTCGTGTCGTCTGAATAAATGAATCCAACAAAGGTGTTTAACAGATTTTTTTATAAAGAAAGCAGCTATTGCTCCGCTATTGTAATGAAGTGCTCTTGAATTGTAACTCACAAGTCGTGCACAACGTGCGACATATATCCCAATACGTCTCTTTGACGGTGCATTCTTGTTAGACAGTTTCTATATTTGGCTGGGAAGCCAAATATAGAAACGGTCTATGACGGTCTCATGATTCATGCGCTGTGATGACCCAATCCCCGCAAGAAAGTGAACCCACATTGTGCCATGTCAATCGAAAAAGTTCATAAATATTATCTACGTCCGAATTAGGTTAATTAGACCACGCTTAGTAACATTTAATATTAATATTTGCTTAAAAAAATTAGATGAATAACCAAGAGAATGAAATACTACGTAAAACAATAACTCCAAAAATATTATGAGAGTGTTTTCCATGAATAAAGGCATTAGGTCCATCCCATAAATCGCTTCTAGTAAGGCTTTCTGCCTGGCAATGAAATCGACAGAATTTTTTTAAGTCCAATGAAACACCAAATATAAGGAATTTCAGGTTTCATTAATTACCAATCTAGAATTTCTGAAATCACTACTGCCTGAATTTATTCCAAATATGATACTTGTTCTGGTACAATCAAACAACGTTTAATTTGGATGAGGTTTGGAAGCAATTCAGTCTACGTGACTGGAAAATGAGTTGTGAAAAGATGAGTCTCCTAACTTTACCTGGTCCTGTTTGGAAATGATGTTGTTAAGTTAAAAAGAAAATGGATGCATTATTTTAGTTATTGGATTCACTTCCTTAGGCATATTTGTGAATTTTGTTAAAGCATAGTAAATAAAACGGGTGTAAATGGAAGAGGACAAATGTCATTTATCAAAAGATTCAATCCACTTTCTTCATATTTACCACGAAGAAGCTTTGGAATATATATGCGCAAAAAGCTAATGCTTTAACAGCCTGACATTGGGTTACTATCAGTATACGTAATAAATGCTTCCTTCTTAAAATTTAGTAAGTCGCCTCGATGCCTGCTTTGGCAATGATGAGACGTCAAATATATCCACTAAAAGGCATCACATAACGCGCATTGTTTTCTAGTGGAACTGATGAAAGACAATCTGATAGTTACAGAAAAAGCACAAAAAACTGTTTCGCCTTTCGTGGTGTATTTTAATTGTCAACTTTTTTCTATTGAAGTTGCTTTTGGTTCAGAGAAATCATGATGCTGTTTTTTTCGCCTAATGCAGCACCTTTCATGCTCCTTTTCAAATTAAATTAAAATGAATGAAACAACTCACATCCTCGGCATTGAATTGACGAGAAGTCATGAAATTAACGCTATCAGAAAGCAACGATGTACTGGTAGTGGCGACACCAGCAGAGTCCATGCAGCACACCTTCCGAAGTGCCTGGACATGCTTTTCTCGCATCTCGGCGAGCTGCTTAGCTATGGCTTGGTGCTTATCTCGGGCTTCCGCCAACGCTGAAGCCGTTGCTTCCTTTCGGTTTGCCGCGATGTTAGCCTGCTGGCGAAAGAGACTCGTCTTATCCTCCAGTGGATCCATCGCCACCATGCGCTTCTCCACCAGACGGTTGGTCTCCGACTGAGCATCCCGAAGCTGTGGATACAATGTCAGTGATATGCGTTTAATGGCGGTACTATTAATAAGATAACAATTTAAGCATTTTCGCTGACGAAAGCTGACAATGCTTTGAAAGCACAATCTTTTCAAATGGAATGACAAAACAATCCCTACTAGAACATTACCTCTTTGGTGCTGTTAGGCGGCTGTGAAAATTTTTCGGCAATTAAATTCAATTCATCTTATCATACCGAAACTTTCGAGGAAATCTTGCTGCTGTCTGATTAATTAGTGGCGGCAAAATTAAGGTGGCTTCAGTTATCGTATGCTGATTGGTTCAGTGTTAGAATATATAGGTTTCAAAAAGAATTAATAATCGCTGATGTACGTTGTCAATCGGAAGACACGACATACTTTCTGATTAAGCTGATCGAGAAAGGCATGAGTCATGGCTGGATGATTTGCCACCCTCGCAAGGTCTTCCACGTATATTTTTGTAGTTTCTATTTCCTTTGGCTGCTTGTCTGTAGCAAGGTATTGGTTCACCTTCACTTCCTCCTCCAAGCGATGTAGGAGATCTAGAACACATTCCAAAACTATAAATCCTCTGTCATCTTTATTTGTTATCGTCGGAGCAAACTCATAATAACTTGGCACTGTTAACTGAAATGTACGATTATATATTTAGAAGAAAAGGTTTTAAAATAATTTTTCAAACTAAAGTGACCTATGAATTCGTATCCATAACCAAATCCATTGACATTGGTTGCCCACTATAAAAACCTCTTGCAAAGAAATTATTCGAAACGCTTTTGATATCCTTGATGCCGCACGAACAAACCCATTGTTATGCCATCTCATTGAAGGTATTTTGCCCATAAGAGATTGTTCTGTAACTTCCAAATTAATTTTTAAATGGCAATCGGAACTCAGTTTCAGAAACTCTGGTTAGGTGCGTATTAGCGCGTTTCCTGGCTTAAATATTGGATGATTTGCACACCGAGGTTCTGATGGCATTTAAAGATCATTCACCAAATGCTGTTGTCGAAGACGATTACAAGCATTTGATTAAAATTTAAAATTGCTGTGTTCGTATAGTAGCCTCCATTTGGTGCTTGTGGCGCATTTTTATCCTTCTTTAATTGCTGCTTGGAGCTGAATTGGAAATAGTTTTAGCTTTCTCCTAAAACCAGCAAACTTCAAAATTTTGCCTTCATTCCAATATTAACTTTCCTCCACTGAATGTCATCAGGGTGAGTGTATTGCTGGTGTCACGTCGCATTTTTGATTAATAAATAAATATCCAATCATGATAGACCCGAAAAAAGGGAATTCCCAACATTAAATGCAAAAAAAATACAAATTTTTAGGATGATTTGTTCTATGGTTTTTATAATTCGGCCACAAATTGCACTCCAAATGAATGCAAGGCAGCTGAAATAGTTCAGTCCATCACAATTTGCACATTTTTGAATTTTTGACTTAAAAATGAAGCAAAACCGTCTTACAAATGGGATGGCTTCACTATCACTTTAATGTAATTAAAAAGGGGAATGGGCTTGTCTTTTCCTTTGGGACTGATTAGTAGGAGTCTTTGCAGGTGCTCCTTCATGGTGTCCCATTGGCCCTTCAACTCAACTTCTTCTGATGCAGTGACTTTACGATGTAGCGTAAGTATCCCGATTATTTCAAAAAGTAAAAGTGATTAAAGTTGCAAAACTAGTTCCTGTCAGTGTTAATTGCAATAATAAGCCTTATATTGACGGACCGTCCGCATTTAAGGATGCAGCCACTTGATGTGTGCATTTTCTTCTAGATATTCCACTTATTTAAATTCGTATTCTCAAATCAAGCAAAACCCACTAATACCATAGTCTTTTTATTCCACTTGCCGGTAGATTGGCTCAGATAAGTCAAAAATGCTGAAAACAATTTGATACATGCCAGTTATTGCCGCAGTCAAGACCATGGTAAACACAGAGTAATTAAATGGAAGAAGCGTGCGGTGAAGCGCAGGCGATACTAATTAAACACCCAATTCAGGATTTGGAAAGAATGAAAGGCGGCTTTTTAGGAGTATTTCTTAACTCATAAATCTGTCTTTCATCGGATTTCCCTATCCTTTTGACCAAGGTACGTTTTTTGGGACCGAACCTAGTCCAAGGTATTCATCGAAAACAGTTATTAAACCACTTTTATTTTACTACAAATTCTAGCGTTTTTGCATTAGAAGTGCGTTTGTGAAAAATTAAGGTGGACATTCTCGTGTCTCGGTTATAGTCAAATTCATTTGGAGTTATTAGTAATATTTAACATGCACTCATGAGTCGATATGCAAGTCGTGCAAGCTATGCGAACCTGATTGAAACAGACAGAATGTGTGACACACAGGGGGTTTTAAGCTGTGGAATTTTTCTACCAATTTAGTGGGTTTAAACGCAAATTTTAGGAAATGTACCGTTGTTCTACATAAAAGGAATCTTATGGAGCATAAATCCATTGGTCAACCTTCCATTTCCTACTTGGATCCACAATCAAGGGGAGATTCACTGAAAATACATTTTATAAACACAAACTTATCCGAAGAAATTATTACACAGAGGGTTTTAATGACAGACTTATGTAACTTCAAACTTTTGAACATGCTGAGCACTTTCTGCATAGGTTTCAAGCAACTTCATTCTCCTCTTTTTTTTAGGTGACCCAAGGAAGGTGCCAGTGAATAGTATGAGGTGTGCTCAAGCGCTCAAGTTACTCTGGCCTCACTGTCAAACCACCACTGAGCATCACATTTATCAAAAAGCCTGCAATCCACCTCTGCCCTTTTTCAATGTATCCTACATGAAACTGCCTATTGGTACTAATGCAGATTTAGACAGTAGTACAAATTTTATGCAAAATTTTCAACTCATTATTTGAATGCATCAGCAACGCTAACAGCAACGGTAACGGGATTTTTCAATCGACCTCAAACATAAATTGTAAGAATTCTTTGCGTTTAGTTCGTCTACTTTGAATGCACTTTCAAGCAAACTTTTCGAACTGCTAAACTAAACAATTTAGAGAATAAAGTACAACCCCACGGACGTTCGTTCAAAAGTGGTAGGAAATCAATTCTAGATTAAATATCTATTTTCTTTTCCATTGAAATTAATATACATTCAACAGAAGGCATAGGCAAATAAAGCAAAATTCTTCAACCATTTATTAGTACACATTGCGTCCCCATAACTTATGGAATGACAAAAAAGTTGTAAATGGATAGACAGTAACTTATCAAAGTGTACTTGAGGACTGCGCAACTTACTCTCAGCTGTGCAATCGGTAGCGCGTCTATGAAGCTCATTGGACTGTTGACGGGTTTCAACGATTTTCCCTTCTATGTTTTGAATCTAAAAGCCAGGAGCAGTGTAAAAAATTGGCATTATTCGACATACTAAAGCTGATAAATCGTAAAACAAGCAGGAATTCTGCAAGTCAGTAGAGGCAAATTTCTAAATAAAATGTATCAAAGTTACATCTATAAAAATAAAGCATACTGTTCTACTGAATAAACCTCACCATTGTTCTTTGCTCTTGAATCTGATGCGCAATCTTGCTCTCTCTTTCCCTTTCTAACCGTAGTTTTCGTGCCATATCTAACATCAGTGTACTCGTAGGGAACATTTCCAACTTAAAAAAAATAATTCAGCAATTATCGTTACGAAACATGGAATTAAAATAATAGATGGCTGGATGCTAACTACTGTAAGTAGGGTATTGCTTGCGGTAGAATACCTTTTTCTTCATTCGATTAATTCTGCGTAATATTTGATCCTTTTCCTCTTGCATAGCTGCAATATCACTTTTGATCTCTGATGTAGACAGACCCTCCGACTTTAGTGACTCCAATCGCTTATGGGCATTTTTAAATGTTCCTATTAGAGCCTCATGCTGAAATAAACGAATGTGCACACTATTAGCCAAAACAAGTACCCGGATTTAAAAACAAAAAGTTCCGCTAGTTTTGGTAAGCTGATTTAAAAACGTTAACGCCCAGAAAGGTATTTCCAAAAACTTCGCTAAAAATACTTTCCATGCACAAATGTAATCATCCGGTTTTATGCTCCCTAAACATTAAATCAAGCACTTAACTACAAAAAAATTGGCAGACAGTTGGTTCAAGACACCCTGCTGGCCATTATAACAAGTAGATCTGAATAAAGTTCAGGCTATATCGCATCCCCTATCATCACAAAGATAATGCTTATTTATATGCCTGACTCCACAAACCTCCGCATACAACTTGCTTATTTCAGGATCATGCATGAATTCTGATGGAATCCTAACTTTCACAAGGAATTTGGAAAGGTATGACCGTTTCTTGTGTTCTTCAAAGTTTTTTAATAATGACTCCAAGATCGGATAGATGTATGACTTATCACCGATCACAAGTCCCTCGCAGAATTTGGTTCTACAAATTGGGGGCACATACTGCTTCATTTACAACTCGCCAGGGTCTGTTGGGACATTGTACCTGAGAATTCGCAGAGCTTCCAAAATTCGTACTGTAGTTTGTTCTGGCGTTTCTTCTCGTATATCTCTTTTATGCTTATACTTTAGGGCAAAGCATACAAATATACCTTCTGATCGAGTTCTCCGAGGACATCACTAAGTATTTGAAGCAAAAGGCTAGAATCCAAGCCATCAAAGGTTATGAAGTTAAAATTGCGATTAAATGGGGGCGCTGTAAGCTTTTCTGTTATGAATCTAATAATTTCGCTCATAACGCCTCGTCGTCAAGGTCAACGATTCTTGAAATGGCATTACCAATTTTTGGCCTTATTTAACACAAAAAAGACATGCTAATAAAAGATCCTAAATATCACGTTGTACCTTATATTTTACGTAGTAACTAATTTTGAGACTGCGCTTTGGTAAAAAAACCAAGCATTAAATATAAGAAATGATAATCATTACCGTAGGAATGTATCGAATGAGCCACCTGTATTCGCCCTAAGTCGGCTTGGATTTGAGGATTCCCTAGTAATCCTCCTTAAATACTATTTGCAAGATTCGCCTTAACCATGATAAGTGATGGTGTATAGTTGATTCTTGAAACAAAATACTTCCGTTTTTCACTATAGTAAGCTTAATTCCCAGTATCCTATGTGAACCAGTCTTCCCTGAGTTAATCGGATATGCGGTCTGCGTACTATTCTAAATAATCCCTTCCGTCGCTCAAATACAAACTAGTAAGCGACACACCACCCGTTTTACAACTAGCGCTAAGTGGTAGGAATCTAGCACCCATCTTCCCTTAAATGTGTTGATTGGTCGCAGGCAAAGCCCCACCGTGCAGCGGATGTTTTGAATGCACACCAGCCAGCGAATGTGTCATACCTAGCGTCCGAAGGCGCACTAGAATAGGTCTAATACCAACGTACAGAAGGGTCGGAAGACCATTAACATGGCCAAACGGAAGACTCAACACCCGCCACCGCAACTCACCATAAGCCGGCACAACCGCCCACTGGTGAAAATAGCCCCACTTAGGGTCTCAGGGAACTATAGCACCCACAGTCTCCCCATAAGCCTAAAACCCACCTCCCAGTTCAGTAATTAATACCTAACGAGATATGAAGATGAGGAAACCAACCTCTCCAATCTGGCACACAATAAAAGAGCAAGAACAGATTCAGTTAAGACAATTACATTTAGGAAGTTTTACTTTTGCACAATTATCAGCATTCATACAAAGGACCAAAACGGAAAAGGGATGAGAACGCGAATATCATCGTTTAGAGGACAAGCTTACTGACGCTGGTTATAGCTGTAGGAGGCGCCGCTACCACCAATCGGACCTTGTTGCGCTTGCGACCCGCTACCTCCGACAGACGAATTGGCGCCGAAGGGCCAGCTACCACTAGCTGAAGGAGCTCCGCCGTAGTAGCCACCTGAACCGTAACCGTATGAGGACGCCTGCGGCAGCTGTGCCGGGGCAGCGGATGCGTAGCCCTGCGTAGCTGTCCGCGCAGTCTCACCAGAGGACTTTGAGGCCGCATTCAGCGCCGAGGCGTAAAGCGAAGGCGCAGTCGCTGCTACCGCCGCCGCTGCTCCTACTGACACAGGCGTATTTGATGCGGTCGCTGCAGCGTTCCCACCCGAGCTGAAAACGTTACCGTAGCCGTAGGACGCGTAGTTAACACCAGCCGAATACTCGTAGCTCTAGAATAAGAACATGTACCGCTGATTTACTAGGGCAATACGCACACGGGATGTAAACACACGAGTCATGAAAACGATACCAACCCGAGGGTCAGATTTGGAGGAAACAGAGCCCTGTTGACCGTAGCTTCCCGCACCACCGCTACCGCTTTCACTACCGTATCTCTGAAAATGCTTTCAAGAGATAATTTTACACAAAAGGTAGAATAATGCATCAAGTCAGCCATATCATCAACGTACCTGTGATGGTTGCCCGGCTTTTAAATGCCCTCCGGATCGTTGATTGTAACCACCAGAGTCAAAACTCTAAAGGGCAAACAATAATATGTCTTATTGGTGTCTCTACTGGTCAACCATCTAAATTTAAATCACCACATAGAAAGCATCTACAAATCATGGATAGGTAGCAGGCATTCCTCATTAAAAACATAAAAGCGCTGGGTGAAAAACAGACCACCTGTTGGAATGGTTGTCCAGATTTCGTGGGTGTCCCTTGTTGACCGTAGCCAGAATAGCTCTAAATTTAATAACTTAATGCCAGTTTGTAAGATGGGAAGTACCTGCTGACCCTGACTGGATGAGTTGCTGCCTTGTTGGCTATAAACATCACCATAGTCCTGAAACGACAACATTAAACTTTGTTTAATCACAATTAAAATCATATACCACTGTAAAGTATTTCAACCACCTGCTGTTGACCCGGTTTATTCGAACCACTGCCTTGTCCGCCACCAAATCCCTGGTAATATCCCTGTACATAAAAATGAGCGCAGTACACAGTTTAATTCGAACAATGCAATCCACAAAGCCACTTGTTTCTGAGACAAGCAAAAGAAAGTTGAGCTCAGGGTAATTCTACCTTTTGGACAGGCTTATTATTCGAAAAGCAGAACAACTAAATCACTGAAAGCGTTTGGAGGTCTACAAGTCTCTTGTTTATGGTAGCATCGAAAAACCATGAGCAATGACAACACAATGGGCAAAATTTATGACCTTATAGACGTTTTCAATGTGTATTGTCCATTTTAGTTGTCCTAAGGAAGGATCGTGCACATCTCTAGTACTTAAGCAAATAGTGATCCACGCCTCTAAGCTACGTGATATCTTTCCACTTTAATTACAAAATGGTGGAGAACAACTATATTGCCTTCACAGCAATAGATTCCAACAAGGTCTTCTGCAGTTAAATGAGTTACGATGTGACCAAAGATAATTGTATATTTAAACATAAAATTTACATCGTGCAGTTAAATAAGCCTTTGACTGAGAAACTTGGATATTACTTACTCCTTGAGATTCCTGGCTGTGTTTCGATTGTGTTTTTCCACTTTGAAAATCGTTGCCGTAGCCCTACAGTTGGTTTGAACATTATTGATAAACTGCTACGTCGAAAAACAGCAAAATGCAGACAAATCTCATACAAGCTGAAATTTCTGGGCACTGAGGTTTGTTGAATCTCCGACTCTTTGACCGTAGGCATCATTATCATAACCCTAAAATTGGTTCCAGGCAAAGGAGAATCAGTACCATCTACTAAACCAAAAAAATATAATTTGCGATTTCATGTGAATCACCTGCTGCTGGCCTGGCTTGTCGAATCCGCGGCCGGGTTTATCATCATCATAGCCTTTGTAGTACCTCTATTCAAGTAGAAATAAGATTCTACAATCTAACCATGCATGATTGCAACAAGCAAATAAATTCAGCAGATAAAAAGCACAATCATCACCCGGGAATGAGATCTCAAATGACACCAAAATATTGCGATGCCCATCCTGCATCAACCTTCTTGAATATACAAGCAGCAAAAAAACTGGAATAATAACTAAGCATAAAATAAGAATGTAAAAATTGGAATACCTCCGAGGGATCGCCTGTTTGCGGTCGCTGACGTCCGTAGTTACCACTACCGCCGCCATAACCACCGCCGTAGCCTCCCTAAATTAGAAAAAATCCGAAACAATTTCAAATCATCCACTAAATATTATTTGTCTGAATGGTAGAACACTGGTAACAACCAGATTCGTACACTTAGTTCACATAAGGACGGATAAAAATAAACCCTACTTGCTGGGAAGGCTTTTGCTGTTGTCGGTTGGCTCCTTGATTTGTAAAATCACTACCATAACCCTGGAAGGAAGCAAATAACACTTTACAGAATTCTCAAATGGGTAAAGTGCTCCCCGATGACTCCATGAATCGCGATGAAAACATCCTTTTGAAATAACACCGCGCTACATGTTCTCACACAGACTTTTTCATTGAGTTGGAAAATAAACAAAAAACAAAACAAAGCGATCTCCTTCAAACGAATAAAAACTGCTAGAGAACAGTGCAACATCCAGCTGCCTGTAATAGCTGAATAGTAGAAGACGGGAGTTGAGTACTAGCAACACTGGTGATTTCATTCAAAGACTAATTGTCAAGGCAAGCAGTAGATTAAGCGGACAGATACAACCTACCTGCTGTACCTTCTGGGGAGACGACTGCATGCCGCCTGGTTGATGCCGGTTGTAGCCATAACCATAATCCTACAGGGCAGAAGTGCTGAAAATAGCATCTGGTTGCCCCTAGCATTAAACACTTTGTCAATGGGAATGATGAAACCAAATTATATTTAAAGCGGAGAGCTTTAAATCACCTAAAACATGCAGACAAAATTATCTTACTTGAGCAGGTCCTGTGGTCGATGGTGGCTGCCTTCCTCCACTTTGTTGGTTGTAACCACTACCACCACCTCCGTAGGCGCCCTTAAGTATAGAACAAGTAAGCAATCGGGCCAGCAACTCAGACCCCTGCATGATTAAATAATTAAACCAACTTGATCTTGCTGAGCTAGCGAACAGCCCTGGTCATAGCGCGAACGGGATTGCTGGCTGTGGCTATCCTTTCCGCCATCATAACCCTGGGATGCGGCGTAGTTTGACCTATACCTCGAAGCAACAGCTTGAGAGGAAGTAGAATCTCGCTGCGGAATATCATCGGGAGCCGCTGAACTAAATCTGGATGGACGCCCATTCCCACCAAAAGCACTGCTTCCACGCTGTTGAGACTTTTGATACTCGTCTCCGCGACCAAAGCCACTGCCTGGATAATTGCTGGGGGTGCCGGCGTTACCTTTAGGCAGCCCTTGCTGCTGGGGCTGCTGCTGACCGTAAGCGCCATAGTAAGAACCAGAATAGGTTGAAATGGGCTGCCTAGAAGCAGGTCCCTGAGAAACCTGGGGATAGCTGCCACCACGTGGACCACCAAACGAGGTACCTCTGTCACCACCGCCACCGCGACCTCCACGGAACCCACCTCTGTAATTAACACCTGAAAAAGCGTAGGTTTCACATGTTAAAGTTTTCAACATTGTAAATTAACATCGAGAAAAGAGCAAGGACGTAATAATACCCTGATAAAGACCAACATAAATTCATTTACAAGCTACTTACCATCTCCTTGGAAGCCTCCGTGATACTGTCCCTCCCCAATAGCAGCTTGTTTAGCAGGCGGTGGTCCACCAGACGAATCCCCAACTTGTTCGTATCGTCTTCTTTCACCAGTTGCGTAGTAACTGTACCCTGTACCGCCGTAGTTCCCATAGCCACCACCACGACCGCCGCTGTTGCCTCTTTGGTATCCATCGTTACCTCCGTCGTCATTTCCTCCTTCTCCGCGATATCCACCACGATTAAAGTGAGGAGGCCTATCAGAGCCAAAGTGATCATATTGAGACCCTGAGTAAGAAGGTCGATCAAGGGGGAAGGGTGCACCACCAAAACCTCCACCCCTGCCACGAGGACTTCGCTGAAAGGCCCCACCGCCGCCAGCTCCACCGCCATAGGAACCGCGTCCTCTACTACGGTAGTCGCTATCATTATCGAAACGACCGCCACCACCATAGCGACCGCCTTCCCGATTTCCAAATTCACGTCCTTCGTCGCGATAGCGAGGCCCAAACCGACCCCGGTCTCCACCAGTGCCACGATCGGTGCGGTAATCAAATCGACCACTTCCGCTTTAAAATAGAATAAAGCTGTTGGAACTATCAGGAAGTTATACCCAACAATACCGAAAATGGCTAACTGCCTATGGTATTGAACAGTCAAATGATCTAAAGATACTGATGGAGCCCAACCTACCGAGAATCTCGACGATCATAGTCACCACGACCCGAAGACCGGCTGTAGCTATCGAATCGTGAACGGTGATCTCGGTGATGATACTCACGGTGATCACCATGACGGCTACTCGAGTAGTCCCGATGGCTGGATGAATCCGTACGATGCCGTTTTTCAGCCTGGCGACCAGCCTTACCCTCAGCGTTGTACTGTTTCACCAGCTTTTCGGCTTCGTCGCGTTGTAGTTCAGTAAAAATCACTTCGTCGAACACGCTTGAAGAGTCTTCCACAACCGACTTGGGAATTTCAAAGTTTGCTAAAAAGCAAAAAAAGGATATTGTTGCGAGTATTAAGTCCAACAAAATGCAAATAAGCAATTTTATATTTACCAACTGGCAAAGTTATCGAATAGTAGGCAAAGTGACCACGTGGCCGAATACTACTTCGATGCCTTTGCGTGAAAGCATCCAACTCACTCGCACGCTTACCCATTGGCGTAAATAAAACCCAAAATAAGATTAAAAGAGGGAGAGAGAAAGTAAGTATCCACTCAGACTTACCTATAATGCCAGGAGTTATTAGACCGACAATTCCCAAAGGGTGAACAGATACGATAGAGAGGCACAGAGAGAAATACACATCGAGTCAAATTCAAAAACTACCTTTCATTTCCAGCACAGCTTTCTCTGGGACTTCTTTTCCCTCCTCCTTTGCACGCTGATCAATCCTGCGCTTGAATTCTTCATCCGTGGGTACGATAACAATGGCCCTGCGTTGAAAACCCTCGAAAGGGCGCATTTTACGCCGCTGAGCAGAGGGATATACATTTGTCTGTTGACCCGAACAGCAGCCACGTGAATCGGCGCAACCGAAGTGAATGGGGAAAAAACATTCGATTTGGTTGGCAAGTGATCAAAGTTTCAGACGAACCTCCAGCAATTCAACCCTTCGATAAAATCATAGGTGTTTCCACCATCCAATAGTGACTTTTCTGTTTGTTGCTGCTTTATTGCGTCTACAAACGCATACTCAGGAAAAATTAGCGAAACAGCCCAAACATCCCTTTTTCGGAGTTATCGACTAACGATAAGCGGACATTAATTTGGTGTGGGCTTCAAAAAATTGCCTTCTACTAATGAAAAGAAGGCATTGCACGGTCATATGCGTCCGAACAAAAAGGATCACAGTATCACTACGTATTAACTTTCAATCGTGACCGATTCCAAGTAACCTAGCGGTTGCAAAAGAATGAGGGAAGCCAAGGAAAAATGATCGAGTTCTGGAAACAAGGAAGCAATCAGCGTATTGAAGACGATCGGGGATCGCAAGTCAGCAGGAACGAAGTCTGTTTACAAAGAGAAGTGTATGCAACGTTACCTGCATTAATAGCTCAATACAGACAAAATATCTTTTAGACACTAACTGTAAAGAAAATAAGGCTCACACCAGTGGGGATGAGCTTGGACCCGTTAACTACAATTTCTTTCTTCCAGTGCTTGAAGCAGCTTCCTACCCGAAACGAAAACAACCCCAAAAAATAATCAAGCATTTTCGATCCCCGAAACAATGGGATATGGCACGGTTATGGTGTCTCAAACGAAGTTTATCCCTGTTACGGTACCGACAGAAGTGATTGGAAAATAGTATTCCAGCACCACGAATTGTCAAATCCATCACGCTGTTTAGGTTCAAATAGACGAAAAATACGTCTAGATGTTGCATCGGATAGCATTTGACACCGAATAAATCAGCATTTATAACGATTATGTGCTAAAAGAAATGCGTGTAGCGATTAATGTTTACAAACGTTGGTCAGCCGTCAGTCAATATGGTTAATAGGTCTCGCGAGTGTTTTTGATCAATGACGCCGAGTTAAGCGGCAGTTTAAATGGAGACCACACTGATTCAGGAAGAAATCGTCGCGTTCGGTAATGAATGCAAAGGAGCTACAGAATATCGAAACGCATTTTTGTCCATGAAAACTACTGAGAAGGTACATCTTTGAAAGACGTCAAAACGAACCTGGTCGAGTATGTAATTCCGTCTACGTTTGCAAGCGATTGATATAAGTTTATTAAGACACTGGTTCGCCTTATCAATAAGAACGTCCCATCGGCCGTGGTAGTTTCGCTTCCTTGTCAGTCCTGTAACCTACAGCGATAATGCCCGTAGTTAATACCCATAAAGTATCCGTCAAATTTAAGATGAGCATTCATTTACCTTCATTTTATCAAGTATTAGGTTTGTTCCAAGAATATTGTATTGCTTTTCAGGTTTCAATTTGCATAAGCTGTTGGCATAGACGGTCTTCCCTGCGCCGGGTAATCCAACCATCATAATTGCTTCGCACTCAGCTCTCGACGGTGGTGGCAGTCCGGCGCGAACACGACCTTCTAAAGGAACCTGGTTTACCAATTTCCAGGAATCGGGATCTACAAAAATAGATTAAGGGACATCCTCATACCGTCCGATGGAGGAAACCAAGCATCCTGATTTTCTTGACCAAAATTGACCATAAAATCAACATTTTTGACATAAACGTGAGGAAATAGGGCGAAATCACCACCCAAAGACGATTTTAGAACTCGATAACATTCCCCTTGATTCGCACCATTGACACTGAAACTCATGACTGCTTCAGAATCAGTTATCTCGAGAAATGCACCAACAACATCTCCTTCTCTGAACTCGCAACCGTATTCTTCAAACTTGCCACCGGTAGATTTCTTGGCCATTCCACCATATCCATAGGTGTTTACCTCCTCCCCGAGGGCAAGCCCTGACTTATCTGTTGACCAGCCAACACGGAGCACGTGTGTGGCACCACCAACTAGTGACTCCGCACTGTCGACAGATAGTTCCTTGCCAACCTTCACTTCAAAAAAACACTTCCCATCTTTTACGCCATAATTAGTTCGCGCTCCAGCCCACATGAGAGAAAAACCCTCTTCCGTTAGGGGCTTTGCAGAAAATCCATCTCGAGCAATAATCAAGCTGATGTCAGAATTGTACATGTCCAGAAGTACATCTTCTTTCTTCTCCCAATCATTGACTTCATCTTCTACTTCGATGCTCGGTTCACATACCCGACGAGGAGGTGTCCTGCGCCTATCCCGATCCAGGGAATGATCATAGCCCCTCGATCGATCTCGTTCACGGGAATGATTGCGCTCCCGAGATCTGTGCCTACTTCTGTCTTTCGAAAAATCCCGTTCTCTGGATGGATCTCGATCCGAGGAGTGATCCCTTTCGCTAGAACAGTCCCGCAACTCAGAAGAATCTCGGCCCTCCAAAAGTCCCCCCTCACACAAAGAATCTTGTTCTTTTACATCCTGTTGGCTCCCCGAAATGGCCTTTTCTTCGGGAGGATGTTGGTCATCTGAGGTACCCTGCTCTCCAGCATGTGGTATAGGAGATTCGCTAGATGATTCTAATTGCTTAAGAGGACTTCCCTCAGGCTGACAATCTTCCTCTTTTGACGCAGGATGTTGTGGGGTGGGACTTTGAGACTTGGATATTTCATTGACATTCACGGATGAATCACCAGTGGCACCAGCCTATGACAAAAATATTTGAATAAAAGGACATACAACAAAATTCCCCTCGGGGGTTGCGACACTATCGGCCTCAACTGCTTTAACCGATTCCTGAATGGGTTTACTGCCTAACAACAGATAACAGCTTATGAAATACCATACCTTCAACAAGTGATTTTGCGAAGTCCTGGAGTGTTTTTCCTTCATCAGCCAGCACCTTAGAAAGACGCTGCAAAAGCACAGCTTTCGTTCCTATGGGATTAATTCTGCGTCTCTTTAGTTCATCACGCAAATCATTAACTTTCAATGTCGTTGGATCAAACGGCTGGTCCATTTTGTAGCTGCAATGGGAGACAATCACTGATTGAAACAAAAGTTGACAAAAAAATAGGAATTTTAGAGCCTGTGATATACTTTTTCTAATGACTTATTGTTATATGTTGCAACGTTAGTTTTGCTAGTATTGGTTTATGCTTATAACTTCATCACATTAATTACACCCATGGTAAAATAGCCAAAGAGAATTTTACTAATTCACACCAAACGCAAGCTTTAAAATTTTGTCTTTATAAATACTAAAAATGTGTTTAAATATAGCCAAATTTGCTTAGAATTATGAGACGTAGGCATGTGCACATTAAGTATGTTTCTTTTAAGACCTTTATGCTTATCCTTATCCGAAAAAATAGTTTTAGCAGTTTTTGCTTTAGTATGCAGCTCTGACATCTTAATATTTGTGACGGATTACTAAAAGGTCTTGGTTATTTACGGAATGAGGAGTCCTAATTTTAATTTTAATGTAATTAGGTAAAAAGTGATTTTTGAATTTGTAAGCGTGCCCACAATAATTTGTTGACTTTGCCTAGCTGCTTTAAGTAATTCGTAGATTTTTACTGGAATGGTGGTTTTTTTCCTAATACGCAATTTTAGGTCAAATGTTTAAGCGCCATACATAATCAGGTTCGGCAAATTAACGCTGCCCCCGCTGCGATTGTTCGAGTCCAGCACGCCTTCTCGACCATAGTTTTAAATCTAGTTAACGAGACCACTCTATTAAGTCGAGCAATGTTAAGACCTAATTTTACTTTGAATTGTTGCAAAATATTGGATTTCTACGGTAGCGTACATGCTGAAGAAGAATCAGATAGAATTGACAAACGCATCAGAAAAAGGAACAAAAAAGTTTTGAAGCCTTTAGTGCAAAAGATTCTTCTTCTCGGTACCGGTGAAAGTGGAAAAAGCACTTTCCTTAAGCAGATGCGTATTATCACTGGGAAGTCCTTTACAAATTTTGAATTGGAAACATTCAAGTCGGTTATCTATGACAATATCTACAAAGGTGTATTGTACCTACTTCAAGTAAGCCATGTTTTGCGAAGTTTTAGAATCACTTTGATGGTTTTTTATAGTTTGTTTTTAGAAAATGCGTATTTTGCGTGAATCTAAATAATTTTGGGTGTATTTATTTTATAAGGTATCATATCTTGTAATAATACAGAGTGAATGTGCTTGAGTTCTTAGTTAGTGCTTAGTTATCAGCAGAGCGAAATCTTGAAAATTACTTTGCACTTTGATGTCTTTTCTAGATTTATGGAATGTTGAATGTTGAGTTGAAATTTTTTATGCTCTTTCACACGATGCAGCGTTCGCCGTCAACAACCCATTAATAGTATGGCTGCAAGATCTCACCTAAAATCAGATTACTATCTGGTCAATTTTTGTTGCACTTGATATCTATCTTAAGCTGAATTTCTTTTTTTCTGACAGTATTGTGGTACTTAATTTTTGTTATATTTCCAAGATTCCGTAATAAAAATTGGTAACTTTGTATAGCAGTAAAGGCATAACCATAAACTTTATTCATGTTTTAGAGTTTCTAGGTTGTTTTATTCGGTATTTTTTAAACGGGGTATTCACTTCTTTCAAATAAGCTGTTATGAATAAACAGATTGGGTTTTGAAGGAATAATTACGGTGTCACAAGTACACCTAGCTTTCATAGTATCTTCTGAAAACATATTTAGCAGTGTTTATTGCATTATTTTTTCCTTAATCATACGAAATTAAAATAATTTAAGTAACCTTTACATGATTATAGCCAAGATCAGAGAAACTCTTTTTTCGTAATTGGTGAAATGTTGGCACCTTAAATGTACTACTTGTCTTTTTTCAAAGTGTTAAATGATATTTTCGTTACCTCCAGTGATTACTGTTGTAGTACCATCCTACCAGTAAAACCGTTTTCTGAGTATCTGCGACGTTTGCGGCATTTAAATAACAACTAACATATGACCTTGATAAGACTGGCAGTAACTGACACGGATATTAGCATATCCATGTTACAACGTGTTCATCACATCTTGACAATAGTTCCATTTATGATTTACCTACTTCCCCTTCTTTGATAGCTTAAGGAACAATTCAAACTAATAGACTTTTTTTTCAATTTAGCCGAATGCAGTACTTCATTAACAAAAACAAAAAAAAGTAATTATATGCTATCGGTCCTTGTATCTAAGGTGTACATGAATCCTTCGGAGCTATTTGCGACTAAACTGCTGCTTCCACCAACGAATCAGTTTACCAGTAAAGATGACATCCTTCCTCTTTCGAATATTTCAAGCCTTGGCAAAGGAGATGAAATTTATTTTCCGTCCTCACTTTCTTCAGCACCGTAGTTGGAACAGTCGGTTGTTTAAAAAGATATTAACATCTGATTAGTCAAATTGGTTCCACTAGTTCCTGACATGTAAACAACGAGCATCATTTGCATGACGCTGTCGCATTTTTACGAGAATAAATTTGTATTTTTATCCTTCTACTTTGAGATTGCAGTGTTTTACGTTAGACTGAAACTTATTAATGTTTCTTCAGCACACTCCTGTGGCTTCATTAGCATGCAATGCCTCAGACTCTCATGAAAAAAAATTAAAATTATTGCAATTGTGTAAAATTAACACCTCATTCAACAACAATTTTAACTGTATGTAACTTAATTCAAAGATGCATTTGATCCAAGGATCAGCGGCTGAGGAGGTACTCCGCCTCTAGCTCAACCTCAGATGCTAGATTCCTCTCATGATTAGCGGTATGATGTGTGTTTATCGTAATTTCCAAACGCTTTCCACAAAGGCACGTAGCACCCTTGGCATCGCTTGGGCAGCAAGTGGAGGCGAGCCTGCCGTGGCAGCGGAGCGACTGGAGGAGCACTTTCGTCGGACTCGAGCGCTGCATCGCGAGCGCACACTCCACTGTAGTGGAGTGCCCGCCTGGTCAGAGGAGGAGTTTCTCGAGCTGGCTCCGCTCTTTTACGCCATCTGGGCTGACTCCAGCATCCGCGCAACCTTTGATCAACGAAACCGTTTCATCACTGAAGGATTTGTAAGTGTAGCCCTAGGCAGTACACAGCGTGCCCATGGCACCCCGAGGACGTAAGCGTGAAATGTTAATTCATAAATTTTAAATGTTGGTAGTCCAGGCCTGGCTACTCGAAACACGGGCACTTTTGTGTGATAGACTACATTTAGTTTATAATGCTATTTCCTATTTGGCTAGCAGTTAACATGGTGCGAGTGCTTAGACCTTTGCGGTTGATTTTTGTTCTATCAGATTCCGCATTGCTTAAATTGGGTTTCTCCTGCGTTTTATGGCATATCAGTCACTTTTCCATTGATAAATGGCGTGCACTTTTCTCTGCAATACCCTTTGCCGAGACCGAGCAAGGCTGTTTCAAGCAGGAGGGTAAAATCTTGCACGCTGGATACTTTAATTTGCATTTGTGCAACAGTGCCACTGTGCGTACCATTCGGTTAAAATGCCGTAGAATGCTTCGATGGGTGTTCAGTCGTCAGTTTATTTCCTAGTAGAATATTACTGTGTTATATTTTTTGAGCCATCTAGTACGTAAAAGTGTTTCCGCTTTTCATTTCGCTTCCAGAGGTATAACTGCCAGTATAAAATACGTGAAGAGTATTTAGAACCTTTCTGGCTAGAGTTCACGTGAATAACATGGCAAATCTGTGGTCTAAGATCACTGGCCCTGATCATCTTAAACATAGGAATAATAAATAATACAAATTGTTCGCTTTTGTTGAACTGCTTTTCAATCTTCAAAGCATTCGCAAACGAAAAATCGTTTTTTTGGTTGAACTCAACTTTTTAAGTACGTCGATTTCAGTCGTATCAACAGTGATCCGCCAAACTTTACACGCTCTGGCTTATTCGATATTTGCGATGAATGACTTCTTACTCACAGTGGCTATAAATATTAAGCTATAGCCCAACTGCTAGGCATACCATGATTTTTCATTTATGTTGGGTGAATTTGGGAAAATATTACTGCCTCCTTTCATTAATTCAGCAAAATTTTACTCACCATGTGCTCTGGACTTGTTTGAACGATTCTATGTGGACTAATTTTATAAATGTCACGAACTTACCAGTAATGCGAACCAACCTGGCATTCTCAAAGTAGTGGGCAATGCTCTTAGAGAGACCCATAATTTAAAAATTGAGGTAAAAACCGGAAATAAAGTATTTCGCTCCAAATTTGTGTTCTCAATTCTGTTCTATCATAAGCCAGGGATGGGATCCTATGCAGATGTAGTCGCTGCAATGGTGATTGTGGTTTACGACTCTTATTAGCATTTTTAGTATATTTTAGGAAGTCATGGCTACTCTGATGCTAATTACTATTGGAAGTAGATGAATGCGGTCCTAGGTGTAGGAGGCTTAAAGGATATCGATGGGATTGCATTATTAGGGATGTATAAATGCAAGAACAACAAGTTCCTTCCCCCGCTCTCAGATCAACAAATCTCAAATCAACACTGATCTCTACCTTTCGCGAATACCTCACATATTTTTGATAACTCATTTTTAATGGTGCGGCGAAAAGAAATGAATATTCAAATCCTCAGTTCCATCAAATGACCTCGATACGACTAACGAGATATATGACATTTGAAAAGCTGAAGCTACTAAGAAACTAGTACCTCCACTTTCTACACACAGAGAGCCGCGTAGTGCCATCTCTCTCGAAAGTGAATTAGCATTGAAGTGGCACCATTTCAACCCCACTGTCCACAAATCAGCACCCCTTAGTCGGACACTTGGTTGGCGGTCAATTCCCACGCTACGTGGTGCATAACAGCTTTGCCCCCCCACTCACTGCCTTCTACCTGTTGACACATGCATCCAGATCTGATTCATTTATATGTTCATTGTGATCTTGGTAACAGTGCTGTGGTCGAGAGCGAACTCACAGACGTGTAGACATTGGTATCTCCCTGAAAGGAAATTTGGACAACATGGAATATTTTGTATTTTACGGTCACTCGGTTTCTTGTTAAAAATGGTCCAATTCCTTTCATTTATTTAAGCTAGATGAGAAATGTAAATTTGCAAGTCTTTATCATTTTTGAGGAGCCCACTTGTCCTTAAAATCTGAGGTACATTTGCAATCTGGAACGATTTGGCTGTTCTCCCCTCTCACTCGCCTTTAAAACCCTGTTGATGCGAATTGCCTCAAATGCAACGGACGACGCTTTGGCTTAAATTCGTAAAACTAGACCAAATTTATATAGCATGCTTCGTCGACAACAAATATCTAAAAAGGTAGGCTCCTGTTCACAATACTTTTCTATTTTTATGTACTTTGTGCTTGATTTGATTTAAGTATCTTTACTGGATTTAAAAGGAAGTACTCATCAAAGGTAATTGTCGAATAGATTTTTTTGAGAACGTGCACATGTAAGGCAGCACTTTCTCGCAAAAATTTACTGACGTTTGTGATAAAAATACAATTTGAGACCCAGGAATGAATTGACCTCAAAATACCACAAATTAAATCGCCATCTTCTCTGCCTAACTTGTTCATGCCCACGGTATCCCTCAATCCCAAAACCTAGTTGCTTGTTCCACCGAGAGCCGAGGGACACATGAGTGGCATGTATCGTTGGGCGGCTCTCTGGTCAATCATCCGCACCTTCATTGCATCATGCTTACAGTATGATTGCAATGCGATTTGGCAAAAATTTGCACTTCTTTTATTTTTCCCTGTAAGTGGGCTCCCAAAACCACACAGGTTTAAGCACCTTCTGTGGCACGATTACAAAAACACTTCTTATCCACTCAACGTGAACCTTCTTATCACATTTCCTGCTTACCAGCTTTAAAATATCCCCTTTTAAATACACTTTCCTGTTTATTTTGCATTCAAGAGGGGCAAACTCTTCTGAAGTATAAACATAAGCCTTTTTGAATGTCAATGAATACAGGTTTTCTGCTTACATGCAAATTCTTACAAGAAATTTCGCTAAAATTGCAGAAGATTATCTTATAAGCAATCATAGTTTCGAATAAACAGCGGTGTCCAATGGTGTCTGAATGATTAGTTTCCATTCAGTACACCTACACCGTAAATTATCTTCCCGTAGAAATACTCCATCTTAAAAGCAAATGGGTTAGTATAAAAGTGCGATGGGAAAATCTCATCAATAACGTCGTAGAGATTTCATTAATTTGGATCTCAAAAGGAGCACATTCTCTCCACGTTGCCAAGATTGACGTGTTGTTGACTTAACACTGGAACACTGACAATGGTGAACCGCTGCCTTCAGTAACATAAAAAAACCGCTAATTAATTGAAATAAACTTAATTATTCACACGCTGACGTTCCTTTTTGAACTGATTCCCTTATAGTCAGGCCACATTTGATGGTGAACCACATGCAAAGTTTGGATAAACAGCTGTATAAATTTGTCTAATCTGAATGCAAAAAAGTTAAAACCACAATAGTTAAAGTACTTGCTTTCTATAAAAAGTGTTTTGAAAGGAATATTAGGGAAATATTTATGGTAATTCTCTTGTGAGGCATGCTGCATCGATGAAATGTGTGTTCCGTTATGAATATCACAATGATGAAGTGATAAGGAGTATCCTTTGACTATCTGTCACCGGAAATGTTTCTCTTCTAAGTATCCAACTACCAACTTGGAGTCATTAATGCAATTCGCAACTCAAATTCTCAGTTGCAAGTGTCCGTGTCACATTTTAGAGGTTAACCTTTTCTCTACAACACATTTAATGAAGTACTAAATGTCAAATTTCACCTAAAACTTGCATTTGGCTGATTCTGGAAATTCTTGGACGTTTGTTAAATACGACATAAGAAACCTAATGTGCTTCAGGAACCATTTATTTTGGAAAAATCATATCCTTCCTGTTTTAGAGCGAAAATACGCGCTACTATCTCAACCGTCTCCATCAGATTGCCATTCCTGTGAGTTTATGTTAGCAAATAGCATGTAGGAATATGTATATTAAGTGCAGTCGTTCGCTTTACCAAAGGCTTCTCAGGGTACAAAGACACTTCTTTTAAATACAATGTGCAAGGCTTAGGTTTATGAGGATTTTAAGTGTTTTTGTGTTTTCGTAATAACCTCCTAAACTCTAATTTGTCAATTTATGTACCTAAAAATAGAATTATATCCCTACAAAGGAGGATATAGTTTGGTCACGCCGTCCTACAGATTCCATTATTGAAGAAGAAATCATGGTCCATGGAACCCCATTAATCTTTGTCGATGTTGGTGGGCAGACAAAGGAACGTCGAAAGTGGTGCCAGACCTTTACTGATATGATATCCATCCTCTTTCTCGTGGGCTCCTCCCACTATGACGAGCTCTATCTCGATCGAGTGACGGGAGAGTGCCGAAACAAACTGCGCGAGGCAATGACTGTCTTCGAGGGTCTCATCAACCTTGACACCTTTCGTCGGGTCTCCATAATCATCTTCTTCAACAAGACTGATTTACTCAAAGAGAAGATCGAAGCACATGTTTCTGGGATTCGTGCGCATTTCCAAGAGTTTCCCGATGATGCGGATGAGTTTAATCTCGTCTCAGTACAAAATTTCCTGGTGGAATCCTTTGCTTCTTTAGTGGATCCTGTTGTATATCCTTCCGGAGCGGAATTACCCCCTACTTCTGAAATGCGACATAATCGATTATGCTGGTTTCAAAGAATGGGTTCTAAACCGCAAACGGAAGCGAGTGGCAGTAATTCTTCTAATGCTATTCCTTCGCGAGGAAGTGATTTTTCTAATAGGGTGCCCCGAAAGAGGACTATTTACAGGCACTTCACGACAGCTGTGGACACGAAGAACATTCAAATGGTTTTTAACGCGATGCAGGATACCATTCTCCAGAATAACTTGCGACGGCTAATGCTGAGCTGACCGATTTTATAACAGTAGGGGTATTTCCTGCGATTTGCCTCATACAATTTACTGTATAGTATCATTGTTATGCACATAACCCCATTTTTACTCTCTTACCATTTAACATTCAAGGCAAGCTCCATTTGATCCGAAGTATTTCGCTTAGTAATGGGTTTTTTTAATAACTTGATGCTTGCTCAAATATCTTCTTTTTATTACAGGAGTTTCGAAAATGTAGTCACTATTCCCTTAACAACAAGTCTTATTCAGAAATCTAGACCATTCTTTTGCGTTCATTTTAAATAGACATTTGTAGCTTTACAGGTATGAAAAGAGCACGTTAATACGCACGTCCGTAAGTGGCAAGTTTGTCCTACAACCATCAACCAACGCAAATACGGGCCAAGATGGTAGCCGACAGTTGTAGCGTGTGCATGGAAAAGAGCGATGTGGTAAAAGACCTTGTAAACCATCTCATAGAACTCGCAGATATTTGCGAAAATCCTTCAAACAAAGATGTGTAGTGGGAGCTTAGCAGCGGCAAGACACTTGGATTGTGAAGGCGTTTTAGAGACGGACGTACCTCTTTCAGTAACCACCCTATCATAGCCATTCTCACTCCACCATCCAAACAATAAATGCTGTGTGTTGACCGTGCAATACTAACCCACCTTGAGATTGTACAAGTGGTTAATTTCCTTTGTGCAACAGTGAACTCAACATAATCGTTCAGAAATGTTGAGTGCTCATACAGCTTTCTACTCTTGACCGGCAAAAATGCACCAAACAAAAGGAGCATTTGGGTAGGAAAGGCCATGTTGCTAGAATCGTATTATTGTGTGACGAAACCTGTACACATAATCAAAACGACAGAGTAATAAAGTCATGGGGTTTTACTCCTTTAAACAACCCAGAGCAGTGGCATCTTCAGACAAGGTGATGGTGTGTTTCCTGGGACAAATCAGGTGTTGTCCGCTTTCATTTTTACTCCACAGTACTACTTTTAGCAGTAACTATTACTCTGATGTTCTTCGTGATGCGCAAATGCAATTGTGAAAGAATCGGTCAAGTGTAATTAGTAAGAACACCCTCTTTCTTCAAAACACTGCAGCAACTTATGCTTCACACCACACTGCATGCAATTCGGCCGAATGGTATTGCCACATCCTCCACTGTAGTTCAGGCAAGCCTTTCCAAGAATCTCTCCATGCCGAAACTTCTCAAGTACCGCGTTTACGTTGAGATATGTATATTGATGTGGCGGGTGACTATTTCAAAAGGTGATACAATTTGCAATCCTTGGAACTTATTCCTTTTTTACTGCGCTCCCTGTAGGCCTCGTTTGACTTAAACAGCTCCTATGTAAAGATCACTCGAAATGATAAGTTGCAGACAGTAGAGGAATATTGTTCGGGTTTTAATTCGTCAGCTTCTTTTAAAAAGGTAAGATTGTCGAAGACCCAATCTAGATATTACTTCGATAAATACACGGAGAGGTCAGGTCTGCGCTTTGGTGATAGTATCGCTTGCCCTGACCTCAACTCTTCTGACAGCCATGGGAAACAGAGGGTCGCATTTTACTAATATCCAAATTTCCGACAGAATTAGTGTCGAAGGTAAAGATAAAATTGTTGGTCTACCTATTTAAGCGGCGCTTTTGTATCCACTGTCATTACTAAGACATACCGAATGTTTTTGTGCATACCTCCTGCCTAGTTTTTCATTTCAAGCAACTTTTGAATGCTTTTTGTGATTTAAAATTCATGCCATCGATGGGTCTCAGATTGGTGTAAGTGGAATATTTGCATACAAGTATCTCACATCTTTTATTGCGTCCGTTGGGCGTGTAGGTCTCGGTTGCTTACAGTGGAATTTTAACGCGTTGCTAGCTTTGCTGCATTTATGCGCTTCAATTTTCATGTTTTGACCGCTTTCCCTGTGATGAGGGTGCGGAACTAGGGGACGAAGTGTTCCGATTACAAAGAAGTCCTATTGATGTAAAACCGCTAGAAGAGCTCTGTGGTGCTATTTCTGAAGGTCCCACTTACAAAGCAAAATGCTAGAACTGTAATTGTACCCAAGTTTGAGTAATAAAATTATATAAGTACACTGTAAGAAGCACTATCACTGACTGAATTGATTTTCCCAAAATCTTACTTCCTAAAATGGAAAATACTTTGGAAAAAGTTTTTAAACTTGACACCCATAAAGCATTCAGCTACTACGAACTTTTACTTCAAGTATTTTGACAGCTTAGACTGAATTTGGTCTTTAGAAGAAGTAGTGAAAAGTCATGTTCAACTGATTAAAATTGAAAGGAAGTAATTTCACCGATTCACTTAAAACATTCTTTAAACAACGCCCTGGGATTTCGTAAAACGAGTCTATATTTGCAGATTCATGCCTGCTTTAGCTTAATTAATGGTAAAATTCATTCGCAGAGTATTCTGTACACAACTCCTGTCAGTTGCCGTCCATAAGTCGGAGTTGATAAGATCTGAAATGAAGAAGGTGTAGCCTTTGTATGAGTCACGCCGATATGCTACTTTTGTTGGCTGTCTCATTAACCAACCTACTTTTTCTGGTTTGCCTTATCGTCCACAGGATGCATTTTGTTGTAGCAGATAGCAACCAAATCATTTAAAAACCGGATATTTCAGTCACCAAAGTAATAGCCAAGCGCCAGCATTCGGGTCCACTTCTAATTACTCTACCGTTTCTGGTGCATGGAACGACAAAAAGGGGGTAATAAGTTTTTGACAGACTCAACAATGAAACCAAATACAATCACGAGAGAATTGAGAGGGTTACTAACTTTTCACCGCTATAACTAGAGTCAAAATGTTCCCGACTTCTGAATGTTCCCCCTTTTTCCTCGAATTTAAAATTCATCCACTCCGGAATTTTAGTATTAAAAACATTGTGCATTTGACTGAACGCTAGCCATTTGCAAATATCACTTTGGCATCGTTTGAGACTTCCATTCAGCCATCTCCAAAGTCTAGCATCATTCAACTACGAATGCCAAAGTGGACTCTATTCACTTTACTCAAAAGTGGACAGCTAAACGGCTAATACATTATCACTTGCATCACCCAAAGAGCAGTTGCAACCGACAATAAAGAAATATTTCTTATCAAAAACATGCATAAGTCAACATCTCACCTGATTTAAGACCGCTATTTAGAAGTGCATGTTAAAGTAGCACACGCGGCTAGAGAAATGAAGCGCTTTAAAGTCGTACTCTTAGCCATTTTGCAAAATCAAGGGCAAAACTTTGGCCACTTGGGTTGCTTATTTTAGACTTTAATAACGAAACTTACTGTCTTGTTTAAGGACTGGATGCAATCATATCAAGCGAATGCATCGAAGCCCACGCCAAATACTTACTTGTTGAAGCAGCAAATTTTCAAATGCTCGGCGCCTCTCCCTTTCCGAACGCGTGGTGTTAACACGCAACAGGAGTTTGGCCAAAAACCGACTGACTTGCACATTTTCGAATTCAACTGACATTCCGTTTATGTTCGAATAGGCAGTTTCAGACTGTAAACGTAAGTAAAAATAAATATAAACAGGCAAAGAGGAAGTGCAGATTTACCTAAATTTTCTACCAAAATAAGCAACTGTAGCTGTAAATTTGTTCTTAAAGAAGCGTGAACTTTTGCATGTCAACTGCTATTTGCACGCATTATTTGTCAAATTTTCATGCTGGTCTAAATAGGTCACTACCTGTTCCTGTTTTGTGAGGCAGAATTCTGGGTCATAAGTGATGTTAGTAGAAATAATCTAAAATCAGCATCAGTGTGGGACAAGCAAGTAATAAAACCTCGCTTTGACTGTATGAAAAAGGGAGTTGTTGAAGTCAGAGATTTTCATATTTTAATGCTGTTTCAAACGAATCGTTGTGTTTAATTAGCCAGTCATTGGCTATGCTAAGTAAATTATTAATCAACTTTTCGCCTTTCGTGGGTTCATGGGACTCTCGACTTCCATCAGCGTCGAAAAGGGCAAAAAAAGGAGAAAGAAACGATAGTAATTTTTGTTTAGCCATTTTTATATACTGTTTACCGTTAGAGTCGTTGGCAGCTTTTCCCCATACGCGTATATTTGTGTTGATAGCTGAAATTCAACATGACTGCCACAGGGAAACACCTCAAATCTTCAGTTGCGCAAAAAAAAGAAAAACAGTTTAAAAATATTTGATTTATTGCATAAGAACATTGTATAAATATGCACTTACTTTGTATGACCAAGAAAGAGACCATCTTGGTTGAAAAAGTGATTGAACTAAAGGGAAACCCATTCCATTATAATGCAAGATTTTTAATACGAGTAAACTTTTAAGCTTTCGAGCTGATAAAACATTTGTCTGTCTGCTAAATTGTTCAACAGTCAACACTTTTGTGAAGTTGCAAATCCTTCTACTACTTCCAGTTTACTCAAGTTATTAAGCCACAACTCCTGTTCGTGCAGTTAGTATGACGCCTTTAAATGTGTAAAGGCGGGTCATTTAGAACTGCAAAAATATGTGGACCATTTCTTTTCCGACTCAGCTAAATCATTTGAGCGACTTCCCTTCAGCCTGCCAACATCACTCTCCTCATCAAAATTGTCAGTAAAAATGGATTCAAACACTAACTGGCGCTTCTTATAAATGCTCTAATCAGTGCTTTTGTAGAAGCATTCTTGTTTATCACTATAAAAATGAGCCTTTGAAGACAGGATTGTTTAACGCGGCGAGTTAAGCAGTGGATAGAAGTACGCTTTCAACGTACTGTACACTTCCAGAGGAATCTTTCGTTGGCAGATTCAAAAGAAATGTTGCGATTTGATTTTAAAGAGTCGTAAATGAATCAGCATAAACAAAATCAAGATATACAACACTATTTCATGAACTTAGCAAATACGTCACTTTTTTCATAATTCACGAACAAATAAGTTAATTTCTTAATATATATTGTAATCAAGTTGCTCTATTCATTTCACATAAAATGCATTTTTTAACAAACCCTAAATGGTTCCCTGAAGGAGGATCCTGTTTCCATTTCTAGCATTTCTTTTAATGGTTGTGCAATTACTCGCGGGTAAAAGCGTAAAAAAACCAATCATTCGTGTTAGTCTATTTCCGCTTTCACGGGAGACATAGGTTTAGTTGGTTTACCTTCAACGCCTTCATTATTATGCGATCCACCGAACCATGCAGCTCACACGGCCAGACCAGTCTGTTGAAGTGTGGAGGCATCAACGCAACGGCGTCATGCGGCTGAGGCACCGGTTCCAACACCACCTGTTGAGCCTTAATGCAGGCAGCAAATGGGGCTCACGTAGTCGTCTGGGGGTTTGCGGAAGGCCTAATGTATGGCATTGGTGCTTTGGGCAATTCTGTACCTCAACATATTAGTTTTTAGCTGTATTGCTTTATCAAAGTTAAACAGAGTTTTGCGCTAAGATCACGACTGGTCACTTTTACAAGTACCCAACTCTTGGGAAATCAAATCAACAAATGCGTGGGACCTTCCTAAATACGTAAATAATTATGACAGAAGGATTACCCCAATTTTTATCCAAAAATTCCTGCAGCGTACTCTTTTTGCCTCATTGACATATTTACTCCTTAGAGTAAAAATTTTTCGAACATTTCAATTAACCCGAAAGCCATATATGACATTTTGTAAATATTTCCGAAATACCCATTTGGGGCTCTGCACTTAGAAGTAGGAAAGCGGTACCTGTTCAGGGCACTTGTCCAAAAGGTGCAAGGAAGACGACCGGATTTTTTAACCATGATGGTTCACATACCACTTATTTCACTTTAGAAAAGTAACTAAAATTTAAGCAAATAAACTGCTTATTAATCCTCCTTATTTAGTACATAAACCATGCGCCATTAAGGTGCATTTTAAACAAGGATAATTCTGACCATTTAATAGGAAGAGTCCTAAATTTTGAAGGCATCTTACAATGAAAAATCAAATTCCTTATTTTGCTGTTCAAATTAGCCTTTTATTATATTTTATGCACTGGCTAACTTTACACCGGCTTTTGAACTGCTAGATATCGAATCCCATCTACTATTGTTTTACTTAAGGGTCTTGAAATGGAACCCAGACTTTGGAATTGTGACATTACTTTTAACAGCATAACCTTACTTTGTCGCGCACCAGATTGCATAATAATGCCTCATTGTGAATGCTTAAAAATTAAGTCACGTTTTCTGCTTTTCTTAAAATTCTCTGTTTTGTGTAGTGCCGAAGGTGGACTTCGAACGGCCATGCACTTTGACCCTGCCATTGAAGCTTGTTAAAATCAAATCGCTGGGCCTTTCTGCAAACTTGCGGCAAAATATGTGTAAGTTTACATCCTGATCAAATTTCACTGCATGACTTCCTGATTCGGTTGAACTTGCAAAAACCATAAGTAGGTAGGATATATCAACATCCTCACTTTCCCAATCTTTTTACTTAGTTTAATTTTGACTTTCTCACATTATTTGTTAATAAGTGTAGTCGTATTTAGACCACATTAAATAACGGAGAAGCCAAGTGACCCAGAATTGTTCCCTTAACCCATCTTCAGGATCAGTGGAGTAATTTTCTGCTACTAATGTTCCCAGTAGTTGTTATTTTAAATGATCCCTCTTTTTTGCGATCGTGGTGTTCAGTGTAAATGGTTGTGATTATTAAGCATTTAAATAAACTAGAGTAAGCTCTTTGAAAAGCATTGCTGAATTTCAGGGAAATTTTGTAACTATGATAATGTTCTCACCATGACAGGCGTTTATAAAATCTGCAGAGTCATAGATGCATTTCTGAAATACATACTTGCAAATTGAATAAAACACTACTTTTTTGTAAAAAAGTAAAGGACCCTTCTTAGGATTCTTTAGTAGAACCTAGTCTTACCGGAAGTTCAGGTGCCACGAAATCGACTCGAAATAGAGTTAGGCGCACGTCGGGAAGCATACTCATTGGATCTAATTCAGAAATGCGGAAATGTTACCTCTCCTTACCGTTTGTTCTCCCGTTGATTAAATACGCGTTTCTCAATGAAGGGAGAAGGTGTGTTTGAATGCCACGGTTTGTCACTATGGTTCTTCCATTTCTCCGAGCAAGAACTTGAATATGGCTTGAAACCTGTTTGCGTGTTCTTGTCTTTCCAGTCCTCAGTTTTATGTATCGAGCTATCAACTCGTTCCGACCTTAAAAACCATGGAAACTTATATTTTATTCAGTGTAGCTTGGTTTGGGTAACTAGTGTTATTTTAAAAAAAATCTGTTAAGTGTGTATTATCCGATTTGACATAGGAAATCCGCTCAATTCTTTTTTAATCGCCTTATTGTTTTTGTCCTCTATCAGATATGTCCTTTTCGACGGTTACTCTTCCGACTCATCAATTAATTTGGACAAATCCCGTTTCATCCAGGCCGTCATGTTTTAACTGCTCTCGTGGGGGGAGGAACAGGGTTTCCTTTTAAGTCCAGCTTGTCGCTATTTCTAAACAGCAAGAGGGTGTGAGTATATTGCTGAAAATATGGGTTGACTAGTTTTAAAAATTATTTTTTCGAAGTGTTGTTACAAATTTTCGGGGGGAAATTATTTTTGCGAAACTACTTAGTTCACAAAAACTATTCGTGATGCCTAAGAAAATCAAAAGAATCCTGATTGTGGCCCATTTTTTTACTGAAAATACTTGTTGCACCTAATTATCCCATAGTTATTTGTGCTATAAACTTAACGCTTTTAAAATGCCACAGTTTGTGTCACCACTATCAGATGCCTTCATATTCTCGCATCAGGCCATAGTGACAGATAATGCAACCCCTGAAGGCACGAAGAAGCATAGGGAATCAACTTTATTATGCATATTGTTACTGCAAAAGTCATATTCTTCTATGTTAGTAAGGTATTTTTTTGCATTTTTATTGTTGCTATTTAATTTTGAACGTCTTTAATTTGACTTAATTTTGGTGCCAATAATGTTTAGATGAACTACATGATTTTCATGTCGGAAGGGAATTTTGCATGTATAGATGGGGGAAATTGGTTAGGCTCCTTTTACGCGTGAGTCCAGAGTATGTAATTTAAGAAAGCAGTGTCTGAAAATAGTTAAAGTTATGGTTAAACAACAAATTGTATGTTGCGAATAAGGGAAGATACTTGCTACTGATGGCTTAATAGTTCCACAACCGCATCCTTTACGCAAACAGTACTAAATCAACCCAGGGGTGGGTTTATTTATTTTAAGATTTACTCTTCTAGAAGATATTCTTTCAAAAAGAGTAAGAGATATAGGACAAAATTAATTCCGAATATTTTATTAAGCACGTTTCTTATCCCCATTCTCATATTAGGGTACACCGCTTCTTTATGGTTCTCATGGGATAAAAGATTGGCTCTCATCCAAATAAATGTGATTTAATAAAGATTTTCCTGGTAAGCAGTAGGTCGTTATATAGTTTCCGAGAGCGTTGCGTAATAGAGACTTATGAAAATGGAGCAACGCTTTATATTTTTATTTGAGTAAAGAAAATTAAATTGACAGAATTTTGGCTGTTGAGGAATCATTTAATGTGAGTGGATGACGGACCAGTAACGGGAGGGCAGACCAAAAACGAGTGTGGGAAAGCGCACATAGTATGAAAGTAATTTATGTGGGTTTAAGTAAATTAACTAATAGCTGGGGAAAGGTAATTTGCTCAAAACTGACCAAAGCTGGTCATGTAAAACCAAATAAAACCCGAGAGAACTCGTTTACAATTTTCGGCTCGTTGGTGTACTGATAGCTAAACTGGTTTAAATAGTTTAGGAATCCTAACCCTCAAAGAGAATTATGAGTACCTTTACAAATGCTTGCAAATATGTAACATTCACGTGTTTTTAACCCTAAAATATCCAAAAATTTGTACAGAGTTAAGCTAATGATGTTACAGTCTAAGGAACTTATTTTAGCGTGTAACAGCATCGTATACATAAATAAAAATATTCAAAATATGAAAAGTGCTTAACTGAGGGGAATCATCTTACAAATGCCGAAGTAAAAACTTCAAAGCATTCCGGTTGTTCCTTTTCACCTAACGAAAGGTAAATGGGAACCAATTTTTGCAGCGAATCCTTATATGTAGTTATATTTTATAGCATTCAAGGAACCCTTAGTGGTTCAAACGTTCTCTCCTAAGAGGTAAAATGTAAGTAAACTTAGAATATTACAAAACCTCACGAAAAGGGATAATATGGCACTTTTGTCAGTCGAAACATTGTCACAATTATTGCCTTTGATTAGAACTATTAATTTTTTAGACTTTCGACAGCTAGCAGAACAGGTACTAATCGTTTGAAGAAGCTACTTTGTTGAGCATTTTAAAACTTTATTGGGAATTTATAAATGAAAGTAAGCAACCATAGAAATCCTCGCAACGAGGAACATTCTTGGAGATTTAATTCTTATCTCTCCTCTCCTCTCCATATGATCCTGTTTACCTTCATCTCCTAATCACTTTTACTCCCAAACAGCCTTTTTTCATTTGCGCATCAAATTTTTAGTAAGTAATATTACCAATTGAAGAAATAGCAAGAAGATATAAAGAATGAGATAGTATTCTCCTCTCCTTCATTTGAAAATAATATTTTCACTGGTATAAGGTTCTTGATGGCCTCATAAGAACAGAACTATCCTATGATTAATCCACCAGTCCTGACCATTGCTTAAGATTCATCAAGCAGGTAGATTTCAGCCTTGATTGTTTACTTCACGGTATTTGAGTTATTGCAAATGTACAGCTGCAAGTTCACCACACACAAGCTAAACCTAATTTTCTGGGGACGAATTGGTAAGTTCCGTAGAGGTGTGTGTGGCGGGCGAGTCCTTTGGAATGACTGGTGCTATATAAAGGCTATGAAAGCCACTTTCATTTATAAGTCCGTCAGATGCTAGTATGTTAACAAGTCGACGTGATTTGAGGCTTTTGGTAACCTGTTAACGCATACGGTACCCACTTTCCCTAATGTTTGAGAAGTAACTTAGTCATTTTTATCACGAGCACTTGACATTTATAAAGGCGGTTAGAATTCGGTCCCAAGTTATTCTCAACACCGACATGTAAGTCTTTAGCATCAAAAACGGGGTATCACCACCAATTTCCGCTACCGAATCAGCTAAAAATGTTACGCTAACTCAACAAATAGTTCGGAAGCTGTAAAAATCACTTTGAATTGGTAAAATAAAAATTTTTGTTGCATATTTATTAAGGTCAAACGACGTTTTAAGAGTAGTCAAAATAATAGAGCAATTAAATTGGACACAGCATAGTGTTAACCGTCTGACATGCATCTATGCTCTATACCTCCAGCAAACAGTTGCAGGCTCTTTACAAGCCATTATAATTTGCAATGACATCGAAGCAAACTATACCGCAAATTGTGTAAAGTTTGGGCTATCTGGTAAGATGTTGTGACTATTTGCGATGATAGTTTAAGTTGGCTATTCAGTGCAACGTTAAGGTGGTATTTGCAAAGTTTAATACGAATTAAAAGGGAAATACTTGCTGAAGTTCATATGATAGCAGTGACACTGGTCTAGTATACACTTTATTATTTTTTGTTAAGCGGATATAAACTTCAAAGGAAACGAGTCGCTACACCACACCTATTTTGAAGTATTAAAAGACCACGGTGAATGCCCACACCTTACTACTTTTTAATTAAGCAGTCACTAACCAAGTATTAATGCACAAATAAATCCAAAAAAGCTGAAGTCAATTTGATGTTATCATTGGGTTTGCTAATCACTGTCAAAAAATAAATTGTAGGGCAACAATCGCAGTGTTATGCTTGAACAGAAGCTTCTTACATAATATTCAGTCTTAAAATCTATAAGTAAACTACTAAAAAATCTTAATGTTACCCATGTCAAATGTCCTTATTTTTGTACTCGAGAAATTCCTGAATATCTACAACAGAATGAGACAAATTTTTGCTCGTTCTGGAATGGATCTGACATATAATATCAGCACTAGCTAATAAATGCATTCAACTGTGTTTAGATGTAACGACAAATCAGTGCACACTAAGAATGTTTCTTCTTAGATTCCGCAAAAAAAGACAAAAAACAGATGTTTTTACGTGTGCTAGAGGCGTAAAAAATATTTATTTGTTTTATGAGGAAACCGTCAGAAAAAATGTTCAATAAATACCGAACATTTTGTGTTCTTCAGATAGTATGATTTTCCGGCGTCCACACGGTGGATAGACGGCCAGTGCCTCAAAAAAGCTTTCTTCGATATCGGGTGACCAGACGCTTTCCTTTCCTTTTTCTTCATGAGCATCATCCATGGAATATCTTGCGTTTGTTCAAAACGGTGTCAGCAGTGCAAATTATATTACAATGATTAACTAAGGTCGTCGTGGTTCATTAAAAGACAGCTAATTCTAAAATGAAGAATACGAACGCATAGTAAAGACGTAAGTACGCCTTTAACAATTTAAAAACTAAAATTTTTATAATTGTGTGCAAGGTTTTGAGCTTTTAAATCTTTTTGTACTAAACATGACAAGTAACTTCATTTCCTGGACTCGGGATTGTACTAAATGTTATCTCCGCAGTAATAAGTGTTGCCCCTTTCCTATGCACGTGTTCCACTTTCATCTGTTGTGCAACGTTTGTAAACACAGTCATCTCTAGATAGATAAATAAAATTACTGCTAATTTCGTTCACTGCTTTTGATCTACTTACTAGCTTCTTTTATTTATGGACCAGGTTAAGTGAATAATAACCTCGCCGACGTAAAAATGGAATCCTGGACTATCATTCTATTTCATAAATCAATATATTGCTATGGATCCTGTGATTCATCCCTCCACCTCATGTTTCGTACGTAATAGGCTCGATTTTACTTACTTCCACCTCTACCTTCATGCCCTTAGAACGAGTAGATAAGTTGGACGAGGATATGCTTTACTGGGTAGCAATTAATAAAAGGGAACAGATATAACGCTTTATGTGTTTATGGTACGTTTCCTCCTAGGAGCCGATGGCACTGTACGCAAGAATGCAGAGTCCAAATTTAAAATTGTAGTCATTCATTTGTGCATTACTAGTGAAAGCCCGAAGTAATCCAATAAAAGCAAAATTCGTCTTTCCCACTTCCCCATTTCCTTGAGGAGGTCCGGGTGTCGTGTATGTCATGGAAATATCGAAGGTTTGTATAGTTTGGTAAAGAGTCGACTTTGAGAATTAGCGCCTTAACTGCTGTGCACCGTTTCAGGCAATCCATGTTGACAAATCCAGTGATTGAAGTAAACAGAAACAACCCTTTTAGCATCTTGTCTTCATTGGTTCTGTCTTGACTCTTTTTGTCAAGTATGCCATAATAACAGGGACAAATCAGTTTTCTCTTTTGGTGGGTGGTGAAGAACCCGTGATGCCAATAACCAGTCTTTTCCTTGAAACCCTATGGGCATATATTGCAGCGGTGCTATCGCTGTGAGGTAGGACCTTTTGAATCTGATGCAACTAACGCAGGTGTGACAGAAATCAAGTACGTCTGGGGTGATGGTAAGCCACCAGAATATTTTGAACTTGCAACTCCTAGCGATCTATTTAACCAATGATCCTGGGACAGCTAGGCGCTTGGGGACCAAACACCCCACCGTCTAAATGAAGTTTTGACCATTTCTTCCATATCCATCTGGGCGTCTTGCTCGACGAAGTAGTGTCTTTCGCTGTGAGTTTGCAACAGAATGTTAGAAACACCTCGTATACAAGAGCTCTGTTGGGATCGGTGCGCTACATATTTCTCTAATACTGTTTAGTCGGCTCGCCCAAGAATATGGTAACCGCTACAGCACCACCCGCTTCTGCTACGGATGGTCTGCGAGATAGAGCATCTGCTTACTACGCGTATTGCTTTCTCGCACTCTGCTGTTAAATTGCGCAGCTGCAGCTCCCTGCACCAGTGTGAATCGGAACGGTCTATCTCCCTCATTGCTCTTAATAAGGTCAGAGCCTGATGATCCGTTCTCACTATGAGCTTCCTCGCTATTAGGTAATGTCTGAAGTGTGTGAACATGGCGAAGATAGCAAACAACTCATGTCGTGTTGCGCACTTCTATCCCACTTTTTGCTGACGGGTTTTACTCCTTCTTTGTCCCTTTGTAAGAGTACACCGCCCACAGCTGCATCTCTAGCGTCAGTATCCAGCACGAATGATGGGACGCTCGATTTGAAGTTGCAAAATACCTAGTCGGTGTAAAGCACAGCATTCGCTTCAGTTCTTGAACGCTTTATCACGCTCTTTCTCTCACTTGAAATTCATTTTCGTCTGCTTTTTCCACGACACTCATATTTTTGTTGTAATATGACTTATGCCGGTGCAGCCGATTTTAACCTTAGAAACTTATTTACACGTCGCGTGGGGGACCTGAGCTGAGACTCGATTATTGAAGCAAATCGATGTGAATAAGCCCACTGGATAGCTAGATGATTGTACTACCACATGGACGAAACGAATATGCAGAATAGAGCCCTTGACTTTTTCTTAGCTCATGAGCCGAACGCGTGGCGCGCTGGTTAATGGTTGGAGAAATTGTCCTCTGTCTGGTGACCGCAGTCTTGAAACACGTAGGAGCATGCTCAAATTACTGTTTCACATACGGTAGTGAGAAGTGTGCCCTTTCGCAAATACCCGGAGCCCATTTCATGAGTCAGACTAAACATCGTAATTTAGGATGGCGGGATGCGTGCGGCAGTGTGGTGCTGACCGAGGGGTCTTGTGAACAAATCCGCTAAACTAAAGCTGTAAATTCCAGCGGACGACCTCAAGGCTTGTGGAAAGCTTGGTCACTCAGCATTAAGGCATATTTAGACAATGTAAAAGTTTAAGTGACGGTAGGGGTCGTGGCTGTTTCCAGCTCATCAATATAGAAGTCATGCCTGTGAAAATTCAGCTTTTGGAATACCTGAACCCCAACGTCTGATAGGCGCATAACCTACTGTGAAATTGCACAAGGGACGAATCTGTGGAAAATTATTCACGAATATTAACCACTTTGAACTGTTTGCATACCTTGTGTGCCCCAGGAAATACTGTAGGCATCAGTAAAATGCTGGATGAGTGCATAAATTTGGCAAGGGACTTGGTATGGAAAAGGTCCAACTAGTGTTCTTTGAAATTTGTTTTCTGTAAAATCAAGTGTCCATTTTCAACCTAAACATCTGTCGCACCTGGATACAGATCCTAGGCATAAGTAATGATCCAATGTCGGAAGTTTAGTTTCTTAACCATTCTGTTCGTTTGTCACTTTGTCACGCAGTATGCCAGTCATCAAGGCTCTGTCTCAGAATTAAGTAAGATACGCAGTGAATCGAGGCAAAAACTGATGCATTGAGCCTCTTCCATTCGACCACAATCGCGTGCAGTTGAGACTTCAGTGTGTGATGGGCGACAGCCAGACGGACTTCATCGACACAAGATACCTGGGTAGCTACCTGAACGGACAGCCCTGTACCCTGGAGTGGTAAAATGCACAAAGCACTGACCTGGACGGTATCCACTAAAATTTTCGCGAAAACCGTCTTCGTATCTCCCCAGTAATGCCATTTACAATCCCTTCACGTACTGCCTGATTTTATGATTAGCGTATCCCGATTCATTTCGACGGAAATTCAACTGGCAACTTCCAATGCTGGTGATATTGAAGCGTCTAATAGGTTTCAATGGACTCACCTGCCACGACTTCTCTGCAATTATGCTTCAGGCGTTTACCCACATAAGATTCCCTAGGGCTCTTCGTAAGAACATTTGTATGATAGTGGAAGTGCTTTAAAAGAGTATGAATATGAAGTTGCAATCTGTTTATTCTTCCTTTTCATCCCCGTGCTAAGTGAATGTTCCTCAGTCCCCCTTCGGAGCAACTTTAAGTTCCTAGGAATTTGGAGTGGTTCCGAGTTCCTGTAAATAGTCCCGTTATTTCGGCTGTCATCGAACTCCAGAACTCATATTTTGAGTAGCTGTGAAAAGGTAGATACAAACTAGATTAATCTGCCTCGACGTAGGCGGACAAGTCCAGACACTGTCATGGGGTAACAGGGGATAAAGTATGACATATTCTTTCCAAATATCTCTTGGAGGAGCTAAAAATGTTGCCCTTCTGAAAGCTCAGCTTTTTAAATCATTATAATCATACTTGGAGCTACATCTTCCCCAGATATATTGACATTCAGCGTTTTCTGTGAAGTGTGGGCAAGTTTGGTATCTAGGTCAAATAACAAAAAAACCAGGAAGAAATATCAAGATAAAAGTTCACATGAGAGCCATATTTTGCACATGAGATCAAATGACACCTATCCTATGGTATAACGAGCAAACGTTCTACCCCAAGCTAAGCCCATCACTCAGTGACGATTGCAAAGCGGTTGCTGTATTGGTCAGTATAGGAAATGGAACTTGTGTAAAAAAATTGCAACATTTTATCCAAGCGTTCAAGTCAAGAAACCTGAGTGTTTCACTCGTGATCCAAATCCATCAGTGCAGCTCACAACCGAGGGGAGCACCGAGTTGGTTCGTTGGGGGTAGCATCCGTATCCTTACCTGAAGCACGTTTTGGTAATTATTGAACAAATACTAAGCAATTAATAAAGCTTTAGAAAGACCTATGTGACCCTTAAGAGTTGACGCTTTCGTGAAAACCGACAATTGCGACAGGCATCTGCAGGTGAAAGAAGTCATTCAAGCAAATCAAAAGAATTTATTTCAAGTGTTGATGACACACTTAATTTGAAAACTTCCTTGCATCAAAGGTGTGGTTAATAGCCACTCATGTGAACCGTCACACAAATTAGTAGTACACAAAGTATCCCAAATAGTAATGAGAAACTTTGGCCGTCTCTTAGTAGTCAGTTCCCTAACAGGGATGGTGATGCCTCAGTACCTTATAATATCATCGCCCCTCGTCGAGTGGAATGCGAATCTGTAGGGTTAATAGTACCACTTAATTCAAGATGTGTTAAAAGTGGTGACAAATACTACGTTGATGTTTAACTAATCCCTTTGGAGATATTTACAAAAAGTGTCAAACACCTGGCTTACTCTGTCGTCGCATACAATGAATAAAGGAGGTATGAACTTGAGGATCAACTAATTTAACAACCAGAAGCAGCGATGGGGTTAAACACTTTCGCAATTAGCCTTGCCTCCAGAAGCAAACAGCCTAGCCCTGCCAACCCTCACTTCCAGCTGCCTACCCTGCTTCTCACATGATCGTTTTTTCCCCTGTTCAATGTCAGTGCCAAGTCATATGAAGGTGATGACCATCACTTAACAGATTATCATTGGAGTAGCACTCAGGACCACATGGGGTGGTATCTCCCTCTCTCAGTTAGTCTACATTTCAAATCTTCCAGCGACAAAATTTTGTGGTGATGAATGGTGAGATTTTTGCGCTGCCGTGTAGAAAAGATGCTAGTTACTGACTCACTAGCCCCGACAATTGTCTCGATTGTTCACAAAGAGGATTTCTTACACACCTTCTAATTGATATTAGCTACACACCTGAGTCTTGGTTGTGCACCTTTGTTTTTGTAGTCTGTCTGACCAGAAGTATGGAGCAAGCAGGTGTGGCACCCTCGAAATGTATGTGTATGTGGAGCAGTGAGTTTGTTGATCTGTAGCAATTACCAATTGCCTGTTCATTCACATAGCTTTCGGTACAACAACCACTAGTCATCACAAGTAATATAGTAGGCAGTCTTAATTCATCACCCACCGTCATTTTGGGACGGTGAAGAAAATGCAGGCCAAATTGATGCCCTAGTCTCCCACCGCCACTCACGTGAAACACTAGTGGGAGCTTATCACACGCTTATCTTAACAATCTGACCTGTAGAACCATTTCTAGGCAGTGTATTCTGCTGCGGCTCAGAAAGGTCTCTCCAAAAGCTAGACAACAGACGGTAAGGAAAGCTTTTGCAGTCTGGCTTAAGCTCATTCGCAAACCAGGCAAGCTCGAAACGGCAGCTAATGACACAAGACTTGAAGGCGGTGAGCGAATGAGGTGCAGAGCACAGACAAGAGGACCAAAATCGAAATCTTCTAAAGTCAGACTGCCCTTCTCGAAGTGCTGCAGCCATCTTTCAGTTGCTCTATCATAAGGAGCACAATTTAGCGCACTTCTTCCAGTGCGCTCTGCTGCCACGTACAGCACCTTCAAGGAATATAGGGTAATAATTCAGAAAAGTTGATCCAGTCGTAGCTCCGAAACCAAGTCCAACTTGTTTAGTAGGTCCGTTCACCTTACACTTGTTGATGTAAGAGTGGATTAATACTGAGGGGCGAATGACAGGGAGGTTTTATGTCAACAGATAGATATATATCAATGCCTTGTGCCTAATCTACGCGAAGGCATTTCACAGGTCCCGCCAGTAATAAACGATCATTGCATCGAGTTCTTTCGAAGACTGAAAGAATTTTTCCCGGTCACCTGATATTTGACGCCTATGCAATCCCAACTTTACGATCGAATTCAGGGATAACCTTAGCAGGCCCTAATGTCCAGAATGTGCCTCACCAATGCACAGCATTTGCAAAGTTTTGTTTGAAATATTTGCGAGTTCTTTTAAAGCATTTTAACTATTAAACAACTGTTTTCAAGTAACAAATGCATTTCACGTATTTTGGTATAGATATATGCATATAAATAAAGCACGAGGACAGCCACCAAAGCCTCCATCAGCCCCGATGCAGCCTCTACAGCGACGAATAATTGAGGTCGTTGCATGACCTTTATGCATTTCGGTTAAGGCATTCTTGATGGTAGACATCAATATAGACTGGATTGACAGGTATACCTGCTGCTAACCCTCTCAAAGACGCTCTAGACACACAGTCTTACAAAGGTTGCAAATGCAAGAAAGTCAGAAGAACAAGGCTTGTAGATTAAGCAAGTTTTTAAGCACTTTTTTCTCACTTCCACAAACCCCCCGAAAAGAAATGCTTTTGAAGCTTTTTTGCGTTCGTCTTAACGATTGTTCCCACTTTTGGATGCTGTAAAAGTCTTCTATTAAAATATTTAAGCATTTGCCTTAACCGCTAAGCCACGAACGTTGGAAATGACATAAATGGGAAAATCTTTAGCCAACTGCTTCTGATTTAGGAAGGCTACATAGGAAGAAGCCGAGGTCCCATTAAGTACTCGTGGCCTTACCCAAGAAACTCCCTCTCATTTCAATATTTGCCAGAGAATAGATGGGAGCTGTCGTAATGATCTTGACAAACTGGAAAGAAATGGATACGTATGTCATAAACCTCACAAATTTGCTGCGATTTTCTATACTAAAATGCTGAATTTTTCGGCAAACTCAATGTTTCTGAGACTTTTACCATTGGATGAGTTTACTGTCTTCTTTTTAAAAAGAACGCATTTTCTGGATCACCATGGTTGACGATAGTTGTGATGGTAATTGGACTTGGTTTTTTAGGAAGTCTGCGTTGGTATTCGAGATTTGCGCATCAATAATAGGAATTTATATAATTTAAGCAGACCTTATATCTTTTCATTTACCGAGGTTTTGGGCACTTGATTTTTGTGCACATTAAAACCTAATTTCGGTGCTGCTACCTAGTTCTTTTGGTTCCCATAATAGTGACCAGTGTAAACTCCCGTCGGGGAAAAAGGGCTAGCCGACCATTTCGAGTTGATGGTTTGTGATCAGATAGGTAGTGGACATTCCATCACATCAGTAATCTTCTTATTCATAACGACTTGGCAACCATTAGAGGACACCGTTTTTGCAGGTTTGGCAGCTGCCTAGCTGTGAAGTTAGTCGCCTTAGTTTTTGATGCCTTCTACACTCCACTAATGCCCACGTTTGAACAATCAGCAATGAGACTTATACAAAGTGACGTTTAAACTATTTAGTCCACCACCGAGCAGTATGTGTCCACTCTGCCATCTTTGATTGTTTTTTTTTTTTTGTTTTCACTAGCTCTAGTTCCTTTGACTATTGACTGAGTGGTTCCACTTGTATCAGCATTAATTTCGGATAAACTACATGGATTTACAAGTCTCCTTTATCATATAATGCAATCCAATAAATAAAATAATGACTGGCAAAAGAAGAATTAGTCGTTGCACAAATTTTCATAACCATCATCCCAAATTTCTTATCTATCCCTTCTATTTTGCATTTCGAACGCTGTCTTGTGATAAAAGCGATCAGTAGAGATCAATTGGCAATGTATCTGTTTAATGAGGCAGACGTTTTAAAACGGACCAGCATAAGTTAGTTTTTTACTACAGCACTACCAACTTCACGTTATGCATTTGGCTGGATTAAAAGGCCTGTTCATCTCCACTCGTTATGTATCTACTTCAAGAGAGGACGTTCCACCAATGATGAATGAAATGTCCCAACTCTTAGTCTTTTGGGCTTCTCTCCTTCCTTCAAAGATGCAATCCATGGCTCGAAGTCAACATTAAAATATTGTATTAACCTTCCTCGTCAGTAGAAGTCTCGTGACCTTGAACAATCACAGACTAAAGGACATAGTTGTTAACAAGTACTGGAGATTAACGTGTTTTCCTGAAGTCGCTGAAAAGTTATGACCTGATTGGATGCCCAGTGAGATCTGGGGCAATGTTGAGATTACTTTCATTCTACACTATTCAAAATACCGCAGTTTTTTTGAACTCCCACAGAATTGTCAAAATTATACAATGATAGTTTTCCAGCCATTCGGGAGTCCCTTCACTTGATTCCACATAAACTAAGAGAAAGCATTCAATTATTATATTTTTTCAACAATAGCAACAATTTTTAGAAAATGACTTAAAATTCTAAAGTAGACTGCGAGCATCTTTTGAGAAGCTGCGAAGCTTCAGAGATCGAACGACCACTTCCAAACCCGAGCCAAAAATGAGGGGGGGGGGGGGCAAAAACACCTCCTGTAATTCTTTAGTTATTTGCTTAACTCTTCGTTTTAGTCGTGTAGGCACCAAATGGCACGGCCATCGTTTTATACTGCTAAGCGGTATGACCTCTAAGGCGGGTTAAAAGCCCCCCTCCTTGCCAGCCGTTCTGTGCGTCACCAATGTAATTTCTGCCCAAGTACCGTGCTTTCTTTCAACTCAGAAAAGACTTAAGACGCTACAATTGCATAAGTTTACTACAGACCACGAAAAATTTCTCACAATTCGACATTATGACAGTCATGTGACAGGAACTAGTCAATCTTAAATGGCGCATTGATTGTGAAAAGCAGAATGAATGCTTTACAGATTTCTTCTCCAAGTATAACAATGGAATTAACGCTTCAGTAAACCTAAATATTCTAAACGTTTCAAAGCATTGGTTAAACCATTACCAATAGAGGTAGTGCAATTGTTTGACAGGTTATAAGATATTGCCTGTTTAGCACGTCAATTTCACGATTCAGGGAAGGAAAGTCTTAAAGTCAACCAAAATCCTCACTAATACAATAAATTACTAGCTACAAGTCATTCAACAGAACTGCGAGCATTTCGTTTCGTAAAGAAAACGACTATCTCTGAATTAATGTCAGTAGAATACACGTTCACACAAATAAAGTTTTTAATTCTGCAAGTTACGCTTCGAGAAATGGAGTAAACAAATACCTCCGTGCCTCATCACTGTGCTAATGTTAGTAAAGAGGTGGGTGCATTTTAAATAGAGAATTCACCACCAAATCCCGACTTACGCCGTTATAAAATATTCCTCGACTGTTGTTGTGGGTTGTTCCTAAACACTGTAGAAGCGCGGAGGACTACTGGCGCGGTAGAATTGACCCCTTTGGCATTTTTGCCAAATGTAGAAGCCACAGCAACATTCCCCGTGCGACTTAGTTTCAAGACTACTACAGTATCTATTCTACCACTTGGGCAGGGGCATAACTAACCCTCGTAACCAAAAGCTGGATTCAAACTGGTTTAGGACGGACTCGATGAACTTATATGGCAAGAACGGCCCAGGAATAAGCAAGATTTATAAACCTGACTCAATTTCCAAGTTTATTATCTTGTGCTAAATTTAAAGACGCTTAAAACACCCTCAATCATAAAATTGTCAGATTAAATGGTCGAGATTGACTGCTGGAGCCATTTTTAATTCTAAACCTTCCGCAAACACTTTTTAAAAATTACAGATAATACGGTACCAAATTTAGTCCATTCGAGTCGAAAGCAAACTTGCAAATTGTGTCTAATTTGTAGGGGCATTCTAGACAGACTAGGTGCTTTCAGGCTATTCGATGAAAAAAAATGTCAAGAAGCCTCTAGCAGCCCCGAAAGCAACTTATAGATAGCAAAAATGACTCCCTAATAATAAAACTTCTTTCAAGACAAACTAAGGCATTTGAGAATATTTGGCGATGTGTTGGATTGACGACAGCGCGTGGACAAGACCAGTCCGGGGAAAGGAAACCATTAGTTGTGCTTAAAACGAAACAGGACTGAAGCTATGATAGAGAAAACTAAGTAAAAGGTGCACTTGCGGAATATCTTCGGCAAAGTACGCCACTTCAAATCAATAGAAATGTCATTTATGTTAAATAGCAGCTGAGGTAAAACACGAACCTCCATCGAGAATTGGCGTATTTAACTTGTCACTGCGGGGTCTCATGATACCCGCTGAAGGTAAGTGTAATTAGGTCCCGAGCTATTTATTTTTGTGTAATTCTCTCCAACGCTGACCACTTAAATGTGACGAATTATTACTACTTAATTTATAAAAGTAAATTTTTTTTCACAAAATATCGACAAAACATCATGCATCATCTAAACAGCAGAGGTAGGCGTCATGGAATACTTCATGGCCAGCATCCATCCCTCCGTGTATGAACAAGTAACTACACCAAATCAACGACTCCTCTAAAAGGGAGGAAAAATTGGTAAATGATCCATGTTTGAAGCGACTCCAAAATGTATGAAGTCAACGTACCTCGCTCACCAACTCGTTTCCTCTCGGTAGAAGGATCATTTGAGTCCAGTACCAATTGGGGGCTAAACTTTGGATTGGGAATCCGTAGTCGAAGGGTGGTAAAGGCGAAGTCGAGACGAGGCTGCGGCACCTCACCCTCAGACATCACCGCCGTCCACTGCATTGACCCTGTCAGCGTAATTTGGAAATGCTTTTTTCTCGATGTATTGAGGATCACTCAGGCGATGCAAATATATAGCCAACATACCAATCTCTTGGCTGCCCACCACTTGCAAAAGCACTTACTTATTCGAGAATAATGATAGTGAAATCATGAATATAAGGTCAATGATATTAAAGCGAAAAGAAAACCATACACCGTAAAGAATTTGTGGCATCAAAGAACAATAATCTTTACTGGTAGAATTGATTTCAAAAGCCCATCTTTGACTAAACTAGCTGTACTGGAAACTGCATTATGATAAAGTTTTGAGAGAAACCAACAAATGAAAGATTGAGCCGAGTTCTAGTGAACTCAGTCAAATCTCAAATTATGTGATTAAGACAGGGCAAGGCTCAATATGACCACCGGTTCTACAGATTCGAATTAACTTGGATAAATTAGAGAAGTGAGGGGGTCAACTGGCTAATAAGCATTAAAGAGTGAGCATGAGCGTCTACATGTTATCCACAAACCCTCTCGACTTTAGCATCACTTGGGTTCTTATCGTTGTTGTGTTTGATAAAATTCTACGGATTATCTAGTTGAAACCCAAGCCAAAAGTAAGTGGTAGCTGCTCAGTATTTCAGCAATGGCACTACCAAATATAAAAGTCAAATAGGAACCCTACTTATAGTGCAGACATAAACTACTTTTTGAAAGTCGTCGCACTAGTTGTAGAATATCGTACAAATCTTGCATATGAAGCAGACAAAACATACACATTAACTTTGGTAACAGTAAAAATGTGGTTTTCAACTCCATTGTTTCCAGTCTAATCACTGACTAACATCCCATATTTGGTGTCCTGAGTCATCCGGCATGCTTTCTTGGAATTGACGCCTACTTATTAAATCCTAGTAGGCATTATTTTAAGCCACTGAAACGCCACCTTTATCGAAGTATTGTATGTCGTTCAAGGGGCCGTCAGCGTTGACACCGCCGAAGATGAAGAGTCGTGGGAAGGAGGTTGAGGAGGAGGGAATAAAAGCACCCCCATGGCCTGCTCGAGGACTCGGCCAGGGTCCTTCCTGCGTCACTGCAGTGCGAATATTGTGCCACTCGCCGACCACTCGGGTTTTGTCCTCATCCAAAGTCTTTTTGGAGGAGTTGAAACAGAACAACTTGTTAAAAGCAATGAATCTCTGTTACACTAATTCGAGTCGAATACTTCGTTGTGACCATGCAGGTCTTTGGAGCGTCCCTGAGGCCTAGAGAAATGTCAAAAGTGTGGGTGCTTATTTGACAACGCTAAATAGGCAATTCTCTCAACAATTGATGTTCCACCACCACTTCAAAAAATTGAAATAACGGAAATAACGGTAAAGGTGGGCTTAGTACTTCTAGGGAATGCCTGACAGGCAAAAATATGGCTAACAAATGCACGTTGTCCTCCTCTATTTTTAACGGCCTGGCAATATTGCGATGAAAAGCTGTAGTTCCACTGCATGGCCTTAAAAATCATTAGGTACACCTAGTTGCCACAGGGCATGCTAATGCCTTCGGTCATTGCAAGATAAAGACTATAAGAGTTTGATTAGGCATCGGTGGCTGACCAGAGGTGCTAATTCTTTTTGCCTGATGCTCCAACATCACGTTGGCAGTACCTATTAAAGCTTCAGGAGATCAAAGTATGGAAGGAAGGTAACAAGGTTACCATTGAATTTTCACCAAGGATAGGACACAGACATACAGTAAGGAAGTATAATAGCAATTCAGCTCTAGCAGAAAAGTGGTCTCAAAATTTACCTTCCTGTTTGGTTATGAAAACGTGAAGACGAGCCGTTCCTATGATACTTTGCACTGTTACGTAGAAGTAAAAAGCAGTTAAAAAGATCGCAAACACTCGGTATGATGTATGAAAAAGAAGGAATAGCTTGACGTTTATTAGAGCTGTTGTTGATTTCTATTTGGAAGTACCATTAATTGTAGCTTCTTGAGAACCTAAAAAATAAGAAGTTAACACCGTCCAGGTAAAAAAGACACCATTTCTTCCAAAATTAAGCAAGTTCCTAACCAAAAGAGTAGTAGCAAATACATCCCCACGTTCGACAGTTGGAAACGGACAATCGGAAATGAGAAAGGTAGCCCCAGAGCATTATTTAAAGCCTAAATGAGTGAACGACTACTCACCCTTTCAATGGAAAGGTAGAACAGGTCGTCAAAGAAATCGTTTCCGGCCATGCCACCGTGCACATAGAGGGTGGTAGTGGTGAGCTCGTGGAGATCCTGTGGTGATGGTGGAGACGGAAGCGGCAGCATCAAATGTCCCATGCGGCGGCATGGCGCCCTGCCTTCATCCTGCACCTCAACCACTCGCCATCGGCTTGTCTTCACCTCATAGAGGTGCACCTATGCGTCATTGATCACAATAAATGTTTTATTAGTTCTTTGCCGGCGGAGAAAGTTCTGAGCTACATGGGAAACTACTTTATAGGAGTCAAAAGTTAGAAATCGTCAAATTGACAATGTTAACTTCTATTTATAAGTAAACATAATAAGATATGCTTTTGTTTTGAGCTCATGTATCCGTAGTTTGGGCCACATACTCATCAAGGAAAAAAATAAAGCCAAACCAACTCTTCCTTTCCACCTTTTGATCGTCAACAGGTACACTGCCCCTGTCACCACCAGCAAAGACGACGAGTTCCCCTGTGGAGGTGAGGCAAGCAGCGGTGTGTTGGGTGCGTGGTGCCACATTGATGGCGGCAGCAGTAGGGACGGAGGAAGCGAAGAGGCGCCCTGGCAATGACGCCGACGTTTCTACCTCCAGCTTCGCATGGATCACGTCGTTGAGCGGCCCCTCCGCCGTGGCTCCACCGAATATCACCAACTATTACGAAGACGAAGAATAATCATGAAAGATTTTTTGTCCAACTCATTCATTTCCAGTAGGTTTTCCTAGTCACATCGGTTATTTGACAGTACTGATCTTTTCGAACAGACATGTTAGTAGAGTATATGTACAAGCAAAGGAATTGATCTGTTCATACGAACTACCATGGTGCTTCTTGAAAGCCGAAAACACTACTCTCTTTTACGCACAGTATAAACAAAGGGATCCATGTATCCCAAAGAAAAAGACGCGCACTTTATGAATTCCAAACGATGAAAGATGAAATGGAGAACGCTGAGTAAATCGTAGACTCCAGCTTATTGAATAAAAGAATCTGATGTGGTAGGGTATTCTATTATGTGTCTGTAAATTACAATCAGAGATGTGCCATTTCGAGATGTTATAATTAAACAGGTAAGAGAAAGTGCGAAACACTAGTAAGGTGATGATCATGCCCTCTTTAAACAGAATTTTGAAAGGCATATTGGTAAGCTGACTGAACACATATTCATCTGGTGTCACTCTGTAAACGTTATATCCCTTTAAGTGTTTAAGGATACCGGCTGAAGATTTACCAGATTGAAAAACTGAGTGCTATTTTTAGCGAATTATTTGAGAGGCTACGAGAAGTTTGGTTGGAGGCAGAAAACAACCCAATTCCATGGCTAATGGAGAAAAGATTAACTGCATTAATAGCTGTATTTTTAAGAGAATACCAAAACAAATGGGTATTTATGCATTCATAAGAAATTAAAGAACCAATTGTTTATATGGACGAACATAAGGGTGATTCATCCACCTATTAACCGAAGAGAAGAACCAAAAAAGTTACACGAGGGAATTACATACCCTTTCAGTTCTAATAAAGCCAGTGTTAATCGGATTTATTTTCGTCAATAAAGTGTACTTTCACGCAGTTTTTCAAAGTAGAAAAGGATTTTTGCATAAAACAAGGATATTTAAGAATAACTAGTTTTAAGTCCATTGCATTTTTAAACAGAATCCAAAACTTCAGTCCACTTACTAAAATACGATAGCGAACGAAAATTTACACAGTGTAGAAGCAGCACAATTTAGAGAAACTGTGATCCAAGCAAAAATAAGACATTTGTTAACATCAGAAGGTTTTTGACACGATTTTTGCAAGCAAATCTCTTTGAAAAAGACTAAATCTTATGATTAAATGTGAGGATACTCAAGAATTCACGCACAGGTTATGAACATTTGCAATCCATACTACCGTAAAAACATAAAAGTTGCATAAATTGACAGGCTCATCAGCTACTAACCTCGTTATCAAGTAAGACACTAGCGTGCTCATAACGCTCAAAGCCAGACTCCGATAATGAGTCTGCACTCTCGATAGGACAGACCTGGCCATTTCTGACACTGTAAAGGAGGCAATCCTTGCAACAGGAAGAAAAGCTTGCACCGCCTATAAGCAACAACCAGTCCGAGTTGTCGTCGGTGTGAAGGTGGTGGGCGGTGTGACCAACTCTCGCTAGAGTTATGTCTTTACCAACATTACGTATGTCACATTTGTGCCTTAAAAATCGAGCAGAAAAAAGCCAGGCAAAGAAATGGCTGTCAGGAAAATGCAGGATGCTTTTACAAATAGACGTGAGTCATTTGTCAGACAATAGTAGAGGAGTTTACAAATAAGTATTGGAACTCAAGTTTAAGTATACAATTCCCATTGGGTACACAGATTGTCACGATTTTTCTATCAAAAGCAACTAGAATTAAAAGGATAAACCATTTTAGAAGAAAATATATCAGGAAACTTACCAACTGCCTAACTTCAGTGGAACCCCACCCATAGACATATTGATCTCAACTAGTTGTGAGCAGGGCGTCAATGCACATTAGTAACAACCTTGGACTTATTCGTTTAAATACCTCAACCAAAGCAAATGAATTATGCCATATCATCTGCGGCAAAATCAAACTGTCAACTTCTTATGATTAATAGGTTCCATTGTTTGCACGCAAAGGGATAAGAACCAAACCTGTTCACCAGAAAGTTTTTCAAGCAAAATACTGCTTTAATTATCATCTAAAATTAATCTCCTTGGTCATAGTTAATTTTAAAGCAGACGGCATTTAACTGCACAAGATTCGAAGATTAATTTTCTTCTTAAAGCGTTGCATCGAATATGCTAGTAATGATGTAGCACTTTCTTCGGTTAACTCGGTTTTGGTACAGGACTGCTCTGCGTTTTGGCAAAACATACCTTCACTGGGTGGGCTGGCCTTTGAACCATGCCACTAGCTCCAACTCAGAGCTGGTTGAGGCCGCAGAGGTGTTGTTTCAATGCTGTTACACGGCCTCACCCTCAAGAAATCTGGAACGGCATCGACACCCTTGGGGCTGACCGGACACCCTTGACCATGCTCCAAAATCGAGGGACATGGAACAATGGATGCTCAGATGTCAGTAGTGCAAGAACTGGAGGTGAAGCTATCCGTAATTTGGTGCAATATCGTTCTTAGTGCATGCAAGACATACCACCTACTGGAAATACGGAACCACTCTAGCTGTTTAGATGTTTGCCTGTATTTTTAGAAAAAAAAACAAAACAAAACCAAAAGTAAGGGAAATACTTTAATGACAAAATTCAATTTTGTTATAGTCTTGCCTAATATCATTTGTGCTTACATGATACAGGCTTCGGTTAGTTATTTTTTTACTACATTTTACTATCTGATACCTCGACTGTATTGGTAAAATACATGCGTTCTGATAAACTACAAACATTCTTCGAAATATTTTAACGAATTCAACCTTTAAAGCCAATGTCAAATTAGGTATGAACCAGGATTACTCTCGTAAATTAAAAAAAATTGTGCTTCAAAAATCGGATCTTTCTGACAATTATAATCTGAAAGAGCTTTCTTAAATCGAGTCCCCAAACGATATGAACTGTGACCCAGCACTCACCCTTACATCGGTCAGACCTCCTTAACTCGTTTCGCATCTCCTTGAGGTTTTAATTTTATTTAAAAGTTCCCTCGAAAATATTATGAATTACGAACTAGTATTTTCAAGTATTTTTAGGGGACAACGACTTTCGAAAGCGGCTGATTTCCGATACAAATGCAGGCTTAATTACGAATAAGAAGCTAGGAACGCCTAGGCGGATAGGAACTTGTCAACCAACTCTGCTAACTCTTAAACCCGGTGAGGTTATAAAAGTTCTAATTAACGGTGCTACTAGAAAAGAAATTGCTCACTTTAAATTACTCTCTTATTAAGTAATAAGAGAATTCGGTAGGTAGATACCGCATTCATTTGTCAAATGTGTTTCACTACAAATACATACCATTAAGTTTTAATAAAATTGTAGTCAGTATAAATTGACACGTAATTTAGTCAATTCCTTCCGAATTTGGTGGATTTGAAATGCTCAACAAAATAATACAAAAGAGGGACCGGTTTCTCAGCAAATGATGCAGCTCTAATCCCGGAACCAGCCGCCGCGTCATCCGCCGACACCTTCGCAGAGACCGTCGGTTTGACGTTAAGAGATTGGCAGAGCAAACGCCGAGACATTGGTTCATGCTTGTGCTTCATCTCACTTCGGAACACCGACTCACTAAACCGGAGGCTGAAATTTGGATATTCGGTATGTTGGTATGTTTACACAGGTTCCGTCGGCATTACGAGCAACGACTTGAATCTTTCAGCAGTAAGACATTATTTATTTTAGAATTCGTACACGTTGAGTTCGTTGAATCACTAAGAATGTGCAGTAATAAATTTCTAAACTCTCTCTGGTGTTGTGAGTACATGATAATCAAACTGATTGGACATTGAAGTGAAAGTGTAGCAATAAAAAAGGTATAAAAGCAATTATACTTTAGGAGTTAGTTTACGTCCACAAAAAATCCTATTGGTGAGCTCAAATATGTCTAGGAAGTGTAGATGGGTCGATGTACTATCCTACTTGTAACCATTGCTACCTATTCCAATCATTTTCAATAAACAGATTGATTGAGCCGCGCACACCCATCTAAAACAACGAAAGCGACGATTTTTTATCACGAAGAATCCGAAGATTTAGAGGAAGACATGTCAATCAAGGAATACTATAACTGGGTACATCTTTCATCGAATTGAGACAATCATAATTTCACCTGCAACAGGCCGGTAGGATAAAATTGAGACCCCCAATACACTTAGGCACTTCATTGAATAAAAATATAATCTGTGTAGGTGGGTAAAATTTAAATGCAATATTTGCGAAGCTTACTCGTTGAATTTCATGTACTCCAAAATCAGTTCATTGATAATAAAGGCGGCTTCATCGATTTGCACATGAGAAGGCAAGTTTTGTGAAGGTGTCGTCTTATCTAAGGCAGCGAAGACTTCAAATTTTGCTTGTGCTTCAATTCGATTGAGTGCCCCGTTCCGTGCTAAAAGACTTTTCAGTGCATTCTTAAGGTCGCTAACAGTTGCCATGACAATCGATTGAATAAACATACTGGTCGTCATCCTTGTAATTTGCAGCAAATCATGTATCCCAATACTTTATATAGCATTTTAAACATAGTGGCCAACTTTTGTTTTGAAGAATAACTCCTCAATACTTCACTTTTAAGTGCTTTTTACAGCATCCTTTTTAAAAAAGTAAATAAAACTCTCTGGCAATGGGAAGTTATTTGGGCCATTATTTTGGCTTTAATCTCTGCAATAGAGGTTGATTAAATTGTAATGGAAATATTATCAAAATCCAAAACTGATAATATGGTATCAATGTAACGCAAAACTTTCACATGTGTCTAGATTGGTCGTTTAATGTTACATTAGTGTGAGTAGGAAGATTTGCCATTAAAAGTGGTCGTCAGCTAAAATTACTATTGCGCGTCAAAGCAGCTCAGTGGTTCAGCGCTTCGGTAGAATATACATATTTAACACAGAGAAGAGGTTGGGGCTACTGGCGTAGTTAGAGGCTAGCCCTCCCTGTAAAGGCACAAATGACCATGGCACAAAGCGGTCCTTTGCCGGAAACCGAGGGTTAAATAGCCACCATATTGCATTGTGCCCCTCCCTTTTAAGCGTTGTCCCCGGCTTACCCCCTTGGTCAGCCTCCCGCATCAGCCATTACAACGTAACCGGTGCTGTGAGAAAACACCCACTAATCACTCGCACCAGTAATCACATTTCTATACAACTTAGGAAATACTTGACTACAATGTCACTGATCCCTCTTGGCTATTTAGCTGGATCTGCAGTTTCGTCCTGTATGACCACTGGATTCGCGGACGGGGAATCGCGCTGACCGTCACGCTTGTCCATCAGTAGACATAGGTGCAATAGGATGGTTATTTAGCTCTCGGTTTTGGTGAAGAACCACTTTTGAGATGGCTACTGTACCACACGGGATAGGCTGGCCTTTGGATCATGCCAGTAGACAAATACCTTCTCCATGTCGAATACATACATATTCTGCCCGAGTATTATATCTTCTTTCGTCTTCAGGGAAGGCTAAGGAGGCCACATAAGAACACTGGCCTAAAAGCGGGTCTGTGTAAGGAAGGACGGAATTTAACATAGTTCTATGGGGGTAGGGTTGCGCGTCAAACCCTCCTTGCTACCTTGTTTTCACTTCAAAACTGCCCAGTCACATTTGTCTGGGCTCCATTTAGCTAGTAGAGAGGTGGGAGGGGAAAGAGGTAATGCAATTTCACACATTTGTTATCTCCATGCAGGAATGGTAGGCAGCTACGTCATGAAATTATTTGGATAGTTTACGGCTAGTGACGCTTTGGTTGGTAATAGCATTCCAATAGAACACTGTGCTGGGGTAATTGCCGAAGGTTAACACCAATTTTGCCCCTCATTTTGAGGTCATCGCTGATTCTCCCACCCGTGGCACATGCAATTCCTCCACTCCTCTAAGGTTCATAGCCTGGAGCAGAATACATAAATTCAACATACAATAGAGTCAAGGATACCGATATGGCTTAAGAGAACAGTTTACCGAATAAAAACACAAATGGTTAAGATTGAGAGCTAAACAACCAATGCATTACAGTAATCAAGTTATCTGTTAACAATCATGTATTTTGGACGATATTGTGTGGTTATATTTTAGCGTACTTACTCCATCCTAAGCCGCATTAAGTCATGTCTGTGTAGATATGGACCTTTGCTAACGCACAGAAGGGTTGAAAGGCTATTATTATGCCTTTCAAGGGAAATGCAAACTGTGGAGACTGAAGGGTGTGCATATTTAACCAAGCGGCCCAGTTTTCTGCCCATAGCACAAATTGTTTCTTGCTTTTAATAAAAAATTCGCATTACACTCTGTACGAGTTGCTCTGATGAATTTGATTTTCAACATTGATTGCCATGATCAGCTGCAGAGTAAATTCGATCTTTAACGACCTTAGATGTTTGGTGAAAGATACATTTTGACCCATATGTCCACTATAACTAGTCCTAGGGCAGCTGATCGCAGGTTCTTTGCACTTCCAATATTCGTTGTAAGGCCCTCGTATTTTTACGCACTCTAGGCGGTAATCAGTGGTATGGCAATCAAATTACATAGTCCTATTGCACGACTGCTCTATGAAAAGTTTGAGCATACTCAAGAACATCTAGAATCGACGCATGAATATGTAGTGTCTTCTTCATAGTTACTTCCTTAGTGGTATACCGTTCGATCCAATCTTCTTTCGAAATATGCAATGGATCGTTTCGTTCGGGCTCATCAAGATGAGGAAACAACCCAATTCCTCAAGTCATGCTTTGATAGGTCTGACTGGTTTTTTACACAACTGTATCATACGATATCAAGATCAATCCTGACTTGTTTCATGACGCTTACCTCGTGCAATGGGTAAGAGCTCTTAGCTCACTTTGGTTTTTTTTTGTTTCTTCGTCTGTGATTGGTTTCTGTTATTTTGAACAGATTAATAATATTCTGACTGGTTTCTCCCAAGAAAAACGAATTCGCAAATCCACATTAAAAACACTATTTTTTCTGTTTTACAGTCTTCTCAATCGAGGGTCAATGTTTGTCTTCTCCAGCACGCTTTTCCGATACCTGCTCGATGCTGATGAGAATTGGAAAGCTCCAAAGCTACTGGATCTAGGTGCGCTTTTGTACTTATTATATTTTTTAGCTTAAACCGCAACTTTGATGTAAGATTGAGGTCTTCAATTTAGCTCGTGATCATATGCGTAAATTGGAAAAAAAAATTTGATCTTCACTTTCTCATTCATTCTTGCGTTGCCTCTTTTACGGAAAATTTGAATGAGTGTGTCCATGACTTGCTGTTTGCTTATAAAGCTCCAGTTCTGAATTTTCTGCACTTTCATTTTATAATTTGCAAAGGTAATGTGATCTGGTCGTTCGGAAACTAAATATATGGTCCAACTAACTGTCACCTCTCAATGGTGCCACTCCGAATTCCTTCAAATTTCAAATATGCAAAATTTTCACGGACCGTAGCCCAAAAATCCTGCTTCGGTTACATTGTGAAGTAAAGTTACAAACATTAACATCTGAATTGGAGTTGGTCCTAATCTAGCTTCAATATGGTATTTCTTCTAAAACTGCGCTTCTTGATACTTGGGTAACAATTATAAGGTGATTTTGAATGCTACTACTGAAACAGTTTGTGAACATTTTTAACATCTTGCGTCAGATGAGCGAAATACCCTTTTTAAATTCTTCTGTATCTTTTTTGGTAGCCTATTGACTTTCAATTTTAAATATCGCTGTGTCGTAATTGTGTCGAAAATCCTTTCGTATTTGGCTGATGCCATGCATCCTTTCAATCAGTAGTTTATAATCTAAATAGGCCGGATAGTTTTGTCTCCAGATCTGTCCCATAATGCCTGAATTCATTACCTAAAATTAAACTAAATTACATTTCATTAGGGCATCTGCAATACATGGTGGCATCGTCACGATTACATTCAAAGCCTGTTGGGGTGTTATACGCGAAGTGGATACTGACCGCAGCTAATTTATAGTACCACCCCATTTCTGTTAGAATGGCTTTCCATGCAAAGGATCATTAATTTATTCCTCGAAACTGCAAAAAATAAGTCATTTGAGCTTGAATTATGCTTATATTTCAGTGCGAGGTTTTTTTAGTAAGATTATTCTATTGTTCAAACCCAACACTTGCAAATGTTTCCTTCTGGCAGCCATAAAGTAAGCCAGATAGTCGTTTTCGTTACAATGAGAAGAAAGCGGTAGCTCATACTTTGTAACACGAATTTTGAAGTTATTTCAAGCAAAACTTACATCTAAGAATGACAATGCCAATCTGTAGGCATCTATGCACACTTAAGTAGTAGTTACCTTGCATGTAGGACTCAAAGATAACGGATTTTGAGGCCAATCTACAATTCCTTGATCGAATTAGGACTGAGTCTAAATTCTCCCACGAAAGGTCTCTAATCTCCACATTATCATGTCAAAGATTTGAAGGTGGTATTTTGGCCGGCTGTTGATTCAATCCCAGATGTACTCACCGATAACGGAATTGACGACAACAGTGAAGCTGTTGCAGGCATGTCAAGTTATAGCACTTATTTTCCTTGACGTTCACCAACCTACTAGCGGTCCCAACGGTTCCCTTGACATAGGTGGTGGTGGGAAGAGGAGCGCTGGTACCTTTTACTGGCAGTGATGGTGTTATGAGCTTCTACTTCGACGAACACAGTCACCTTAGATATGAGCACGGCAGGATGGGGTGTGCGGCGAAATGACTGGCTACTGCCGTGTGAGTAGCGTCTAACAGACTACTTCATCTTAGTCAATTAGTGAAGGAAGTAGTATGCATAGATTTTGATTTGACTTCTAGAAGTTACCTTATAATTTATACTCGTGCAGATCACTATACGGTGTTGGCTTCGACGCATGAACTCACTTCGCTTAGGCGTGGAGAACACCTGAATTATTGCTTACTGTTTGTGTTTTTGTATTTTGAGGAGACTAACTGTCACTGTTAACCCTTTAGAAGGAGTTGTAATTGGCATGACAAAGTGCTTCAATTAACTCACTTATACGAATTCCGCGCAGTTATCCAAATAAAAATGAAGGTAACCAGGCGCCAATTATTGTTATGGCGATAAAACTCATGGAACGCACATTTTTGTTCCAGAATTTCATGTTAAAGCACGTCACTCGCACATGGGGTCATGTGAAGCGTCAAAATGACACCAGCATAGGTATTCTTCCGTTGTAAACGTTTATCAAGTAAAATTCCCAGATAGTCTTTGCAATTCTTCCCTGTGTTTTGGAATTAATGTGCCTAGTACGCTGCGAAATCTCGGTTTTCACTAGCCTTTTTCATGTTTTACCTTCTATATTTGTATTTGGGAAAACCTTAGGTAACGGTCTAGCACATTTAGCATATTTCATAATCATATACACGATGTCCTAATTTTTTGACCATTCTCAAGCATGGCATAATGTGTGGTTGCATGCTTTGCTACTGGGGATCGTCTGGCATTGCTAAACCGTCAAACATATCGTGCTGTCGAGTGGTCCATTTGAAGGCTCCCCACAACCCTCCTAAACTCGGTCAAAAGAGATGTCGGGATTTTCTGAAACCTCATGATGTTTAGCCCGAAAATATATCACATTTACATAAAGGCCCCTGTGCCCATTCAATTCTTTTTTTCGCGTAGCGTATTTCGTGGATGTGTAGCCTAGCTATTTCACCTTTCCTCTTCTCAGGCGCCGGTGATGGGCGTGTGACAATGCGCATGGCCCCAATGTTCGATGAGGTCTACGTGACGGAAATCTCTCCCGTCATGCGGTGGCGATTGCGGCAGGCGAATTTCACGTAAGCCATATTCTTTTTATCCCTAATTTCTGTCACTATTATTGTTGTCTATGGCAATCTGGCATGGGTGCCACATCGCAGAGACACAAGTGGAACAAGCACTAGTTACCATTCTTAAATGAAAATGTCAGAAATTATTCAGAGTCACTTGATCTTTCATTGTTTAATCCAATCATTAGGTCTCTTTAAATTCCTGGTGCCAAATTACTCATCATGAATCGTATCCAAGTGCAAAGTGATGATCGTAATTAAGTGGATGGAAAAAAATAGTGTTTACATTTTGATTAAATGTGCTTGTAGTGGGATAAATATCCAACCGCAGCTTAAAGCATCAGTAATGACTTACAACAGTGCTTTCATAATAATGCTGCTGAATTATCCCCAGGTTACTGCATAATTTAGGGTTATTTGTGCCATTTTAACAACTTAAATTATCAGATTGAATTTCTTTGGTATTACGAAATCCAGAAAAACACGCGACGGCACGGAGCCTGGTTTCTTCACCTCTTATGAATCGTGAACGCCGGAAATCATTTCGATATCACTATCTTACGTGCTCGCACCCCAATTAAAATTTTTGTAATGCCTTTTGGCTCAAATTGTTAAAAGTGCTAAAATAAGGGATGAGGTTTAGTTGAAATGAATAATTCTATGCATGATGAAAATGGCTGACTATCCATCTGTTGCAGAGTGCTGGAAGTAGAGGAGTGGGATAAGGCCCCAGCGGAGGCGGGCGCAACGACGGCACGGCAGTACGATGTGGTGGCGTGCCTCAATCTCCTCGACCGCTGTGCCTCCCCCCTTACCCTCCTCCGGCGGATGCGCGCCGTTCTTACCCCCACCACCGGGCGCCTCGTCCTTGCCCTCGTCTTCCCTCTCACCCAATATGTCGAAAGTGAGTCGCCCCCGCCATCATTTGCTCCAGCATTACATAAGAATTTTTATTCAGCCTCAAATTAGGCCTTTTCCCCACGTTTGTTGCCAATACTTAAGGCTTTTGTTATCACAAATCGCCTTCCGCTTTACCTCTCATTATTAACTTAAGCTCTACGTTTCATTCATTAGTTTCGGCATGTCTGCTCTTCTCCTCCGAAAATAGACTTCCCAATTAACACTTCATGGCCATTTGTTGCGAGAGATTTCTGCTTCCAAGTTCTTATTATTGAAAAACAAGTGATTTTCGGATCATCCAACTAATCGTAATGACCAGGATCATTAAGGTCACTTTCACACTGCCCAGGCACTCATAGCACTTCAAGTCGAGGTTGTTACGTTGCCCTTCAGCCACGGCGAAGAACGAGCCATTGGAGATGATGGAGGTCTCGAAAAGCCGTGCCTGGGAGGTGCAATTTGACAGTTTCCTCACCAACGTCCTCCAACCGGCAGGTTTTGATTTAATCCGCTGGACGCGGGTACCCTACCTCTGTGAGGGCGACTTTTCACGCTCCTTTTACTCCCTCAACGATGTTGTCATGATTGTCAAACCCTCCGGCGACCCTTCCCAACCATACATTCTCTCATAACTCGCACCATTTTTCACTAGCTTCGTCTATTTTATCATAGCAAATTTTACTGTCATTGCGATGTATGGCTTCTAAATATCACCACATGGGTGTGCGAAGAGGAGAGGAACCTGGTGGTAAAAAGAATTCTTAATTACAAAATGCGTAGCATGGAAAAAATACATCGAACTTTCAAACGCGAATAATAGGAAGGTCACTTTTCACCTTGTTTCCCTCATAGTTCTCTTGCGCCTATTAATTTTTATTCTGGTCTTGCTCCTCTGTGTGTGGCCCCGTCGGTGGGTTCGATTCAACTTCCTTGGAGAGTGTAATGAATGGTATACGGCGCTTTTCACCCGTCTGCTTCGATCTAATGATGGTGGGCGTTGTGGCCGTGGGCGAGGCTAGAACGGGTGCTGAGAGGTAGCGACCAGTGTTCGGAGTGACGGGAAGGGGAATGTGTGGCCGCTCTGGTGTGTGAATACCCGACTCAAAAGAGATATGCCGGCGCCCCTCCGATTTCAGCGCCTCCATCGCCCTCACCTGCGGCTTCTCATCCTTCTCCGGAGTTGTCTTTGCTGTATGCTCGATTCTGCCAAAAAAATCAAACTCAGTAGAATTTTTGTCTCAGCCGGGTGAGTCACCGGTCTGGCTCGTGTAGAAAGTAATGTGGATAATAGCGTTAAGATTACTTCCGGTGCTATCAATCAGAACACAAGAATCAGTAAAGCATATAATGAGTCTCTGTAGGTATCTCTGCACTTTGCATGCGCATCAATAGAATCGTAAATTTGCACAAAAGGATAGGAAACCCTAGTGTCTCTTTTATAAACTGACCACAGGTGCATGAATGTTGTATATACCAATAAATGTGAGGAGGTCGAAGGCAGAACTCTGATATGCAAGTGCTCGATGGATCCGGGTCACATAGAGCATGAGGAGACATGCTACAACTCTGTAGTTTGACCTTGTAATTTTTGAACCCACAACATTCCACCTACACATTTTCATCATTCGAGCCTGCCTCGACGGAAAAATTGGCCGTTGGAGGGACCGTTCTTGCTCCAAGCGGTCCCCGATAGGGGACACCCAGCTCCTCCACGGAGAAGTGTATAAGGGAACAGTACCCATCAGTGGATGTCACGGTCACCAGGCGACCGTCACTCGACCATGCCGCATCGTTCAGCGATTGATAGTGGATCTGGCCAACCTATCCAAAAAATAATAATAGGACTTTGATAAACGATGTTCAGCAGTAGATAACTTCGTTGCAGTGGGCGTGGTAACTCCTACAGCACGCCTAATTAACTCAATTGGGAGATTTTTTGCTACACAATAAATTTATACAGCATTACCTTGACACAGCAGGACCAGTTGTTGTATCACTGGGATCTGGAGATATGACAAGCGGCACAACCACAGCCTACCTGAGCAAAGGGCTGGACCTGTTGGGTGTCAAAGAAGAGGAGCCCATCGTCAAGTACGAGGCAGAAGATCCACCGATAGGGCAAATCAAAGAGGCTAGAGAGAGCTACTTCGGAGTCGGGATTGGTAATGCGTAGCCGGAAGGGCTGCGGGCAGAAGCGCACGGCGATCACAGGTCGTGGACCCGTCGGTAGACTCACGCAGGGTCTCTTGGTCCAATTTCGCAGGAAAATGTGTGCGGCGTGTTGTGGAGCGGTCGCTGGAAGCGATGCATTTAGCTAAAGCTCGATACCTATTGCATAGACTGCATTGTTTAACCATGAATGAGACCTAGAATCCCGACAGGACGCTATCAAACATGTTCTCACGAATATCAGCATTGTAATTTATTTGACTACCCCAATTATAACCTCCACGCACAATAAAGTCAAGTGACGACTCGTTTTCGAAGGTAAACGTCCTCGTGTTTTATTGGCATTCTTGAAAAAAGGCGGAATTTCAAATTGGCTTGCGAGCCAATTTGAGGCAATGACCTATAATATGAATCATTCCTCAAGAGTTTACATATTTATCATCATTCATTAACGCTAAGCGTTTTTGGAGTGTTATTACTTCAGCTGATGTTTCCATGGATAAAGACAATCGAAATAGATTAGAAACGGGTATTCGGAGAGAAATATATGAAATAAGGCAGCTCACATTGGTACTTCCGTTTTTTATGTACACACATTGCAATAACGCAGTAATGTATCTCAATGCACGTGCCTTTAAAGAACATAAACCTTTTGACTCATGACAATTTCGCAGTGTATCTAAGTTATTCGTAACAATATTTAAAACAACACCGGTAATATTGCAAACACCAGTGGCAAAAGGCATCAGGACTAGCAAACCAGTGGGAACATTGATCGATGAATGTGCGATTCGGTTATCCCTAGGTACGAGTTACTTGAATGTCTGGATGTGTATGGTTGCCCTAAATGTGCCATTCAAATGCACTCATTTTCGTAAACACAAAGGATTCATGCTCTGGACATGAGTATGTTCTTTTTGAAAAAATCGAGAGATTGAATAAATAAATGGGTCTTGTCCGCATGACTACATCTGTAAGCGATCATAGCAAGGTCACCACTGCAGGAGTGCGATGGCGAAGCAGTCGCTGCTTGGAATAAACAAATTCCATTCATGACGAGCGCGCACGTGTACGCAGAAGAAGTGCAGTTAAAATATGAAGACATAAGACACCGATTTGACTCACTGTGAGGGCTCTTATTCACTTTCAAATGCCCTAAAACTGTGTTCGACACGAGCACCAAATGCGTAGATCGGATTGCTTGCTTTCGCAGATCACCTCAGTTGGAATTAGTAGGGTTCGGATATATGCAACTCAAATAACAATTCAAGCTTTTCAAAAGAGCGGTTAAGAAACTAGTGAACTTGCTTGAAGAAAGGGTGACATCGGAGTCGGCAGCGTCGACTTTAGAGGCGATGGAGGCACCTTTGTTGGAGGTCGACGAAACGGCAGAGGACATATCGCCAGCAAATGGAGCTGTCTCGAGATTGCCCGCTGGACAGATAAGCAGCAGGCCGTCTGGACTAAAACTCGGACGGCGGAAGAAGGATTTCCACGAATCATCCTGTCATCATTAGAGAAGCCAATCCTTTTGGTTATGTTTACGTTGTTGTTAAGGCGAGATTGCGATGAGCATGAACACTTGGCTCCAATAAATTATTGAAAGGTTCATACTAGTATCTGCATCCTCGTCTAACACTTGAAGGTAGGTAGTTTCAAAATCCCTTCCTCCTAATCTAAACAAACCGTACATCGATATGTGGTATGCTGTTGTTTGAAAAAAAACTAGTATGCCTGAATGTTCTACTACAGGTAGGGTTGTTTTCAATTTAGCTAAGTAACACGTGACACAATGCCTACCTGGAACAAGTGGCACTTATCGACCTTAGATAAGGTGATGACACAATGGTTGGTTGCCACCTTGTAAATACGGCAAGATCGATCGGAGGAGAGTGAGGCGACGTAGACACCCAAAGGGTCCCAGGCAACACCCTGGACGTAGTGCTTGTGGTCGCAAAGCACCACCGATTTGCAGGTCCCACTGGAGGTGCCCTCGACGGAAAGATCGAGGTTCCAGAGAATGACCGACTGGTCAACCGAACCCGAGATGAAGGCGGTGTCATCAGGCGACCAACAGAGATCATAGACGTCCTCCAGATGGCGCCTAATGCAGAGGCAGTACAAATGTATCACGAGGATGTGGAAGCGACGAGGGAGGTAGCATAGAAGCTAGCTCAGCACACCCAGACACACCGTAAGGAGCGCAGAGGCGACCAAGTTTCCAGAGATTTGGGTTCGTCACCATCATCCCCTGGCAATGATGGCGAAGTCGATTCACTCGCAGATTCGGGCTGCATGTGCCAGATAATTATAAATTGGTCATCGCCTCCTGAGGCCAGATATTCGCCTGTAGCAAAGACGGACAAAACATCGTACTCATCCTAGTGTAAGTAGTACGTCCGACACCAATTAATGGCTTAAACTTGGTTGAGAATTGGGTTTTAGATCCCAAATTACTTTCGTACCATGCACCATGAAGCAAGAGTCGATTATGCTGACTTAAGATATTAGGCTGTTTGGAACAGTCTCAGGGGCAACACCAGGTACACAAACTCCCATAATTTCACTGCCTTTACAAGTTTTTGGTTATGATGCAGAAGACGCACTTCTATTATATTGAGTAATTCAAAATGAAATTCGGCATTCTAGGTTGGGTAGACGCTTCATCTGTGGTTTACCAAACAAAACGCCATTATTTTCTGCATAATGAAGCAAGTATGGTGAAAATTCGTAGGTTTAAAACGCCGGGCACGTGTGATCGCGTGCGAGTTAAAGCCTACGATTGATCCAACCCGGTGAACTGGAAGACAGCTCTCAGCTAGTGCACCGAGCGTGATTCGCGTGAATCCTTCTCACGTTTCGACACCGCCGACCTTGTGACTACCGACGATGATACTGGGTGTGGGGCTAGCCTATGTCGTCGTTATTTGGTGCAGAAAGGCGTCAGTATTAGTATAATGTCAGAACCTAGTAGTAAGGCAAAAGGAAACGGAAAGAATATTACAACCTATCAACTTTGGCGGTACAATTATTCAAAAAAAATAAATTCTGAAATGGCGCTGAAATAAATTGAATGAAATGTAAAAAATAAAATCGAAGTGAGACAGTTGTGGTGAACAAGAGCAAAAAGAAACAGGAGCTGCAAAATTAGTACCAGACACCAGTAACGGTGTTGTAACGACCAATAAGTCGCCCTTTCTTAGAGGCCAGTAAGTAAGGTAAGATTAAGTATGAAGAGAGATAGCGTGATTCATGCCAAGGAAGAGCATTGGCGCGTACAAGTGAAGCAGGATGTACACGTGCTCCAAAAGGAGATCAGATTGAATTACCACGTATTAAACCATGCAGTAAAGCTAAACTAGGCAAGGTGTCCAAATTAATCTTGTTCGTTATTTAGTGGCAAATGCTTGGATGATAATCAACACAAATAATTGGGTTAGACCTGACCGAACACCAATTATTAGAATGAAGATTAACTCAGCAAAATTATAGCACAACTATCTTAAGTATTAATATTTTCAAAAAAACGCCTGACAAATATTCCAATATTGCATACATTTTTATTCCACAAAATAAGCGTATTTAGAAAGAGCCCATGATACGGTAGCGTAGATTGAAGTTCGACGTGAAAAAAAAACCAAAATGAAAGAGGAATGAGCTGCAAAGAGCCTCATGGTCCCCAAACACGCGATACATCGAAACTGGAGCGCGCGTTATAGGCCAGGAGCTTGTGATGGCCTCGACCAATGAAAGCTACGATAAGTTATCAACTATGTAAATTGTAAATTGATGCACAAAAAAGCTTAATTACCAGATGGAGACCAGCGGACAACATTGACCAACCGCTCATGTCGTTTCAGAGTGGCCAAGAAGACTAATCCTTCGGACACGGGTGCGGGCACTTCAACTCCTCCACTCACGTCATCACCAGTAGCGGCGGTGGCCGTGGCAGTGGTGGCGGCAGTAGTGCTTGAAGCGGTCTTTTTGCCGCTTGAACTCTCTAGCATGCCCTTGGGCAGGGGCTTCTTGAAGGTGGCGACGGTGACAGAACCCGGTGGTCTCCATTCGAGGTTCACCCGCCACAGGCGGACCATGCTATCTCCACCCGCGGTGGCCAATCTTGTCCACGTCTCCCCAAAGATGGATCCAATCCTCTTTTCTCCCTCTTCTTTAGTCGCCGCCGTCTCTTCTTTCAACTTCTCGGCATCAGTTAATGTTGCATCATTAAGGGGAAGCTCCGCCAAAGGTTCACGCAACGTCATATCCCTAATTTTGGACACCAGGGTGAACGGTTGCAGATCACAGGAGTAAATTGGCAACGTCTCGTGCCAAGCGATTTCGGGAGTCAGTACTTTCATGGTCGGGCTGAAAAATGGAATAAACATCACAAAAATCGTGCATAACTACAGAAAGCCCATCCGGGGAATTGCCAACCCGGGAAAACTAGTGGCGATCAAGAAAGGTGTTCGAGGGTAAAATACTACCAGAATTCCACCCCGATCGACTTTGTAGACGATGGAGACTGCTAGGCCAAAACTTCGATACTTCGACAATTACAGCATATTGTAATTTACGGTAGCTTGAATTTTGTCCCCCACTGTACACGAGGAAAAACAGAATGCAAAATGAAATGACCTACTGAGATAGCAAGCGGGAAACGATTGCAGAGCAAACATTCGAGCAAAATTTGTGGACTGCTTCGAAAAATAACTTAAATTCACACAGCAACACTGCAAAATTAAGGAATTTTCTCAAGCCTAATGTGTAACCAAGCTTTACACCCCAATTAGAGAGCCTGTAAAAATCTGAAATATGCTTGCGCGCACAAGAAGAGACATAATGACTAAAATGTTTTTTTGCGATCTGGAACCTTCGCAGTAAATACGAATTTAAATAACAAACATATCTCCCAGATCCATCTTGATAGTGATTTTAGAGCACCTTTTTTCACCATAACCGGGGAAGTACGCAAAGCAAAAATATCCACTCGCTTGTGAGCAAAGCCTAAAACGATAAGCGGTGAGCAATTACTTCATAAGCTGTTAATGCCATCACGACTATTATTACGTAAGTGCTGATCAAATTCATTATAAAGCAGTTTGGAGATTGTTCGTAAAATACTTCAGCCTTAACAGCAAAAGGTGGTCAATAGTTTACGGCATATGGACCATCGAGCCACACAAGAGTGGGATGGACCAGGCCACTTTCCCAAAGGGCATGACAGGTTGGGTGATGAATTGTTGTTAATAGGATGAGCTGGATGCTTAGGAAGGCAAGTGATGAAAACAACTTTGCGGTCAGTTTGGTTCACAGTAAAAGTTGTGTGGTTTTGTTAAAAAGGCCTCATAAATGATAGTTTTGAAACAAATCCACTAAATAAAATATCCAGAAAGCGAATTGCTCAAAATCCACCAGATATGCAGTAAATTGAAAACCTCTTAGGAGACAGGGACAAAAAGCTAAGACGACAGTTTGGTGATAGGTGAATTTCATTTGTAATGTGAAGATCGATGGGGTAGAGCTAAATCCTGGCAGTAGAGGAAAAAGAGGCGGATTGGACAGCAACTCAATGGCAAAACTTATTGTGCGGTATTCCCTCCGATCCGCTAGCATAAAAGTTCTTCGTGCTGTTACCCATCCAATCAATTCAACACTCAAATTACATAAAACGAACGACGAAACACAGATGAGAACATATTATGACTTTAAAGTAGTTCACTACATAGAACGAATGTGAACAACTCTGTCCTCAGAGTAGTGCAAAAGATCCTGTCCCATCACTCAGCGAATCCCCCGTGGGTAAGAATTGCAAATTTGTAACCTTTTCAAAAAACAATTCATAATCATAACCTTCTTGTTTCCAAAGTGCATTTCTTATTGTCACAAGGTCACTTTACCGCCGAGAGGGAAAAGAAATAGCAGTCTAAACGAATTGACGAACACATTGGTCAACTTTAGCTTGATAGAGGTTTTCACTTTAACAAAGGCATCTAACTTCAAACTGTATTAGTTCCAGAAACAGGAGCCGTAATTAATTTTGCAAAGCACGAACAGAATTGAGACGAGGGAGAGAAATGTATAGCACTAAGATGAGTACAGACGCTTACAGCTCTACAAGTCCGCTTAGCATCTAATTACTTAAAGAGCACAAACCCCAGCACGAGACAAAAAAATAACACGCCGGCATGGTCGAGGAGCCGTACTAACAGTAAATAACATTCAAACAGAAATCATTCGGATTTGAAACCAATCACATAACACCATACGTTAATGAAAATTTCGACTGGAAAATGTGACTCCGAGCAACGTGATGCTGAAGACCAATCCACAGTCTAAATTATTTGTCATTTGAGAGGCACGAAAAACGCCGATGAATATTACATTTAAATTCGTGTATTGCATTCAGAGATATGGGTACATAAAATCAACAACCACAGCACTGTAGCAGATAATGAACGAATGTAAAGGAAGACGAGAAAATAAAGATACCATGCCTCCACTAAAAAACTTATCGCGGTAGAGACCACGATGTTTAGTAATTCACATCCAGTCCTTCAAAAACATAAATTTCTAGGTTTTTTACACATTATTGAGTTCGCCTATTCGATTAAACTTTGCTTCCAGATAACTTCCCATATCATTAACGGGAGTCTTCTATCGAAAAACGGAAGCCCACGAATAATAACAGCGAGAACGACGACCTCAATCACGAAGCTACTTTTAAGTAATATGTGACTTTTATCCAAAAGCTACTTTTTTACTTGGCGGTCATTATTAGCACTTCCTGAAGCGGTACGTATGAAACAGAGGTGAAATAAAGGCAGTGAACTCCCGCTCTAAAATGATTTCTACGAATTAGCCTCCAACATCTGCTAATGTGAGCTCATTCGACTTAGATGAAATCCACAATTTGTAGAGGGCGCAGAGAAATATGCACATTGTATTCGGGTAAACTCACCTGAGTAGGTGGGTAGTTATTTACACTGTGAAGAAGTTCTCAGCTAATCCACCATAGAATTCGGAAGGAAATCGTAATAACCTCTGAGTGCTGATGAAACGCTACTACCTTTTTGCGCAACCGACTTATAAACAAAGAAAGGCATTGAATGTTACACTAACGCAAAAAAAGAAAAAAACTTGTTGCACAGAAGGTGTGTCTAGCTAGGGAGGAACATGAAAATTACGCCAATGCATGCCACCATTCGGTTTTAGGGAAAAAAAGGGTCTCCGGAAAACAGGACACGGAAGCTATTCAAAGCGGTTCAGTGCTACGAAATCCTACAAAAAACTACCAAAAAAGGATTTTACTTATCGTTTTCGGCAGTTTTTTGTGGTATTCCGAATCAATTTTGATTACGGAGATGTAAATGCCTAATACAACGGAGCTTTCAAAAAAAGTTGGCCGCTCATTTCAACCCAATACGGCCATCCCACTTAAATCAAACTAGACTGTGTTCTGTTCACATAAAAGGGACGTGGAGAGGTCCGATTACACTAAGTCATTTTAGAAGGGCGTCTAAAAAGGATTGCTGCTTGGGTGTGGATACTTTCCGATAATGCCTGAGACATTTGTTTTATACGGATTATGGAAAATTAAACACAATGAAACATCATGTGCTGCCAGCACCATGATAGTAATAAACAATACATAAGGAGCCAGTAAAACACGCTCGTAAAACAACTAAACATCTTAACTGTTCGTTTCTATCTGTCAAATTGAACGGAAATATTGACAAATAATGTTCATGTGTAAAAGTTTAACGTTTGGGTATTTGACGTATGCGAAGGGTCGCTATAATAAAATTATTTTTGGGGGTTTCGCTAACACCGATTTGCCGACCCGAGGGAATTGAGTAGGAAAATCACACGCACACAAACAAAGAGAGGGGTTTCCATTAAAATAGTCAGAAGTAATAAAAGAAAGGCGATAGGTGAAGCATTGGCAGTTATGATTGAGGCCAAGGGTCCATTATTGGACTGACATTCAGTGCCTTGAAAAGATCGGTTGTAACGCAAAGACGCATTCAAAAGAGGACTTTGAATAATACGGTGAAATCGTTATCCCAATTTCATGAGAAATTTAAAATCCACATGAGTGGAAGGCACTACTTCTTCCCAAGAAATATGTAAATATGAAACTGCTTTCTAATCTTTTGCACGGACCAGTGAGGCAAATCCAATTAACCAAGCAATGTACCGAAAATCCATTTGGTTTTCCCAAGAATGGCAAATATTCAGAGTCACGTCACTTTGCTTAAGGAGCCTTAAGGTGAGTTGGTGTTGCTGTACACAACCAAAATTGACAACGATGGAACATGGATAACAGCCACCCACGACAAGCACCGAAAGTCCAACTTTTATGCGCATCCACGTGAGTCATTTCGAATCAGAGGTCAGGGAAAGAGGATGCCCTTAACTTTCAATAAATTTTCGTATAAAAATGGTTAAGTATTTTTTTCAATTTAATAATGACTTCATAAGGGTTAATAGATGGTATCAAGACCAGAAAAAGGAAACGAAAAACGGAAGTAAATAAATATTTTGAAACTCAGCTACCGTTGGCGCTGTCAATAGTTATCTGAATTGTAAGGTATCGTAGCAATGTATATTCATCGGCCGACGAGCAAAAACAAGAGAGCAGTGTAACTTCGATTCCAACCAGTAGCTTTTTTGAGAAGAAAACGTGTAGTGATCATATCCAATGAAGCAAAGTTCACGGACTAACTACAACCTGTTTGCTGTTTTTGTTGTAATGATTGCTACTCAGTCAATTCTGTAACCCTAAGAAGTTACGAGAGAGCATTTAGTTCCTGAGACCCCCTTTAAATCTTTGACCTATGTGAAGCAATAGTCAGCCTCAACCATCACAAGACTCAGGACTAAAAATCTCAACAAATCATTCGGACAGACAACGATTTGTTGAACTGAAATCGTTATTATATTGTGTTATAACGTCGATTGATGATTGCACTTTATCATACTGATTTTTAGTAACAGTACAAAGAGGGAAGAAATAAAGCAACAGTAAAGAAATATATTTTTTGCAAGCTATAGCAAAACGAAATAAAAAACGAGAGACAAGTGTTCCACAGTTTATATTGATAACAATGATACAGACACACTCAGAGGTGGAGGAATGAGTGCTAAGACGTGGAGGGAAGAGGTGGTGGTGGTGATAAAAGGAGTGGGAAAAAGATGAATATTGTGAGAGAGAGGGGGGGATATATGAACTCAGAAAAGCGTTCACAAATGCATCAACAGCACAGCAGACGTATCAAAGCCCTCAGTCGGTCATGCTGGCGGGTGGAGTCTTGGAGCGCTCGTCGTCCTCCTCTTCGTCCTCCTCCTCCGCTTCAGAGGTGTTGGCGGAGTGTCTGGTAGGAGCATTTGTGGCTGACGTAACACAACCGGTGGCGGTGACTGTGGCGGAGGCATTCGACTGTCTAAGCGAGTGCGGAGGTCGAACATGGGGCGAAGGCTTAACAAAGGAACCGGGGGAGGGTGATGAGGGTGGGGGTGTTACAGCACCACATTTGTAAGGCGCCTTGCCAAGGGGAAGAGGCTGACCACACTCTCGACAGATGCGACCCGAGTTGTTGCGACCCTGAAAAACGGCCGCAGCGTAGGCATGGCCCGGACCCAAAAAGGGTCCCTGTGCCAAGGATGAGGGGCAGCCATCGGAGGTGGTACGTAAACGATTTGATGACGCCGCGAAGCGCCTAGCGTCGTTGTAACACCTGAAACAGGAAAATGTGACTAGAAAGGATGAAGGTATCACTGTTGTAGAGAAAATAATCAATCAACCAGCTAACCGTTCGTCCTCTATCTCAAGACTGGACTCGCTGTCGCTGAGGGCTCGTGTAAGAGCTCTAGTGCGATCCACTTCGACTTCCAGTAGTTGGCGCAGACGAGCATTTTCGTCTATGGCCGAGCGCTCCTGGTTTGAGCGAAGGGCCTGCTCAGCCTGGTTAAAAGCAACAATGCGACGCAGACGAATGACCTCCTCGCGCAGTTTGGCCACGTACGTGGCTCCGGCGGCCGTACTTTCAGTGGTCAACTCAGCCACTGCAGTGTTGCTGGGTTGGAAACTATTGCGGTGGGAACGACTTCCGGACTGAGAGCTATCTGATCGGACAAGACTGCCGGCTGGGATGCTGACATCTATAACGAGTAGTTTCCGGTGCGAGCCGGTCGGATAAACTCAAAATTCTAAATACACTAAGCAGATGAGCCACAACCTCTTCGTGCTTATTTAATGTTTCAAAGATCATGTATTATGTAGATCCCCGTAACCTATTTTCAAATTTTTTTATTAACTACCTTTAGGTGCTCGAGTGCTGTCACAGTGCAATTTGCATTAGGAACTACAAAATTCAGGACGACAGCTGGAAAAATTTAACTCCTCAAAAGAAGGGTTCCTGAAAGTTAGCAGCGACCTTGGTGGCACACAAATACAAAGGTCAGATCAGATGATCGATGTACAAATCTTAGTGATTACGAAAGGGATCTCAAAAATGTCCCAGATACATAGCATCATTTAAGTGTGACGAAAAAACCGATAAGAGCGCTCAAGTCACGCGAACGAAGAGGGACAAATAACATTCATGAGTAGGTTGATAACGCCAGTTAAAATGTGCAAAACAAAGCTACCCTTACGATTTGAAATAGGGACAGCTCAGTGTGCTTTTAACGCTAATAAATAAGGCATGTCGAAGCTGACGACACTGGGGCCATATGATAGGGATCAGTGCAGCTCGTGAAAAGTTACCCATTATACCGGCGGGAAGATAAGAGCTGGTAAATCACCCACACACCACAATGTCCCATGAAGGAAGATAGTGTTAAAGGATACAGTAGACAAAATATGTGTGATGGTTTCGCTTCTACCATTTTTACATTCTGCAAGCCTTTCATACTTCCGTGTATTTATAGTAAATGATAGCCAACTAGTGAACAAGCATTTTTTTATTATTAACAAAGTGCTGTGTAAAATTTCTCCATGATTTAAACATGGTCAGCCATAATAAGTAACCTAAAGTGATCCCTTCATCGTACCCCTACATAAGTCAAAGGTTATTGGTGAAGTTAAATTAGCAACTAGAATTGTAGAATAAGAAATGATAATTCACAAAAATCCTTGTTTTGGATCGTACCTATAAAAGCAAGTCTATGGATTCCATACGACGATAGCTAAGAGAGTATTCTGTATCTCTCGATAAAGTTAAGTAATTGGTTGAGTTAGTACAATGGTCCGCGGTGCTTAAAATAAGGCAATCTCCAAAAGTACCGGACTGGCACAACATCCACGAGGTCACAACAGCGACCAACATCAGCGACTAGAAAGTGCCAAATGGGTCACGGATACACGGATACAAGAAGAGCAGTCACAGCAAGAAAAGGTATGAATGCAAATCACTATGACTCTTCAACCTGGTAACAAGGCAAAATTAAACTCAAACGAAACAATCCACATAAGATGATAAACAGTAATTATAAAATATATTGCAATTTCATATCTTCGCCTTATAGTAGATGGGATCTATTATTAAATGAGTTCGCTCACTACCCTTACCTGAAATGCTTAACAAAATATGAGGTGAATCGAAATGTGAAGGCTACGACTAAACTATGGCAACAACATCAAGATGACAGGGATGAAGTCAAATGTAACCTACTACTTTGTGAAAAGGGGTAAAACTAAAAAACCAATAATGAAGCGGGAGTGCTCTCCAGATCAAGAAAGCATGTGGATCACGATATCACATGATCTCGAAGGTAGCCCAAATTTGTTGGATTCAATAAAATTACTTGCAATACAGTGACAAAAAAAAAAAAACATTTTATCTAAGCCTCTGGAACTCCCGCCTGTGATTGGCAACGAAGATAACCGCGTTTTGTGAACGGATACAGTGGCAAATCGATAAGTGTATTCCCAAGATCAAAACATTTCCCAATCACAAAAAAAAGTTTCGTCCGCAAGACGTTACTTTCTGGAACATACAAACATGCACGTGTAACCCACTATGGGAGCATATTTCCCATTACAACCATACCAGTAAATGGGAATGAGAGCAATCCACTGGGGTGCACGCAATGCCAACACGAGAATTCAGCAGCAAGGAAAACTTGTCCGAAAAATCGCATCGAAGCTAAGTCTGACGAAGAAAACTTCGCAATTATATAAAGGTAAAAATAGTTGAATGTCATTTGCACGCATATTTTTAATAGCGAACGTCACACATCATAGATGACAGCCCCATATACCAGAAAATTAAAAATCGGCTGCTTACTTTATCCTTACTAAAGATGATGAAATGATATCTGGAAAAACTGTTGGTAAGGAAGGAAGCTAGATAGAGTATGATTAGTCCATCTTCTATTTTGAAAATGGCTTCACAACATCCCAGATGGCAGTACAGTAAAGCCCACACCCATTGACCTACGCTTGACAAATAGACGGGAATTCCTTGCGAAGATTAAAACCATGCAAAATGCAGGGATAGCGATACGAAGAGAGCCCGTCTTACCCTGTCTTCACAACAAAAAGATCATGTGACGACCGCATCAGTGCGTTAGACAACAGAAAAGCATTATTCAAAAGCATGTCAGTTTGCATGAAAATTAACAAGTTGATTAGATGACAGTAAGGAAGAATGTTTACGTTCCCCATGGATTAAAAAATAATACAAGAATGTAATAGTTCTTCGGCATCAAAGATAGTAACGCTGCCTGCCCACGTTTAGCTTTTGCAAGCTTCATCAAACTTTTCATTACTCAAAGCTCAGTCTATGCAAGGAAAAGGCAAAAGACATTTGATAATCGAATGGATTCAGAAAATGGACCAACTAGAAGGCAAGCATACCTAACATTAACAAGGACAAAACAATGTTTGGCTTCAAAACACCAATAGATATAGCTAGATTGATGTTGTTAGGCTGTGAAACCGTTTTAGTGGTGTGAGGAGATACAGAGTAGTGAATACAAATGACTAACAATGTGGGTTTCAAAATGTGACTATTAAACTCAGCTCCAACACGCACACGCAATAACATTCAGACATTTCACGAAAGGTAGGTAAATAAAGGAGACATTCTTTGAAGGCTAATCTTGAAGTAAAAAGCGCGTTGACCAACGAGAAAGAAAGTCATTTTTACCAAGTAAGGCTAAATCACTACTAAGTTCATGACAAGCACACAACCTCGGGAAGTCGTTGGCTTCTCTAGCATGTACTTGAAGAAAATCACCCAACATCGTTTTCACCAATTTAAAGACACCAAAACAGCGCGATTGGTTTTATTCGAAGCCAAAATAATGAAGATTATAGAAAAAGTAGGTCTGCCAATTTAACGGATGTGAAAAAGACTATTCTGATCAGGGGGTATGCATTCAATGTTGAGTGACCTAATTCTTTTGATAAACATCAAATTGACATAAAATGCAGGAAAATCTAAACAGTTCAATCAAATTCCCTACCGATCACATTAAAGGATAGGCGAGAAGAGGCGACGCAAATGTCGCAAGAGGGGGACGTAATGGTACACCAAAAAAGACCAATTACTCGCGTTGATTACAACAGTAAAGCCCACTACGACTCATATGTTCAGACATCAAGAAGTCAAGTAAGTTTGGGCTTACCGTGGATTTGGATAAAAGACTGAAAATAAAACGGTTGAGTTTCCAAAGCATGTGACTACGACAAGCAATTTGGAAAGTGCAAATGACAAAAGATAAGCCGAATCCACCCAAAAATTTTGCAATAAACAAAGTGTATTACAATGCTTCACACCATATGATTCATTTCGCCTATTTGTCAGAAATCAGTGGAAAAAATAACAGACTAATGTTAAGAAATAAAACAGCTCCGATCTTCAGTGTTAACAATGCGGTATTAGGATGTTACTGAAAACAAGTTTGATCAACAGAAGCAACTATAATTAACCTTTAAAATGGAATATTTAGCGAATGATAACGGCTCATTCGCAACCAATCGCTACTGGTATTTAATAACGCTAGATGTTAATCACACAAACACACAAATCGAATAGTCCCTTGCTTCAAAGGGAAGTGGGAGAAAAGCCGACTATTTTGCATCATTGAGGAGAGGACGGCAGGCTGAATGGAGTTACCATCAAGGTCCATGGGACTCTGGGGTGGACGCGGACTAATGGAGGAAGTGAGAGAGCCCCTGGCCCCCGAGTGACTGGGAGATTGTCCAGCGTTATCTGATTGACATCCACTCGACTCAACGCTGTCAAAACTGTCCCTTCCAGGTGCGTCCGTGATGGGGATGCGCGAGGAGCCGCGCAAGGAACCACCTGCCGAGTGGCGATGTTGACTCGTCTGCAGAAAACCCACGGGGATGGAGGTTGAGTGCTGCGCTTGGTTTGCACTGCCAATCGCCACCGCGGATATGTTTTGCACGCTCGGGCTCTCTGATGGTGGAGCACTGACACTCTCCAGCTTATCCTTCAGGTAAGAGAAAGCATTCCAAAGCAAAGGAAGAGATTATTCATACATTTTGGAACAAAAAAGTTTGCTCGACCTAACAGTTAATTAAACTCCAGTCGGAAACTAGAGCAGCTCAGCGCGTCCGCAAATTACTTCAATATTTGGAAAACGGACAGATTTATTACGAGGCTATCTGTGACAAATGATCGATGGAAAAAAGAAAACGATATTCAATAAAAGCAATACGAAAGTGTGATATTGTATAGTTAATAAGTATCAAGAATAATCAAGTTAACGAACTAACGAATATAGAAAGAATATACTTTGTTTACATTGTATGTGCTAAGATTCCCAAATTAACACACATTTTTGCACCTTCTACTGAAAACATTTATCTAATGTTTTTAAACATAACAATATAAAGCACGTGCCATTCATGCTTACGAATGAGTGCTCAGGTATTAAATGTGTATGAGTAGAAACCCATACCTGAAGAATGCGTTTTTCATCCTCCAGCTTTTTCATTTTTTTCCAAAGTCGGTTGACGAGAGCTTCTTGTTCCTGCTCCAAGGCATTTTCAAGCTCAATTTTATCACGTCTCAACTTCTCCAAAACCTGCTGTTTCCAGTCACTTTCGCTTTCAAGTCTTTCAATTCGACGCTTCAGCTTATTTACCTAAAAACAGGTATTAATAAGAGCCTAGCGATTGAGTAGCCCATAAAAAACGAACGCTAGAAATTAAGACGTGAAATAATAATGTCCCAATTCAACTAAATGACTTAGATTACCTGGGCTTCTTGTTCTTTCGCAAGTGTCCGCTCAAGTCTATCCTTGTCTTTTTGCAGTTGCATTAATTTACGATTTAACTCATTAATGAGTCGCTCCTCTTCCTCCTCAAACTTGACCACGAGAGACTCCTTGTCTTTCTTCAACTCAGAAATTTGACGTTGAAGGGTATTACTTATGTATTCCTCCTCCCGCTCGGCTTGCGCCAGCTAAAGACCAAAGCTAAACAATGGAATTTGAAACCTTACAATAGACACACTATTTCTTCGGAGTTGTTCATTCTTTTCGGCCAAACTTCTCACTCGGAGGGTGAGCTGATCAACCTCTGTTTTGAGCATCCGATTTTGTTGTTGTAATAACTCTACTTGCCGTTGTAACTGCTCACATCTTCCTGTATGGCCATCAATGGAGCTAGCATCGGATTCTAGATCCAACTCTGAAGCACTATCGACCATGTTCCCTAGGTAGCGTAAAATGTTAAGACCAGAAGTAAGACCACTTTTCAGTAAAAGTGATAGATGCAAAACAATAACTATCAGATAAATATGTATGAAGACAAAACTAAGGAATGGTGCCGTATCCCAACAAACACTTCAGGCTTAAAGCAGTAAGTAAACCAGACTAATAGCAGGACACACCCTGCATTTTTAGTGCATACAAATTGGAAAATTTTTTGGATCATCTATGACCAACAAACATCGATTCATCAAGGTGCAATGCCTAGAAAGTGAAACGATAGGCACAACCACAGAAAAAGAGCAGCACGAGAAAATGAAATCCTAACTCAGCAAGCAATATTTTGGAGTACTTTAAATACATTTTAGGTCCTCAGTTGATGTACTAGAGAGAAAAGCAGCTCTCTACCTTGAGTTCAAGAAAAGACGTCCCTTATATATGCCCCTGGCGAATCCAACGTTATTCAAGGAAATTTCAAACGCGTCAAACGTGTCCCCACTCATATAAACGAAACTTCTAAATTCTAATTTTGATTTTAAAGGCTTCTTCACACGTTCAGGGCGCAAATGTTGTATAAGTGTTACACAACTCTTAGGCATTATTTGTTAAATTTTGACGAAACGAATGGACTTTCAATAAATATTTGATTAGTTAAGAACATATGTACGGCCAATGTAATGGACATAGTAGAAGTTCATTTTCACATTCTTCTCTATAAAGGGCTCGTCAAAGTGAAAACTAGTCATCTTCTATGCTACAGCATCCTAAGTCAACGTTGAATTCGTAACAAGTTAAAATGATATGGAAAAAATAGGGACTTCGCATCCACGTATTTCTTTAATTATTTGAGCAGTTGATTCCCTGCACGTTATAAATTTACTCTGTGGCCTAGAAATTTTGCTGAGCCTTTCATGCCTCGCTCTCGTTATAAGCATATGTTTTCCAAACTACTTTGCTTTAGTACACCTTCAGCGAGGACTCGAGACGCTGCATTATTAACTCACTGAAGGGCTAGGAGGCTTCTAGCATGGTTCGAATGCTATGCCACAGACATGTGAAGAGTGAAGTGCCTGTGTATCTGAGTGCATAGTTGCGCATTTTGCTAGATCACTTTTAATACGCATTAATAGTATTTTTGTTTCTATTAATGTTTCCTTTGTGAATGAGGCAGTCGAAGTAAAGCATATTTTAGGCGCCGTCCTAGTAGACGGGCCTCCACGTTGTCGCAAAATGATGTCCTTTTAACCATATTTTATCGAATTGAGCTGAGCTTGATCACTATCTTTATCAGTTTTAAACACTAAAACATCCTTAATTTCGTTGCCAACCCTCTTACTTTTCCAACTAAGTGTACCAGGAGCGGCATCAGTTGACGGTTATTTAAAGGTCAGTAAACACCGTTTATTGTCAAATTAACACTGAATAACGATTTGGTGTATTAGAGGTCTTACAATTCCTAGTCCTCAGCTCCTTCGTCCTCGTCTCCTTCTCCCTCTTCCTCTTCCTCTTCCTCCGCAGCAGCGGCCATAGCCAGACGCCTCGCTTCCTTCCGCAAACGCACCTCCTCCTCCTGCTGGACCATTGGGTCCACCGTCTCCTTCAAACCCATCGCCTCGTCATCAAACTCCTTGAACAGCGACTGCAACCTCGGTGGCTGATAGCTTGCGCTCAAGAACTTGTTCCCCCAACCAAGGTAGACATTAACGAAAGTGCTTAAATCCGGAAAAAGGGAAATCATTTAGCCCTTCTAAGCTAATCAAATAACAAATAAAACTGAATAATCTACACTGATTTGGATCTTTTGCTTTATAAATTGCCATGTTAACGACAACCACAGAGAAGTGACACATATGAGCTTTGCTTAGGTGATAATTTAAAAAAGGGACCTACTTACGTGCTACGAGAGAGTGCGTAAGCGCCTGGCCACCGAGAGCTGCTAACAACAGCAATGGCGCAGTTGACGGGGAGGAGGACAGTGGAGGGGCGGATGTTCCAAGCGGATGCAGGAATGGAATTAACGTTACCAAATAACGACTCGCCGACTCTCCCGAGAGGTCTCATAGGGTCATCCTCGTCTACCGGTGTGAGAAGATCAGGTCCTTCTTCCTCTTCTTCCTCCTCCTCTTCCTCACCCTCCTCCTCCTCCATCCCTTCCTCGTCTTCGTTGTCATCCCGCAGAGTCGCTAATCGCCCAGAAATCATGGGGCATTATTGGTAAGCACATCTAGATTTGCTTCGTCGTTTTGAATAAAATCAGGTATAAAAGCTATCGAAATACCCATGTAAAATGTAGAATTGCTCCTACAGACACCAAAAGTGGATCTCGATGTTCTACTGTTTCGAAGCGATTGGTGTTATATCTGGCAATGGGTACAGTTAGCGTGGACTTCGATTGTAAGTGCGTTAAAGTAATGCGGCTTGTAGCTAAATTTTGGCATTTTAAAGATATGAAAATTTGAAATAATTACCTCCTTCCTCCTCGTCCTCTTCTTCAGCCTCAATCGCCTTCATTGCTGCTGCTGCTTTCTTGCGTGACAACCAGTTGATTCGACCGATTGAGTAAATGAAGGGCCTGTGATGAACCCAGTTGGAGGGATCCAGCAGATCCTCAAACTCCATCGGCTCGTACTCCTCAGCCATCATCAAATTCTCAGGTTTCTCCTGCAAACCAATTACATGGCAATGATTGCTTTGCTCTTCACTCAACCTACACTGCTATCATATACTGGTAAAAAATAGACAATCTGATTTGATTGATGGTAATATAACCAAACAACCGGGTAGTTTTCACATCTGTAAGTTTTTGTCGGTGGAAAATGAAGAGAATTATTAAAAAGAGTTATAAGTGACAACCGGAAAAGTATCTGAAACCGTACAGGACACTGTTTTCGCCGAAACTCACTGGAATTCGATGGTTTTACCCATCCACTGCTAGTTGAATGGTGGAAGGAACGAATTGCAGTGAGACGAAAGATCTTTAAACTTGTAAACAAAACCCATATAGCATTGACTAAGTATTAATGCCACTGCAAAACTTGAACGATACAGCCATTTGTGCAACAATTCTTCATTAGCTAACTCGTCATTTTAGCCTTTTAAGCAAAACGCACTATCAGCCTAGTCAAGTGGAGGCTGTAGATGATAAAGTTAGCGTTGAACCTCCAAAAGGAAGGAGCAAATAGAGAGTAGGAAGAAAAACGAAAATTATTGTCATTTTTTGTGCGAATATTATGCACACTTCCATTGTCAGCTATCTAGCCGAAGCATTTGCACTGGTTAAAAATACCACTTTGGTCAATGCTGGCCAAAAGATAACTGAAAAGGGAATGAAGAAAAGGATGTGTGGATAGATGAATTACTTAAGTAAGTTATAAATGAATGAGAGATATATGTAGGGAATGATGAGAGTGAAAGCATAAAGGAGCTCACGCCTTCCTCAGGCTCATCCTCCTCGTCGAGCTCGAAGACGCCAGCCGGTGAGACCTGGGTGCCGGAGGATATGCGAGCGATCTGGGCGCGGAGGTAGTGCACTTCAAGTCCAGGGAAGGACCCCACTCCGCAGGGCAGATCGCCAACCGGGGCGTTGAGGTCACCAGTGAAGAAGTACACCGACTGGCGAGCCGCTACAATGTGCTCCGGCTTCACCATGGGCAGTCGGACCCATGTTTTCTCGCCGAGACTGCTGGAGACGAAGTAGTCCCATCGGTTTAGGCCCCTGCCTCTCGGCTCTTGCGGGTACCGAGTGGGCGGTTTATACTTGTTCCTCGGCAAATTAATCAGCACTCGTTTTTCCACGGGTAGGTTCGCCACAGTCTCCTCCCTCAATAGCATTGCTGCAGAAAGGCACTACGCATGGAACACTTCTACCTCTGCGGTTCACCTCTTTCTCTCTCGTTCAAACTCATATACAAGCACACATAGAAACGTACAAACAAAGAATATGGGAAATGTAAGTCTACTCGTCAGATATCTTAAGCTGTGTTCAATGTGTCCATCCGAGAATCGTACAGCCCCGTCAGCGGATGTAGTCGTCTTTCTAATTCTGTCGACGTTTGTCTTAAAGTGCGACCTAGGCACTGGTAAGCAGTTTTGGAGGAAAAAAACTTATTAACCACATTGAGGCAGTTCAGTTTACTAAGCGCAAATAACTGTGTGAAGTGTGGCAGTGTTGCTTATTTTGCTTTGTACCTTACATCAGTTCTAGGAACTGAGTTATGCAGTATTTTTTGTTTCACAGTAAATGAAATGTGAGTAGTCATTAAATGTTATGCAAAAGCCTCCAGATTAATGATGCCAACTATGGAACTGGGGATAGAATTACTACGGATGGAAGATAATTCTATTGGGCAATCAAAGGAAGTCTTTCCTTTCCACAACTTGTTTCATAAAATAGGTTGATAAAAACGGAGAGTTTCCGCTATATTCATCCAAACAGTCACTCTTGGGACAATTAAGCATCGCTCTAATTCTACTAAGGATGCTTTCTAAAACCCTCGTATTTCATAAGTTTACTCTATTTTTATTTAATCGGTTCGTTTCTACGCATCCAACAATACTTAACGTAGTAAACAGTTTCGCTTTCTCTTTTATGAAGTGATATCACGTCAAAGAGCTTGCGATTTGGCAAATTGATTGCCTAGAGATTGAGCTTTACCCAAATTCTGGGCAACTTTACCTTTAAATTCCTCCGTATCTTGTTCTTGAACCACCTTTGGTGGCCTAGGTGGACGCCATTTATCCCAGGGTCCGGGAATCTTTTCGCTCGGATCCGAATCCCCCTCGAATTCGGCCTCAACAATGTAGTAGTCTGACTTTTGACCGTATATCTTCCCCCAAAAGCGCAGTTTTGTTACATCGTCTTGCAGCACTTTCCACAGAAATCGCAAAGCCAACCATATTCGTGTCAGCTCCTCCCTACCTAGACCTTGAGGTGGAAAATAGTATAGATGTATCAAACCTAAAACCCACTGATAGGTAGGCATTCAGAGGTCCCTCTCACCGATTCCAGACTGTTCGATTAAAGAGAGCTGTTGGCAGAGATTCGGAATAGCTGCCATCTCTTCCTCGTCCACCTCAAAATTGCCAGCATAGGATGCAGGCAGAGGTGGTTCCACCAAAGGTGATTTATTCCACACATGATCTGGATGCTGGGAAAATGAAACAAAGCTTTGTCAAATATTTGTTAATTCCCTGTCAGCCTCAGTTAGCTTTGGCATGGACGGAACCTACGCAATAGATGGCTCTTTCATTTTCAGCAAAAACCACTGCAGGTGGTATGGGCTCCTCAGTAGGCGCAACGGCGTCCTCGCGGGCCTCGGTGAACCCGGCATCCATAAACTCGCCCTCCAGACCCATCTCGCGCTTCACTAGGCGGCTGAGCTCCTCGAACTGGTCCAACGCCTGAGCAGGCTGGTGCTCGAGTATGTATTTGGTGATGCCCACCATGTGCTCATACAGCGTGCCAGTCCGACTGTTCGTCTCGAGACCCTCGTGCTTCTTCGATCCACCGTGTTTGATCGACTGGAAGAGCGCCTTTGCTTTCTCGAACTCCTTCTCTGGTGGCTCCTCAGGACCGAGGTCGCAGAAGCCCCCCGTTTTAGGATTCGGTGTTCTTACACAATTTTAAACAACATTGTTATACAGATATCGTGGTGGCGCTAAATGCTTCTTTCTATTATGAAAATGTGCATACCAAAGTAGCGTTGGCAGGTAATTTGAAGGAATTTGTTCGTAAAATCACTACGAGCAGACTCTTTTTCTATTATTCCACTGACTTTTGACGTTGAGTTTAAGCCGAAATTGATTTTATGAGGTTCCTCTAGTGAAAATATCTATTTCACAGTATTCTCCAAATCCACTAATTTATTTCTGACTGCATATTTTTTGCTTCATAAACATTTTCGATGAAAGTTTTTTGTAGTTATGTGGGAACGCGAATGTTTAGTGTTATTGAAAGATGGCAGAGGTACACTTTATTTGAGGAGATGGGGTCGATATGCGGAGACCAGGCAAATAGCTACTGCGAACCTCCTTGATTAGTTGCGGCACTTCAGAAATGGAAAATCTCCATTCCCCGTGGAGATGATAATGATCCAAAAGAATTTCTGGCCACTAGGGGCAACCCGATAGCAAATTTTTACAAGATCTTCTCATCAAATCCTGTCGATGAAAACGGAATGACTAGCGCCAGCTTAATCTGCTAAATACTGCACTCGACCGATTTTCAGTCCACAAATTAGAAGTCATTTCAATAGTCTATAAACATTTGATGAGAGCTAATGTTCTTTGCTATTTTACATCTGTTATGAGAAAGTCTGGTTTGTTTCGAAAGAAATGCATAGGCTGTTAGGAGTTCTAAAAATTGTTCCTAACAGTTAATTACACTCCAGCTCCGCATACCAGTGTAAAGATTGCCACATTGACATCCAAAAGTAAACAAATTAGTCAGTAATAATTACACACATCAAATGCCGGTAGAAACGTTATTAGCTGTAAGGTGTGGAAGATACCACAAGTAGAGGATGAAGACTATGTCAACGTGTAGATATTAGTAACCCAGCTACCTCCCAGTTCACAGTTCACGATTGTTCTTCGACTCATATTCCAATAGAGACAATTAAAATTAGTTAAATGGTACAATTAAATGTTCTGTTTTTGACAACTCCCAGTCATGATAAAATACAATAAAATGCCTAAGTTTAACTTATTTTCCCCATTTAAGAAAGACAGAAATGGTGCCAAAAAATCTGGTTTGGTTAAAAAATGCGCAGTAGTGTTTTCGAGGCAACGCTTACATGGGCAGAGCGTCTGACATTTCGCCTGACTGTCAACTTATCGATCGATAAATTTTTGCAACTTCGCGCTGCCTTTAAATTGTCAAATGACCTTCTCGATTAACAATTTTAGGGCCGTTTGAACACACGTTCGGTAGTTTAGCGTTTCTCGAACGACTTTGCGCTTTTGCTTGTAAATAAAAAAGCTTGTTATAACTATTTTGCTATTTACACCTATCACAAACTTGGATTGCACAATAAATTGTCCGTGTAGTTTGTTTCACCTATGTCTCTAAGATTAGCCATTTCCGAAGTCACAGAAAGGGCAATGTGTGAAGAGATGCGGGTTGTGGTTAGCAGAAAACTTTAATTCCACCACTACCGACATTTATTAGCTGCTAGCTTCCGTCACACGAAAGTCATTCAGATAAAACAACACCGTTAGGGTATCTTAAACTCAGCTGAGGATATTAACTACCCTTCTTCCGTAGAAAAACTACCACTTCTAAATCTGACGTACAATTTGTATTCTGGTACCCCATACTATGCTGTATGATATTCAACAAGTCGGGTTAAGTTTTAATGAGGAAAATGTCTTGACTTTAATGAAGTACAAAATTACCGATTATGGAATGACACATTTGATTCTATAAATTGATATAATATGGTTCAGTTTGATTTGGTTCTTCAAACGCCAGGTTATTTGTTCAAAATGATTCCATACCTGCTTTTGTTTTTTTGGAAATCACTATTCCAGAAGCCTGCTTTACTTGCATTAAAAACACCTCTTTAGAAATCTTGGCAAATTGTATTTTAGTCAATGGAAGAAACAAGATATTCACATAGTTTGTAGGGTTACTACATCTCGGAGCAGCAAGACTTGATGTGAATGACCCTTTCAAACTGTTATTCAAAGTTAATGGCCTGTCCGCATTACCTAAACAATTACTCGTTGCTCCCTCAAGAATAAACAGTGTACCTACCTGTATGCAGATCTTTACCACGATATCACTCCAACGATTAGTGTTGGTGGATGCCCACTAATAAACTAGTGCTGCAGGCGTCTTCAACCCCAGAAAGCGTTCCCACTTCTATTCTCTGGAGAATTTATTTTCTACAGCATCTGCAAACGCCCTCTCGTCCCATTCGCCCGATTCTCCAATACCACGCGGGGACTTCAAGATTGCTAATAATTACTCTAGGGCCAAGGCCGATCAAAGACTATAAGGCCGCGGGAAAAGTTAGCCAGAAATTACGTACGTACGCGTCCTCACCTTTCTCAAACTTGTTGGCATAGAGGCCCGCACTCTACTCTATTTCCGGATTGCTCTGGTTGGGAATTCACCAACATCCAAGCTCGCCCACATAAATCCCAGTTCATAATATCGCCAGGTAAGTAAACAATTCATAACTAGGACTGTTTAATAATGTTTATTCGCACAGTGACTCTGCAGGGAATAAAGTGCCATAAAAGGCTAGTTTTCTTTAACCCATCCATACTAGAAAAGTTCCATCTTCCGAAATAAAATTAGAAAAACGGTTGCTTTTCTTGTAGGGTAAATCATGGAAAGCGTCTCATACACCTAAGGTACACATCTCATCATTCCCATTTCCCTTGAGATGGCTTTCAAAGAGAGTGAGGTAGGGAAGAGGAGTATCCCAGGAGTACGATTCTGGATGCTGCTAGATCGCGGATCGGTTACGTAATTTTATGAAGGGAGAGGAAGAGCACGAGAAGAGGAGGCATGGCGTTTTGGTGGACCAAACGGGATTTGTTGCATTGTATATACACGAAGAGCTACTGTATACATCATTAAAGAGCTAAGACTGGCGTCATTCAAGCTCTTCACACCATCCGAGCCGCATCAGACGAGTAGAGGAGCGAGTTGCCGCCAGTACCGGTGGCAGTGACAGAGGTAGAGGATGAAGAGGTGGTAAAGAGGAAGGGCTTTCCATTCGTACTGTTAGCGCCCGTAGTCACCGGACGTGGTCCAAGGGGATAATTCGTCGAGCGGCGATTTACGTCACTGGACAGTAGTTCTAGAGCACCACCACCGCCGCTGCTCCCATCCACACCGACCATAATCGGCATGGGGACCGAGGAGACACGCTGCGAGGCTGGTCGTTCTGTAGACACGTCTGTGGAATTTGTCTTTCCGGAGTCGCCCGAGTGACTGCAGGTATTAGTGCCTGTGAGGTCTATCGCTCTTGACATTGGGAAGGTGTTCGTGAGCACGGTTCCCTTATCCGTTCCGCTCGTAGGATCTCTCCCCAGCGCTTCGTGGTCACATAGCGACAGTCGCGATAGCACTTCCTCGAACGAGGGACGTTTCAAACCCACCTCATTCCAGCAATCTACCATCAGCGCGTAGACCTGAGGGAGGCAGTTGTGTGGACAGGGAAGGAGGTAGCGTGATTGAACCAAATCTATAACCTCTGCGTCCGAATAGAGATGGTAGGGTCGCACTCCATCCGTCCAAATTTCCCATAGCAACACGCCAAATGCCCATACGTCAGACTCCACACTAAAGCGGCTGTGGAGTATCGCATCGATTGGCATCCAGCGGACGGGCAAAAGAAGGTTATTTGCAGCAGGAACACGGTAGTAATCCATAGCGTATGAATCACGTGCCAATCCGAGGTCAGTGATTTTGCACAGCAAGTGCTCCCCTACAGTGACGTTTCGCGCGGCAAGGTCGCGATGAATGAAGTGGTTCCTAGAGAGGTATTCCATTCCAGAGGCCACCTGGAAAGCAACATGGAAGCGGTCACCTTCATTGAGCTGCTGATTCCGCGGCCACGTATTAGAAGCGCTCGCAGTAGACGACCAGCCGCCATCGTCGGAAGAGGGTCGAGCAGCCAAAAGAACCTCGTGAAGATCGCCATAGAGTGGTGTCTCAAAGAGCATACACCATGGAGGCTGTTGCAAACTGACACCAAATATGCCCAAGAGGTTCGGGTGATTCAACTCTGCCATTATGTTTACCTCACGTCGGAAATCAGTTTGCATAGCAGCTGGTGCTCCTGGAGATAACGTTTTAATCACCAACGGCGTTGGCTTGCTATTCTCATAATCGCTAGACGCTTGCAACTCTCCCGCGTACACGGGTCCAAATACGCCTTGTCCAATCCTATCACCGAATCTACAATAAAGAACAGGCTGTATTATCTACTGTCGGTGTATGAGCAAAGGGGAGTGTTTTAAAAGGAAACCAACTTGATTTGAACAAGCGGATAGTTGACAGTCTTCAAAGAGCGATCGACGTTCTCAGGCGACCCAGAGCTACGATCGAGTTGATGAGAAATATCTGCCTGTCGGTTGAAGAGAGTGTTGTTAACTACGAGAAACTGTCTCTCACCCCCATCCATTTCGCAATCTGTTTGGGAAGCAAACACCTGCGTGAATGCCCGATAATTGGCCGGATCGATGGGAGAGTAGGTCAGTGGTGGTGGTGGTGGCGGTGGTGGGGGTGCAGGAGAGGTGGGCGGGGGAGCGAGTATGACACTTTTGGGTGTCTGGTATTGATGGTACTGTCGTTGTTGCTGCTGGTCCGGCGCCACTCTTCTCTCGAGGTTGGGTGACGTGGCCGTGGGAAAGGTGTTGACCACGAATGGAGCCGTCTCCGGACACGCACTGATCTCGGGGATGGGCTGCTTCATCTCGACTGCATTTTGAGCGTGGAGGTGGCGACCCTGTTGCTTCTTTCCAACCGTAGCCGCCTTGCCGCAGAAGGAGCCCATAGCCTGTGATCCTCCAGTGAAGACGCCATTCGAGTAGCCGCTGTGTGAGCGACGGCAGACGAAGCAGATGAGAATCATTATGAGCGCAAGGAGGATGAGCACTCCAAATGAAATAAAAAGGGGAAGAAGATCCGGTGACTGCGTGGTCTGGGCTGGACCCTTCTGCAGCTTTGAGTTGTCCATGTGCTTGGGTACCACCCCAGGTTTGGGATTACTGATCAAGTCTGCAAAATGATGAAGCAGTGGCGTCATCAAATCGCAGAGAGAGGAAGAGTCGAGGCGACTGATTGAAGGTACCTGTGAGATCAGGAACAGGTGGTCGAGAGCCCGTTCTAAGGCAAGTGTCTGGATGTTCGGGATCGAATTGCGGTAGGTTATTGCAGTCCATGAGAAGCCTCGGAGTAGAGGCTAAAAAGACAAAGAGGAGACAAAAAGAAAAACTGAAACAGATAAAACACAAACACGCACCCACCCCGCTCCCTTTGTGTAAATGAATCATCAGCCATCATGGATACACTGAACACCTTGGTGTGTGTGATGTGTGTTTGCATTATACAGCCATGAACCTGCTCTCCATTAAACAAAGACTAGCAACCTACATAGAGGACGTGGAGTGGGGGGTTCCCACATACCTGCACGATTATCTGCCCTAAAGCAACTTTTCGCAACTAGTTACTATTTGGCGCACACGTGTCCTGATGAAAGCATATGAATCAACAGACCACTTTGGCCGCGATTCATCGTTGAAAAATAAATGGCTTTCCCGTACATGTACACATACTGGAACATCTAAAACGGCTTTTTGAGTACAATTTGCTTCACACTATAGATGAGCGAACACGTTGAAGTCAGCACCCAACACAGGATTGCAAAGGATGAATTATATGTTCGCTGATATTATGAGCGAAACATATGTCAATTACTAAACGCATATTGATTAATAAAAAAACATGTTAATTATTACTTATTATAGTCACACAGAAAAATCCTGCTATGCTCCATGTATTTGCCATTTTTCACAAAATAGTCAAATAGTGGATCTCGGGGTGTGCCAGCGTTTAACCACTTCCCCTTCTATGGTGCAGCGAATAAGAATAAGGGACTAAAAATTGACATGCCTTGACGAACTAGAGGGCTTTCTGGTACCCGCAATCTCTCTATTTCATATTTGTGGTACGAACTTTTATTTTGTCAGGTAAAAACATTGCATTATTAAGGATGCTCATCACAAAATTAACCTTAGAATACTTCTGCAATGCAAGTGTGGACCGGCCCCGCAATTTTGAAAAGTATTCTAAACTCTCCTCCTATTTCTATAAAACGTATAGCATTTCCCACATAACTACCAAAATCTTTTGTTATTTTTTAAGGATTTGGGGTTCATGCGTCCGTCGCAACCTGGGCAGATAATCTTTATCTCCAATCAACACCACATTTTCGATTGTCATATTTTATTCGGATTCGCCAACGAGTACCTTAGACTAGGATGGTTCTTGACCATAATCTAGCGCTGTTTTGGGTTCACTTTATCAAAAAAAGAGACATCAAACCACTTTTCAGAGATTGTTTACGGTAATATCCACTTCAATCCACTTGCAAAGTTGTCTTTTATACGACCACAGCTTGCCTTTCACACTATTATTACTGGAACATACTCTTCACGTAACACGAGTTTCTTCTAGTCCTTTTGGGCAAAGTTTACCAGCATGTATTGCCTAACAGAAGATGTGATTAGATGAATCTTTTTACCGTATAAATTAATCTAATGTTCGTTATAATATCGGGAGCGGTCAAGGCAGAGACGCAAGGTGGGATCTACGCAGCGCACGGATTGAAATCGGACTCCTATGCTCTGTGCAGCACTGTCCACTGTCAAAGCAAATGGCTTTACCATCCAACAAATATAGCAGTTAAGAGGTATAAGACCCGAATAAATCATCCGAGAGAGTACTACTTCTATTTGTGAAATTGTCAGAGCGAGAGAAACTAGAAAATTTCGACCATTTTCTAAGCATACAGCACCAGAGACTTAGGTAAAGGCGTAGTACGGCACCATTTGGGGGATGCTATCACGTCACAACTAATTGCAAACCTGGTCCTGAAAGAGGGCAGTATTACCTTGGGACTGAGAGTCTTGGAGAAGACGGTCGTAGATCTCACTGCATTCGCCCTTGGTAATGAGGTGGCATTCGTCACGGCAGAGACGCCGCCTGGCGGCCACCTCAGAATCCACTGCCTTCTTACTCACTTCGACGGGTGGCGGACAGATGGGAAAGTGGTAGTAGCATGTCGCCTCCATTATCCGACCCATACAGTCCTTGTCATCCGAATGCCACTTGCGCAACGTTGCCGAGGCAATCACTATTCACACAAGTAAAGGCATCAAAACCCAGGGTAACTTTCTCTATACCAATCGTAAATGCTATTCAGTATGATTCCACCTTTTTAGTTTTATTCTTAAAATATATCGCCTATTCTACTAGAAAGCATATCGCACCCTTTAAAAATCAGAACAAAGTTGAGAGAGAGGGGAGTCAACGTTAATTAGTCATTAATTTTATCGACCTTGGGGAGTAACGAACCACTTTTCCCCTAGAAAATTAACCACCATGTAAGAAACTAACTGCGTCTATGTACTCAAACATTTTCCGCAATTTGAAAACTTTATACAAAACTAGTATTATTTGAGGCAATTTTGTTTGTATGTGTTGGATTGAGATCAGTAGCAGGGAAAAGGGCCTACGGCATATGGACAGCCAAAGGAGTGCTGTTTTGGTCACAAAAATGAAATGGAAACGGGTGAGAAAAAAACCTCCGACCAAACCGCCGAATAAAAAGTTGAAATAAATTTTAACCACAGATTGATTCAATGCACAAAAGGTAATAATTAATTTGTCATAATTCACATATGGCTGCTTTCATTAATCGCCTGAGCCTTAGTGCTGTTACAAGTATCCGAAAAACTGCTACTACACTTACCTTGTATTAGGCTTTTATAAAAAAGGCGTAAGCTATTTATTCACCAAGGAAATTAGAATGAAATAAAGTGCAATTTTGCAGTCATTGGATGTTTTGTTTAATTGTATGTTCGACTTATTGGGCTCCTCAATCCTCGGCGACAGTATTTTTCGCGGCGGCATGTCTCTCCAATCATGCTAATAGACTCGAGGTGCTGCATCCCAAATGCCATTACTGAATGGTTAAGATAACACTTGGAAGGCCGGAATTCTGATCCACGCTACTTAAACCTAGCTAAGTAGCGTATAGTTCGCATGTACCTGCAATGGCAATGGAGTAGATTAATTGGGAAAAAGGAGAATTTTATTTGACCAACCAGCGTTTGACACAAACCTATGCGCATTAAATAAAAGAAGTTGGAGAAAGGACGAGGAAGACATGACTTTTTCCCCTTTCAGGGGAACAAATCCATCTCCCACCGCTTCAGAGTTGCGAAATCAAAACCCAGGGACACACTGGACCGTGACTCACACTGCCTCTCCTCTTCCCCTCCGCTCCTCCTCCTGCCACCACTTTCAACAGTAGTTCCAGCAGTTGTTCTCATTCTAACTGACTTGCAGGAGAGAGGTAGAGAGAAAGCAACCTGACCACCCGATGGAGAGACATGCCCAGAGAAGCGAAGGTAAATGGACTGTGTCTTCCATAAATAAAATCGGCCATTCGACTCCTACTGGATTAAGGAGATTATTTATGTAGCTACTTTGTTGTCGAGTTCAATGAATAGTTAAGGAATGTATCAAACTAAAAGCCAAAACTATGTAGGAAATACATTAACCAGAAACGATGGCAACTACCAACCGGACAGACTACGATGAAAAAAAATACACCGGAGATTGTGTAGAATCTTTGAGGACCAAGTCAACGTGGGCAATGAGTAATTGGGGAATGTTTAGCATTTTCAAATAGGCCTGCAAAGGTCCCCCCTGTCTGTCCGACCAAAGGTGACAATGAGTCAGTCAGTTCCATTGAAATTAGGGCCGTTAAGTGATGGGAGTGGTGGCTGGAAAAGAAAGTAACACCAACGCTTTCATCGTCACATTGATTCACCCGCTTCTGTCGGATATTAATCACAACCCTGCCACCAGCAGAGTTCTCGTACAACATCAGCACCACGAGGAACACCAGGTGACAAGGTTGGGGAGAGAGGATGGGACAGCCCCAGCAACCCAGTCCACAGTTTGCATAAAGCACAGGTCTGTCAAAAGCAACTCAACTGGCATATCAGATTTCTTGTTGCCGGTGTGAAATACCAGATTTTTTGCCACTCTCATATGGGTGAAATATTCATCAGTCGGATTCTTAGATGCTTGAAGTTGATTTCTTCCATAAACTCACGGATAAGCAAGCTAGCTTTTTAAATTTAGAGAGCTAAGTTTTGCCGATACGTCAACATTTACAAGGTGAAATGAAATGAAAATATTCAAATTATTTAACTACATTTTTCCAACTGGTCACACACATGCAAGAGCCACTACCTTCCACATTTACAAGATTTGCGACTTCATTTTGTAGTAATGTAAGCGGAATGATGGTTCGAATGAATGAAAATTGCAAATATATAGTGCCTGTATTACCAAACTAGGAGCTAATGGATGTTGGCAGCATAGGTACTGAAACTAGAGGCTAGTGCTAGCTATCCATAGTAATAAGGAAATAGTTTTGTAATCCCTTATAATATACTGCTGAAGGAACTAGTAGCCTGAGGAGAACTTGGTGATAACTCTTCCCATGGGCTACCATAAAAGGTAGAAGTAGTTACGATAATACAATTTCATAAATGGGCTAAATATGTCACACTCCATATAATTACTCGTTGAAGCGTCGCTTTGCCGCTTGCCTTCCCTTGAATTGATTCACCAAAAAAAACGGCAAATTTGAAAGACCAAATTATTTCTTTCCTAGAGCGCATAGGGTTAAAATCGTGCCGCCAAAAATAACAACATTGGAAAAAGGATTCTTACACTTTGAAATTTGTTGTTCGACCAACGTTTGATGAAGCAGATTCGACACATAGACGCGGTGGCCATTTAGGTAGCGGACGCAGACGTTACTCTGGAAGATTTGACAAAACCCACTCCTCGATTCCGTGTCGCTAAATAAAAATAAAAAATGGTAAACCCAACCTCACCAACCAATATCCCACCACAGAGGCCAATGCTTTGCGATTTTCCGTCACTAGAGCCTCTTGCAAAAAAATCTCTCCAGATGGTGATAAAATCAGGATATTTTTGTGCGTGCTCACCCGCGCGCACAACATACGATTTTGTAATGTGAGGCGGCAACACTTAAAATGGGCTCTTTAAAACCCAGTGACATCAGTCGTTTCGACAATCCCAGCAACTTCGCCTTCTCTTCGAAATTCGAGAAAAAAACGGCTGTGTCTGGAGCTGACGCATGGGCAACCGTAAGCTGGTCGAGTTTTTTAAGCCTTTAAGGCGCAGGTCGGTACCTCAATTACTCACAACATAGACAATTTGTTGAAAGCGGAATCAATTATTTTGATTTTGCTGCCGTTTTTTTGCAAATGAAAAGGGAAAATTGACTGGATTTATATTGCGTAAAGTTAACAGGTAGGAAAATATGACGAGCCTGGAAGTCAAAATCCACCAAAGCATCAGATTTTCCAAATGGCATTAGATAGCTCCTGGAAGACGATGTATTTATTCTTCCTTACAGCATGATGCAGAAGTTGGAGCATTTGCATCACGAGACTGTTCGCGTTATTTTGGCACAATCGAAAGACTCATGTGGGATTTCGGGAATGCGCTCCTAAACTAATACAAAAATCGCAATGAAAGAAACGGATCGGCCTGATTCTCACGCCAGCGCTATATAACGTGGCAATGAGCTGCCCTCTCAAAAAGGCATGTTTGGCGAATGACAAGCAATGCACAGCTTGTAGATAGCTAGTAAACCCGGTGATTAATGGTTGATTCAGATTGGGGGCAGAAAACTTCAAAGGCTTTAAGTTCATTTCTGTTACCGTGTAATTCCTTTTTTCTGTTTCAGGCCCAAACCCTACAGCTTCGTTTATCGCATATGTAAGAGGGAAATGTAACAAAAGGAAATTTCAGGAATAAAAGTGTAAGACTCACGAGTGTGTGTTCTTGACCGACCATCCAGATTGAGGGGATGAGAGAGGAACTAAAAGGAGAAAGTTGGAGATTAATGTTTAAAGAATGCCCATGAGGTAGATGTCCCCTCACAATTAATCACCACGATGAGAGAGTGCATGTGGTGAGTCACTTGCAACATAAAGATCGGGTTTTTTAGATAATAACATCTCAGATTGCAGCTTTGTTCCGCTGTTGTGCAGTCTGATGAGGATTTAATGGGCAAGGAGGAAAGTCACTCACTCTGTCTTTGCTGGGGTAAGAACCAGGCTGTCGTGGAGCGCTTTCCTCCAGCATTTTCAGCGGCGCAGGTGTATGCCCCAAAGTCCTCTGGGGTGGGATTCTTTATGCGCAGCCTGAAAATAAAATAAGACACCAAATCACTTGAGGACATGCTTGTTTTAGAGAGTGTGAATACCTGCCTTATTCACACATCCACACTAGTCGTGCCTAAATAGAGAGTGGAAATTTAATATTCTCACACAAAAGTAGTTTAAGAGTTAAACAATCAGGAAGGAATATAAGTGGGAGGCAAGAGAATACTGAGTGGATGGGATCTCACGATGGTATGGTACCCACGAAATGATTTGCCAACTGTTTCGCAAACAACATTTAATTTCCGTCTGGAGGATGCTTTAATAAATGGGAATACAATCGAAAGAATACAAACGATAATGTTCCGATATTCCTAATATAGCAACTAAAAAAGTTGGTATGCAGCAGGATTTCTTTGTCCAAAGGATGAAAAAAATACATAATTTAGGCTTTATCACTTTTAATGTCTAGTTCGTGATAAGATTATTGGCGAAATTTAGTCTTCTCCATTCAAATAAGATAGTTTCTTTGTAGAGAGGCTGTGCTGCATAAGAAACACACCATTGGGACTAGAGAGAGAGAGGTTTCTCGTCTTTCATAATGCTTCTAAGGTTGGTAACAGGATGTCATAAAAACTCCGATTAAAACAACTTCTCACGCACTCTAACAATACTTCAACGCATTAAGTGTGCAGATGCGTTCAGAGAGCCTCATGAGCCGTTTTGCTTTCTCAAGGGAAGTAGCTAAAGCATGTGTCAGGAAATAACGGCTGAGGTTCGGATCCCTTTAAAGCGACGAAGAGGCTTTATTGCATCACCAATCATTTTGTACTGTGCCCTGCTCCCCCTGTACGAAATACACTAAAGGTAAAGAGTGCCCCCAGAGGCTGCAAGGCATGGCCCTCTGCTCCAATTAATCCCTCAACCCCCCACTTGCGCGCAAGCTGCACTGACTAAGTGCCCAGCACAAAAAAAGTAGTTGAAGAGGACACACTCACACACCGGGATCTCGAGGGCGAAAAGTCTGTCTTCTTTGCGGTGCCTAATAGGTCGTAAAAATCAACAGGGGAGCAATTTAGCCTACTATTTAAGCAGGAGAGGTGAGTCGTCTTGCCGCTCAATGCTGCTACAAGGAGGAGTTAGGTCCATGACAACCCCAAGCAACATTATCCACATCCTAACCTAGGATAATGACTCAAAATATATGCGTGAGGCATTGTAAAGCCTTTATCCATCATGATGCTACCAGACTTGATTCGCGTGCAGGTGTGAAAAGCACCCAAGGATGTACTCCAGGCTCTGGTCGTGAATGTATTTATTTTCAGTAGGAAGTGCTTAATCTACTTTCTCAAAATAACTTTATTACCATTCCACAGAACAGTTCATGTTCACCAGAACAAAGAGGAAAGTGAGGTAAAGGTAGTTCAGTGCACAAGAAGGACTTCCAATGTTTTAATATGGACTCCTCTCACTTCTGTTATGAAACGTACGTCTAGGTGAATGTTTATTTAAATAACAGCTTTGATGGCTACCGAACTTAAAAATAAGGTGAGTCTCAAATTGAGTGAGTGATGTAATTAGTAGCGAAAATGGCTATTCCTTTCTTGAGAAACATCTGAAAAGAAAACAGGAATGGCATTGTTTTCACTACCCCCGTTCTGCCGCCTCGATTATGCGTATGAATGGAGATGGTCTCTGGGGTGAAAATGCAACTTATTACACCAATCCATGCGAATCAAACGAAAGGAAATAACTTAGTGTTATTTTTAAATATCTCTTACTAACCTGAGGTCGCGCTGAGGGGATGAGAGGATGGCAACAATTAGGGTGAATTTGATGAGGACATTTCTGAAAACGCTGTCCTCAATGAATTATATTTCATTAAGGTCGTACATATGCTGCCACATTGTGGACCATTGACCTAGCAACGGCACGTAGCGTGAGTCAGTCGACGCGCGGTCAACGTACGCCAGCACCTCTATCAAAAAACACCCAGACTCTAATCAAAAGCTATTTTGCATGAAACATTAACACTAAGGTGTAATGGATGGGAAACGTAAGCATTCAATATCAAGGAGAATTTGCTACTTGAAATATTTGTATGATTCTGCCACCCAACGGTTGCAAAGCAGGATGTAAAGCAGACCGTTTAGTAGCACATGGACACGTAAGACCTCCCACTAAAAATTTTCTTTTGCAAAAGCTGCATCTGAATGACTACGTGGGCGCTGCGACACAAGACGTATTTCACGTGTGAGTGCTGCGAACGCAAATTTGCCGTGTGACACACACACTCATTCGCATGTGAAAACAGTGGCCCACTCGAAACAGTCCGCTTTTCGAGGCTAATCTTATTCGCAAAAAACCTGTATCTGTCGTGCTTGAAGCGTATAAATACAAAGATGACAGGAGTGTCACCGTTTTGCATCTCGTGTGAGAAATTTCAAATATTAAAAACGATTCCAACTACCAAACCGTTCCCTGAAAGGCACAAAATAGATAGTGATGAGTGATGTATCACAATTGCCATGCCCTTGATATCAACAGTTCAGAAGTGAAATAGGCCGCGATGAGGGATGGGATGATCGCGTGTGATGAAGCGCAGCCAATAAATTCACACCTCAACTTGATTTATTCAGCGCTAACAACACCAGCCTGCGGTCAATCTGGCTGGACGCGTCCTCCGTTCCTCGAAGTTTGCACAAAACGGCCAGCATGAAATATATTCGGGATGCATGTTAATGCGAGGAGGGATGAGCGAGCTAGGGAGCGGAGGTTTATAGCAGTAGGATGAAAAGACGGTAATATGGACGGATAGTCACTCACACGCTGCCCCAGAGTTTCGGTTTGATGCGGTACTTTCCGCGTGCATCATCTGGCTTGATACGCTTGTCACCGCGATACCAAGTGATGTTGGGAATCGGCTGACCAACTATGTCACAAAGAAAGCGTACGGATTCATCCTGAGGGTTGTAGGTTATGTTGTGCATTTCTTCCTTCAGGTGGATGGATCCTGTGGGAAAAGGGGTAGACAAAGTAGGACTAGTTATACCGATGGGTTGCAAAAATGAAGGCCATTCTAAATGGGCGGTGTGGTGCGAATGAGAAGGGAAGATCAAAATTGTAGATTGCGTTTCTTCTTCCACATTGCTCCGTGCGTGCGAGGTAGTGAGTCATGCCAAGTGTACATCGGCGATAGCTACAGGTTCATTATGCGAACTAAATTTCGAATTGTTATTTGAATGAAGATGCAGCCTAGTTTTGTTTAGTGTTGAACAAACATATCATGGACTTGACCATATTTCAGACATTTCAAGTTTCTCTCTAAATTTTCCCGATGCCCTCTCTATTCATCATCTAACTCAATGGCTTACGAATGGCAATGCTCGGAGGAAAAATCGTAATACTTCAAGTCCCTAGAGGAGCATTGACGTTACATTTCATTGCACAAGAGCCTATTGGCAGCATGGAATGCCGCTTGCAGTAAATTTCCCCTAAATAATTCGTCCAACAACAGTGAATTAAAGCGTCTCGTTAGCTCAATGGGTTGATGAGCGTCCGTAAAATTCGAGGAGGGCTTCTATTCCCAGTCTGCGAGAGAAGCCCCAAAAGCACCAACGAGCACGGACAACTCCAATGCCAGATCCGGTTCAAAACAAACGACATCATCTGAAATTTTACTGTCATTGAATTTCACCTAAATACAGACCATAGTTAACCTTGGAGATTTTTCACGCAGTCAAAGCAAAAAGAATTTTGCTTCAATTGCTTAGATCAATTTAAAATTCAACTTTTTCTTAGAGATTTGTCCTGACATTTGCAAAAATAAGTACGCTATTCCGCCTCGAATAAGCTGAAATGAGAAGTTTCATATTTACTATTTATCACGACAAAAACGCAGCAGATTATACTATTTTTGACTCCATACTGAAACCTCCTTAACCATTGAACCCAAGGAAAATGTGGGATAAGCACGCGAAAATCAGTGATGAGACTTGGTATATTTGCACAAGGCAAAAAAAATGAGTGAAATGCTTCGAGAAGAAAGTGTGGCTGGTTGTACCATTAATGCTAGCAACCCATATGCCCACTTCGATGGATGGAACTCATTTAAACGGAGCAGTCACCTTCCTAAAATCGGTAGATTACAAGGCACTGAAGACATGCATAAGAGACATCATTTTGTGCTGCAGGGCTCTGACAGAAATTAGACCAGTGAAAACGCACGCGTAAAAAGAGCAGTCCGCGAGCCACGGACGTATTATTGAAATTTCACTTGAGAGTCACTTGAGATGGAAAGCTGATGCTGGGGTGGCCTACGTTTACGGAACCCGTTCCAAGGCGGGACCTCCGAAAAGTCCACCAGCAAACTGTGGAGTACAATTGTATAATGTGTCACAGGAATACCAAATTTACAGAGCTTCAACCTCTGCTAACAACATATGTAACTGCTGCTGATTTGAATCCAGCGATAATAGTAGACCAAATTCGGAAATCAGTGTCAAAACAATAGAAAAGCGGTGAATAGGGTTGTGTAAACAACAACAATTCAGAAGATACACATCAAACGACTGCGGGAAGGATAGTAATACAAAAGCTTTGATTAGGTTAATCTACAGAAGACCATGAGACTTGGTCTTAGAATGCTCTCGGATGTGTTTCTGTATGCAATCAACGCTAGAATCACAGCATCACATGCTTAGTCGAAAATTAAATCCTCCCTTTGTCAAGTAACTTGATAACATCCGCGGTCAATGATTCAGGCTACTCTCATCTACAGGGCGTTCTGCTTACGACGATTTTGTATTGCGGATGCAAATCACCAGACCGCGGTTGATAAAACCGTGTAGTGTGTCAATCCCACATGATGAATTCTAGTAAGAATACGAGTCTGCGGTGCGATTTGCCACAGTGATACCGCAACACGACAGCATTAGAGGTGAACGATTCCAAGTTCACGACCAGCCGTTACGACTGACTCAGAGATGTCACAATAAGTAGGCAAACTGCAAATATATGGCGCTCGATCAGGGGACAGTGCACCTGGTTGTGAGTCCGGATAACGTGTCGGCGTGACTTTCTCATTCCCTTTGGCCAAAACTGGGCTAGACTGCAGTGCCGGTGGCTTGATGAGTTATGGGTCGGGTTACCGGAATGTATCGACTTCCCGCCGAGGCACCTCACCTACTACCAGCACTACTTTGTGGCGCCACATTGGCAGTGCTCTAAGCGTGAGCCAAACAGTGATTGTCCATTTACTAGTATAACTGTACTGCTATGTTGCTTGCTGAGACTAAGCAAAGCACAAGCAGATTTGGAATTTCGAAAAATTCAGATTGGCCATGGGATTATAAACCCGTCCTCTTTCCAAGCGTGTCGTGTGAGGAATTCGTACAAGTGAGGCTTTATTTAAATTTTCACAAGCAAAATAAAACGCGATATACGTAGGAGGGAATTGGTTGCGTAAATAATTCAGCCCAGCTTGAGTCATAACCCAGTGCCTCGGCGAGGCAACACACTGCGCAATTTAATTCATTCCACTTTTCTGGAGAATTTAAATGACTACAAGGTCCGCAGTGAACAACGAGACGAGGAGGTGGTGGTGAAGGTGGAAGCCGCGTTTACTGTGCTCCTCAAGGGGGCAAAGTAAATTAAGCGGCCACGAAAGCGCTCACACATCGCCAGTGTAAGTCACACAGGTGGAGGAGCTAAAGGCGTGTCGATTTCCACTTTCCGAGGGGCCGGAATAACAGTCCGGTGAAATTGGCAAATTTGATATGTGTGTCCTGTTAGAAAAATTCCTTCTTTAACCCATGTCATTTATCAATAGCGAGTAGCACAGACTAGGGACAACCAAACAGCCCAAAAACCGGTCATTCCAACGCCGTTAACAAAGTGCTGTTGTGATGTAACTCGGTTCAGCGGTGCAAAATACGACAGTAGATTATGCACGCAGCAAATGACTATTTATTATGCCATTTGGGCAATGTAAACAAACATTTGCTCTTTGTGCTTAGCGGTTGTGCAAGCCCGAGAGGTCAGTAAAAATGGTAGGTGGGTGGGTGGGCTCGAAAGCTAACCACTACCATTGCGGCCAAAAATTATTTGACCAATGAATGCTTCAGTAGGGTTTAGACGTGAAGAAAATACAGGACTTGAGTGTCAAGAAAACGGGCGATAGGATGGATGAATGGGATTATATCAGTTAAAAGCAGCAGGCTTACCACCAGTGTGAGGTGATTCTAACTTTGGTACGTAAGGCGCACTAAAAATAAAGAGTGAACCTTTATTAACTCTTAAAAACTGAACGTCAGTTGTTGTGATAGAGAGGAATCTCATAATTAAAATACTTGTATTATTAAATAATGGTAAGTTTCTAATGTATACCCTATAGGACTCTAGGCAAAATTTACGAGGCTGAATTGCCAACCTTTATATTATTATGACCCACCCCTTCTGGTTTTAAAGGGAGGAAAGTAAATTATACCACCGAATCGATTCAAAACCAACAAACTGAAGTTTCAATGCATGTGTACTCGAGGTGTGACTACTCCTGTTAGCCTTTAGTTGAAAAGGTTACATCGGTGATTACTCCATCTCAAGAAAAAAAATATTGCAGTTTTTAAGAGGAGTAGGGAGAGAGGATTCTGAACATACTTGTCTGGGAGGAAATTACTTGGCAGGAAGTTGTGTCCGTTCTCACCAACGCCTTCCACACTCACACTCCCTAAACCCACGTCGACGTCTTCGTCGTCATCGTCGTCGTCGTTGTTGTCGATGATCTGCATAGCGGCGTCCTCACGCACGAAGCTAGGCAGTTGACCCTTTTCTTCCGTCAATACCGCTGCCGCCACCACCGCCTCCGAGCTCGCTGCGGTCTTCTTCGACTTCAGCTCGTTCGTTGCCTGTGCTGACCGCGCATCACTGGCGTAGGATGTCAGATTGACCGCCAACAGGAGAATTAGGCAGATTTGAGCGAACAGTGTCATCTGTGTCTCAAAGTTCTACAAGGTAGGAAAACGTACGGCATTAATGTATGTACGAACTTGTCACTACACCAGGAGACTAGTTAGGAATCTTCCTTAAATTAAACGGAAGAATTAGATCGCACTATTATGCCAAAGGAACCAAAACCCTGACCCAATATAAATGAAGTTAGCGTTTCGGACCTTCAGCGAAAGACTAGAATTCTGATAAATATTTTACTGCAACGGACTTTGTGTTTTGAGGATATAAGCTTAACTAATAAGATAAAATAAAGTAGGGGTTTAATGCTTTTTCTTCGTTAAACGTGGATAAGGGAATTCAAGTTAGTTATGACAAACGCTTTAGGCAGTATTTTCGCGGAAGTAATTGTAGATTAAAGAGTAGTAGTATAAACTTTAACCTCTGGTCACTTTTATAAGGTATCTGGTTTGTTTTAAAACGAGAAAAGAAAGTGCTTTTTTCTAGAAGTTGCTCGAACAATGGAATAGCTTATGGTGGATGACTCCATCTGGCGTGACAAGGCAAATGATTCAAAATGGTGATTTTTGTCCTGCTAGGAATGAAAACACCAAAGACAAAAAACAAGGCGGCTTGAGCATATGGAAATTATCAATGCATTTGGACTCTGGTAGCAATTCCATTCAGTCAGGAATTTCGGGCTAGGGGGAGAAATTTATGGTGATTATTATTTAAAAGGAATCTCAACCTGTCTCATGTTGACAACGCAGACAGCCAATGGGAGCAATTGTCTCACGGCCACCGGTTTTGTCTCACCAAACAAGTCATCCCCATCTTTGTATTTCTTCCCCCGTTCCCTCTAATTCTGCCTTCCAGACTCGTCTCCTATGGCATTCAATTGCGTGATCTGTTAACAGTAGTAAATTCTCACGAACAAGAGAAAAACGATCGTACACCTTTGAAGAAGATTTTTTAGAAATCTCTCCTTTTGCACAACACTTGTTCGGATAGAGTGAAAAGGCAATACGTAAGGTCAGCATCAAAAGTACCAGAAGAAGTTGCCACACCTATCACCTAGAGTTCATCTCTGTTGACTTATCGCCCGGTCATCACAGTTAAGTGGAGAAAACAACCTTTCTCTAGATGGAACTCTGCACCCAGACGATTGATGCCCCTTGAAAGATGAAAGCGGGATTTTTAGCGAAAAATTAAGTGAGAACAAAGAGTGGACATTGACACTGTGGCTGATTTTTCAGTGAAAGTGAGGGAAAAAAGAAGTAGTGGCAAATGTATGCTCAGATCCCTTAACTGCATAAATTTTCACCTCCTCCCCCTCTTGAATGCAAACGCGCACACAAACACAAACATGATGAGAAATTTTTCGAAGAGCCAGTAGAGCACCAAGTGGGGAGCAATCCATCGCTGGGAGCCCATGTTGGGGACTTCTCGCTAAATGCGGTGCGAAAGCAGGCCACAGGATGTGGAAGAGGTCAGAATCTGGAGCGCAAGCCCGATGATCCCGAGAACACCTAGCACAACAGCGTGGGACGGGCATGTGTGCAAGAAAAATAGAGGAAAAAAAACACCACCAAGAAAAACTTAGTCCTAAAAAAGGCTTGCCTACTTGAGGTACCACGACTCCATTTTTTAGAATTTTAATTATTCACTTATTCCGATAGGTCGGTAGCGAATCAGTCTATCACGCGATATGATAGCATCAAACTAGGCCCATCTCGACCCCTCCCGAATGGTATAAGTGATGGATATGATGAACTAAAAAACCCTCGAGATAGCATACTTAGCCACTGTCGAGGTGAAAATAGGCTCACTTACAACGACCTTTAAGTGAATGAAATAGGAAAACTCGGCCTCCGTGAGAAATTAAAGCATACGTCTACCTTTTCTTCTTTCCCTCTTCCTTACCTTTTCTTCCACTATTTGAGAATTGGCTGTAGCTCTTTTGTGGGCGCGTGACCACATTTCCTGTGGTTACCGCCTGACCAACCTGCCGACTATTGTAGACATGCCTCCCACACCAGTAACAGGTGAGATTCCACAAACAAAATCCGCACTTCTGTTAAATCACCGACATTGTCTACTGGTACATACCGTAAATTTATAGAACAGGGAATATGCGCCCATTTCGTTTAGGGGAAATGCATTGGGCAACGTATCGAGTCGGCAACAGCTCTACACTTGGGCGGTCAAGGAACCAATTTGTCACAAAGTATGCTACCATGTTAATCTCACATAAGATGAACCGCGCATTCAGCATAAACAAAGTAGATACATTAACATTTCAAAATTTCTTTCCCAACGAAATCCCCTACTGTAAGTAATTTGTTTAACTTTAGTGGACCGCTGTCTGGAGGCAAATGACTCAGGTGAATTTAAAAAAGCTAAACGCATGGAACGCATCATGAATAAGGATCAAATTTGTCCACACATCGACGTCTAAAGGAAGCTAAATTCCAAAACGTTTCAACTATCCAAGACTTACATTTGATCTCCCTATATAAATAAAATAGAATAATAGGAACACTAAAGTGGGTAAGGACAGTTGTCACCAGAAGCACCGACTTTCTAGCATACCTTTTAAAATATGTCTCAAGTATCTTAGTGGCAGCAGTCGCAGTTACTATAGTACTTCAAAAGCATTATACCTGCATTGGATCACAAACTACCACCATCAGGTCTCTACTCCTATTTCCAGACCTTTCTCTGCTTTAAGTAAAATAATAAAAATAACCACTTCTAAATTGGACTTACTTAATTTAAGAACGATTAAATCTTTTTCACACTGGAAAGGTACCTAAGTTTCGTTATTACTTTAATGGAGAAGACAATTTGAGACGCGTAAAAACAGTGGACTCCCGTACCGTAATAAATCAGCGGCCGGCTGAACAAGGGGAGCAATTAAAGTTAAGACTGGAAATCGTCGATCTCTTGAACGTCCACTCACCCGCACCCACCTATCTTTGAGCCACACGCAAGCCTTGCCAGCCATGCTGACTTGTGGGTGGTGCTGGCACCGATTGAGCTCACGGGATGTAAATCACCGAGATGGGAAGAGAGTGAGTTGCGGTTATGGGGCAACCACCTCCTTCTCCCTTCCCTAGACATCCGATCGCAGTACTCTCAGTTTTTTTGCAAAAAACAGTCAAATTGCAAACCTCCTGTGTTGACCATTATTAATTTGTTGAGATGAAGGCAAGTTCGTCACTCCGCAATCCATAGTGTGTTTTCCAGCTACCCTAAATTATTGAGTAATGTAATATCGAGCATTCAAACCGTTTGATTTGGGAAGATGGAGATCCCCCCTACCTATTATGCACAAGCAGATTTTACGATTTTGGAGTAGACGTGCAGAACGTGTTAGAGATTTCAACGGTGGGGTAAGGAATAAGTTCACATTCATAAAAGGGCTAAATGACTTTGACGTCAAGAGTTATTGGTGAAAAAAAGAACAAATAGAAGTAAAACCAAGAATAGAAGAAGAGAAACACTTTACTTTGGGTAGCCTCAAGTTGCGATACTGCTCTTTCAAATCAAGTTAAAATGTACGAGAGAAGGGAGGAAATTAGTAGTTAGATATCAGAAGTGGCTACTAGAAGCGCCAAAGTCAGGGCAGGGAGAAAACAAGACAGCTGCCATGACAAAAACTAAGTTTCGATTTTCTCAGTAAAGATTAAGTATTGAAAATGAAGTTAGAGAAAGCAATGTCATATCTGGGAGCTAAAGGAAGAGGCAATCTCAGCCTATGCATCGGATGTGAATGGTTGCAGTTAAATGGACTTTCTGCATTGTTTATATTCTCAAGGAATACCACCTCCATGCTGCCGTAGATGGCCGACTATCGCTGATTGCACATGTGAAAGGAGTATTCTCGCCCTCGCTACACAGCTCAACTAAGTGACGGTCAGTGGGATAGAAGTCACACCAACCATTTGCATGCGATGCCAATTGTCAGAGTCCATGGGGTGGGTTTCTGGAGTTGCGACCACCCAAAGGGCAAGCAAGGAAGATGAGAACACAACAAGCGACTAGAATACTGTTTGAATGAATGCCAGGCTGAGTCGTCATGGCAACGGTCTTTGTTTCTCTATGTCAAGTCGTTTTTTGGGTCCTTATTCATTGCAATGGCAGACGCTCCCTTACACTGAATGGCATTAAGGAGCGAAATAGTCTCCAGGTAAGTAGCACGAAAGCATCCCCTTAACATTCGAAAAACAACCTGAAAAGACTAGTTGAGGCGATGGCTTGACCAGAAAACATTTTCCAATGAAAGCGCAAGGAGAAAGGAGAGAAGAAAAAAGGCTTCATGGAGGAGCTAACGTTTCTCTCCGCATAGTCGCTCAAATAGACCCGACGGCGATATTTCCTGAACGCAGTTTTTACACACGCGTATGCAGATGCACGAACCCCGTAGGAACCACTGCTTTGGTGAGTTTTGTGGTGCACTCGCGATTGACTCCCAAAAAGTCTTCATTTTGACCACTAGGGCTAACTCTGTGAATAAGAGGCGTTTCAAAATATGGACAGTCGAGGCTGATTGGAGCAGGTCCGACTGTGTAGAGGTAGCTGCATTTCAGAATGTATAATAAGGCCTTAAGCGCACAAAAACTGCTTCGCACCTGGTTTTGCTTCAACGGAAATGAACTCCACTATTGAGTGAGTGCCTTTGAAATGATATTTAATGCCATTTAAGCAGTGATTGTGCCTAGTTTTAATGCACAATCACATCACTTTTGGTGTTTTTATAAAAAGGGCAAAATCATGAACAAACACACATAAATAGTACGCTATTTCGAAGACTGGCATAAAAGTGTGTGGGCTGATGTTGGAGATCAAATACTTGCTTTCCTTGGAATTGGAAAAAAGCCACTCGTTACTTTGATTCCCTAAGCAGTAGGTGTTACTAAATAAAGTATATTAGGAGTTGATAGAGCGGGTTATTTGGTGGGAAAGAATGAGCGGGAATAATAAGAGCACAGTGCATAAAATAAGGCCTGAAAATGTCTACCATCTGTTTATAGAATATTTTCTGGACATGAGTAAATGATGTTGAGCCTTCCGCTCCGCACCCGACATTAGCGGCCACGCGTTTTGAATTTTGAAGAATAAGATTGCATCTAGCAGAGGGCTTTCTAGTTTTCATAAATTGTCACTTCACACCAAAACGTTTTAGAACAACATTTAAATACAATTTTCAGACTGGATCAAAAAGAACTTCTAAACAAGCACAAACATAAAGTGCAGCTACTCCCGACAACAACGCCAAGAGGGAGAAAGGAAGCGATGATAAATGTTGATGTGAGTGGCTGTCAGCTCCAAAACAGCATTGTTTAAGCATCATATTGGCAAGAAGACAGACCAACATGAAAGGAAAAGGGAAGGACAGACGTGTACATGCGTTGGTTCCCCTTCACGTAGTCTGCCATCAGACGCACACCCAGACTCCACCTTGCTGATCCTATCCGCAGCTTGGTGTGACCACACACGCATACCAGTGAACTTGAACAGTAGAATGAGATAAAAATCCCGCAGGCAACTTTGAGCCAAACTTTTAAATGTTGGCAATATAAAATGCGGTCAAGATTGAAATAAAATCACCCCTCTTAAAGTCAACGTTCGCAAGTGTGTCTAAAGGGAGTTTCTAGCTTGAATGTAAACAAATGAAAACAATTTAACTCGTCACCATTGTAAAATATAAGCTCTTGGAGTGAAAGAAGCAGATGAAACGAACATTAAAAGCAAGTTACCCTGCGCATGGGTTGTGAATTGGTAGATCATGGCGAAAATATGTATCAATATTTTGTGCTAAATAAAGTTGTATGAATGATTTAAATAGGAAGAATTATAACTATGGCTTTGAAGACACAGAAACATCGTCGGATCACCGCCGACAATTTCTTCTTTTGCAAGGGGTTAAATCGAAACTCTGTTTATTTGCACCATTATAGAGCTCTTTTGGAGGCACCCTAAATCCCTAGTCTTAATAGGAGCAATCACCCAAGGTGGAAAGTCGGTTAGTAATGGGCAGGACGAGGACGCACACGCGCGAGGCTAGTAGAAGCGCAAACAGAGGCCGCTAATTGCCAAAAGGACACAGAGGCACCCATCCAGCCCCCACGCGTGCAGCACGAAGTGGAGCGTGCACCAGAACGCGAAATGCCAGCGCCTTTTCTACGCGACATTCGTTTTTGGAGGCAGGGGGAGGTAGACGCAGAGGCATGATGCGTAGCCACTCAAATGTGCGTGTCTATGTATGCGTCTGTTTCCCCATGCGTGAGATCATTAAGGTGGCCGTCATCATCTCTGTTCCAGTCCTCTACCTCCGAAATCAAACACGAGGTGGTTTAGACAAAAACCCAGTAAACTCACCGCTATCAGACCTCAATTGCCTAGCGCTGCGACCAACGCGTGCATCGCCTCTGCTTGCCGCAAGCAATACAAAGAGAAGGGCGAAATAACATCTGGCCTTGGCAGAAAAAAACAAAAACGGAGAATGTGTGACTGCGCCAATCAGTTAGTCCGCAGTCCAGCAAAGTGGCGGGCAGTAGAAGTTAAAAAAAAAACACCTCAAGGAGAGAGAAAGGTAGAAGCTACTGCTTTGGGCCTTGAATCATCCACTTTAGAAGCTGGGGTAAATAAGTCTTATTTTCCACTGAAGAGGTGACAACCCTCAAAATGTTTTAATGGACTATGACGTTGATGTGGGAAAGTAAGAAAATCACTTATCAGTTTGACTTGGTTAGAGGGAGGGGTAAGATACGAACATTAGCTGCCAAGCAAGAAAATGAAAGTGCACGAGTAGTAACTGCTTTTCGCCTTGAATGCAGACCGGATATTATTTTTAGATTGCGTGCGAGAAGTTAACTCACGTAAAACAGAGTTCTACAAACTGTCGTGTGCTAGACATTCGCTTATTTTAGATGTCGAAGGAGAGTGTTATCGTTTCGTGTGTTGACGATAAGCAGATTTGACACTGTGTAGCGTAAACCCAGTTATGGGATTGAAATCCCATGGGACTACCGTGAATACTTTACAAAAGGGAATAATGATAGACTACATAAGCCACTGCATCAGGCTTTGGGATAAACTTTAGGGCGGCGCTAAGCTGCTGCGGTCAGAGCATGATCGGTAGCGTTCCATCATCATACTAATGCACAGCTTTACTTCTGGGCCAGGTGCTTATGCCATCTGTTGTCCTCCGAACGGGATTCCTCCTGCGATGTGCTTACCACCATGGGATTTGTAAAACTTACAAACTACCAAAGAACCAGAGAGGGTTGTCATGTATTTAAAATCGGTAACGATGATAATACCTATTGAGGCGAGAAAGTACACAGTTGAGCTTGGAATTAAAAGTGGCTTGACGTTCAGTAGACAGTGACCTTGAAAAAAAGTGGTTTCAGTCAAGCCATTTATGCGCTAGACAGGTAGAAAAAAAAGACGGTGAAATTAAATTGACCAAAAGTTGCGTAAAATAGCGGAAGCACTTGCTGATGCAGTGTTTTGCAAGCGTGAAATTTAGTGTGGTATTTAGTGGTGCAAAAAGGTGCTCCAGACAGCCCTGCGTTGATTCAACTAAAGTAGAAATCAATTTTTACATACACAACTTTACTCCACATAATTGTTTCCCGTCTGCTCCTTTCCAAAAATTAATTAGCCACCTTTTCCCCAAGGGATTATGAAAGGGAGTAGAAGCTACCGCTGAATAATGAAAGGCTTGGTATATGGGTACGTTGCCTCCATAAATCCCCACGAAACAGTTGCAATGCACGTGCGTGTGTGTATAAGTGACTCACCGTGACCCCCAGTCACCCCTTTCCCTCCCCCTCTCAGGAGCGGCCCACCCACAGTGTGGACATGTGCCACGGTCAGAGGAATTTCCAGGTGGCCAGCACTGCGCTGACCCAATCGCGTACACCGCAAAAGTCAACACAGTGTGGAAAAGGAAAAATCGTTCACTAATGTAACTGGAGGAGCGTTCCAGTGTTTACCGATGAAAAATTTAATTGTTTTTTCTCAACCCCAAAAAACACTCCTGACTATCATCACAAACGCACATTTTACGTCGTCCCAGAATTACAAATGAGGCAACCCTACGCCTCGAGTGTGATATCGGGAGGAGGTGAAGAGGGCGGGGGGAGGGAAGGGCGGGAGCCTGATGCTCAGATGAGTTTCGCCGCCAGCGCCGGATTTGCATAAAGTATCTGCACGTGGGTGCGCGTACTGGCCGATTTGCGCCGAGGTTGACTCAGCCGCCGAATTCACACACACACACACACACA